ATCCTGGAGAGGATTGACCATGTCTATACTGCAAAGAGGGACCATTTTTGGGTAGAAAAGGGACACAAGACAGAAATGGAATAGGATAGAGCTTCTCATGCTCATGAAATGGATGAGGCAGATAAAATAATGTCCAGTCTATTTTGTACACTTCCATGATCCTTAGTGGCAGCAGAAGAGTTGACAACACTAGTTACTTGGCCTCAGCATACAAGGAGGCACTCCTAGAATTCTGCAGCAGACTAAACTCTCATTGCATATGCTAGATGTTCTGCCAGTTTTGATTTGATCATGGCTAGACAGTTCTACTCTTGATTAATCGTAGTAGCAATATTGCTATTATGAGTGGACTCAATGGCTGAAGAATGAGCACCCTAGGGAGCCAACCCAGTACCAAAAACGCCTTGAGCCATCAAATGGTAATTGCCAATTGCTCCATCAGCAATCAAGAGCAAGAAACAAGAACAAAGAAAGGAAAAATAACAAGCCATAAACCTGCACTCTGATACCATAAAGATAAAAAACGAGTATATATTCATGAGTCTTTCACACTCTATATACAAACTATTTCTGATTGTTGCGTGATTCCTGGAGATCTGAGCAGATCAACAATTGCTAAGTGTATTGCTTCATCTATTGATACTCCACTCGGTATCTTTTGACAATGTCAACACACCCTCCTGTGCCATGAACCTCTGCTCCATCAGCTTCCAGCCCTTGATTGCCCTCGAGGTCTTGAACTGTTCTTCTTCTCGTTGCTTTTCTGCTCCATCAGATTCCAGTCCTTTTGCTTCCAGCCCTTGATCGCCCTCGAGGTCTTGAACCTGTTCTTCTTCTCGTTGCTTTTCTGCTCCATCAGATTCCAGTCCTTTTGCTTCCAGCCCTTGATCGCCCTCGAGGCCTTCAACCTGTTCTTCTTCTTGTTGCAACAGGCCTTCAACGTGTTCTACCCGTTGCTCCAGGCCCAGTCCCTGTTCTTCTCGTTCCTCTAATCCCCTCTTCCCATCTCGTTCTTCTAATCCCTGCTCGGGTCTGATCTTGAGGGAAGCAAACGACAGCAAGCTAACGTACCTCTTATAGCTTTGCAAATTCTCTTGCGGCATTGCCGATGCCTCCACAAAGTGGAGCGATGCTCCAAATCCAACGCTCCTAAAAATTCCAACGCTGAGAATTCAAATTCCCATTATACCTTGGGAAATTAAACATTGATTGTCATCCAAGTGATATTTCAAACTCGATCGAGCAAATCCCTTGTTCCAATCCATCCAATCTCACACACTGCTCGCATTTCCATCGCAAGCAGCGATGGAAAGACTTCGACAAGCAGGCCGCAGAGCGCCGCAAGGAGGACGAATGGCGAGGAAAGAGGAAGAGCGATGGAAGAGAAGAATCCCTGACGTGGAAGCGAGCGCAAAATCCGCGTAGCTCACATTGCCCATGCTGGGATTGCTCCATCCCCCGACGTGGCGACTTACGACCAGCTCTGATCGATGGCTTGTGCAAAGCGGGGGATCTCGAGCAGGCCCGGCGCTTCATGGCGACATGAGCGCGTTGTCACCTACAGCATCAACGGCGGCTCGAGGTGTTACAAATATACCAGGCTAGTCGTGACGTTGATGTTCAATAAAAACTTGACAAAGATCACGCATCGCCACTAATAGAGCCAGTGATGCCGTTTCTCTCGTGCGAAAGAAATGCGACCAAAGAGCAAGTCGAACAGCACCCGGAAGCATTCGTAGCCTGGCTTCAGCGCCAGCAGTCCCCAGTTCGCCACAGCTTGGCTGCAGTGAATCACGATCTCTTCGACTTGATGAACTCCAAGTAAATCCTTGAGAACCATCACGTTGGGCGGTGTGGGATCTTACACGTAGAGATGAACAGTCACATCCTTGCGCTTGGTGACACCTCCAGGCACGAATGACTGCAACACAGATCGATCAGCAAGAAAGAAAAGGAAAAAACCGGAGAGTCTCCAGGTTGCCAAACAAATTAGATAAGAGGTCATCTTGTGTTCGCTGTTAAAACGGTGGAGGGCGAGCATCGGGACCAGAGGTGAGAACTGAGAGAGCTTGGCAATGGCATCCCTCTTCCAGTGTCCAATTAGCGCCATCTTACGAAGATTGTCGCATCGCTTGTCAACAGCACAAGAGTTGTAAAAGTAAGCTGTGCTCAAATCCTCGGAACGCAGCCGGATGCTCACTGGAAAATGTTGTCCAGCGTCCCTCAGCTCCCTCTACTCACCTCGAAGTCAGAGTGGAGGCGAGAGACGGCCCAGCGCAGCTCCCGCCATCACTTGCACACCAGCGAGCACTGGACGAGCTGCCGCGATCGCCTACTCTGCTCAAGATGTCCACCAGGGAGCCCTTGCTAATCAAATCAGAAAATGGGCGCGCGTTGCAAATCTTTTGCTAAACATTAAACACTGGTTAGTTAGCCCAGAGCCATCAATTTCTAAAGCATTACTATTTTGAAAGCAGTTGGTTCCAAGACAAGGTGCTAGGCTTTATAACCTGGAAATTTTTGTAGCATCACAGAAAAGGTCTCTCTTTCCAGTGATCTTGGTTCTCTATCGAGAACGTGATGATTTTCCTCAAGTCATGCAGCATGCTTTTGCTGCTTCTCCTGGTTTCTACTGTCAGTTGTGATGGATCTCAGGAGGTTTTGGATCAAAATGCAGGGGCTTTTGGAGATGCCAAGAACTTTGGCTTTAGAATTCCCAAGAGCACGATCGATTTCTTCTGTTGGAGGCCATGGCTGAGAAGGCCCTGGTGGTTTCCAAATCGTTTGTGCCCTCCTAATGCACCTCCTTACTGTTACAAATCCCCACCACCACCGACACCACCACCGGTTGAATCACCACCACCGCCGGTTGAGTCGCCACCACACCATCACAAATCTCCACCACCGCCAGTTGAATCGCCACCACCTCCTTACCATTACAAGTCTCCACCACCACCACCATATGAGTACAAATCCCCACCACCATGCGAAAAATCCCCGCCACCACATCACCACCACCGCAAATCCCCACCTCCACCATCGCCACCACTCTACTGGTACCAATCTCCACCGCCACCATCACCAACCTACAGTAAAGAGTAAATTTGTGTCCTCTGAAAATTTCTTTTTGTCTCAGCTAAGTAAAATGCATAATAATTAAATAAAGCTCAACTTATAATTAAGAATATGCTTCATATGTTGGATAGAATCTTCAAAGCAATATGGTAGATAATGGATTTTCTCTTCTCTTGAAATGCTAGGGGTAACGCTTCCTTCTGTTCTTGCAGTATCTTGCAATGAAATCCTCAAGAGAAGCAGCATCAAGGCTCCCTGGATGGAACACACTTTTCTTCGCCAGATCTTCGAAGATGTCGCAGCAAAGTCTATTTTCGCAGCATGAAACTCCAGAAAGGGTTTGAGAATAGGTTTACGGGTTTAAAAAATAAATAAAGTTAAGGGCTAAAGAACTAAAGGAGATTTTACTCATTGACTTAAACCAAAAAGGACATAAGAAATCTAAGGCATACTATCAAATGTGAATATGAATCAATCAATCCAATGCTCGCTTCGCTCTCCCCCCTCCTTGTCGATCGTGGTATTTACACCGCCAGTAGCAAAAAAACTCTTCTTCCACCATCCCTTCCTTCCTTCCAGTCGAACGATCGATCGATCAGATCATATCAGGGCCGCGACAATCACGAGCAGCGAAGAGCCCGCGAAGACACGATTCATGGTGGCGCCACCGGCGGCTGGAGCGATTGCTGGCGCTCCTCCGGGCGAAGAAGCGGGCGAGATCTCGTCCGACGCTCCCACTGGCGCCGGCATCACCTCCCCGCCAGCGGATGGAGCCGGCGCCGGCGATGGCGATGGAGCCCGGCTGTGGCGCCCGCGGCGCTCCACCACCATGATCCCGAACTTCTGGCCCTGGTTGCAGTGGCTCGTCTCCCCGCAGATGAACCAGTGAGGCCCCGCGGAGGAGAGATGGACGATGCTCTCGCCGTCCTTGTAGCTCGCCATGGAATTGGAGTTGTGGCACGCCTCGAAATCCTGGCGATTCACCTTGAGCACCGTGTGAGCATCGGATGGGTACTTGAACACTGCAAGAAACAGTGTGTTAGAGCTCGCGGTTGTAGAAATCCAAGCCCCATTTCGAGCACACAAGCGAAGCAGCCATTCAATCGCTACAAGCCATGAAAGATGATCATCACACCACGCAAACAAGATGCTAGAGCTCGCGATCAAGGACATCCAATGATATTTCAAGCGACAATCACCGATCGAGCACAATCCTTGTTCCAATCCATCCAAAATCCAATCAATCTCACGCATTGGCAAGCGCCGCGGCGAGCAGCGATGGAAAGATTTTGAGAAGCAGGCCGCAGAGTGCCGCGAGGAAGAGGAATGCCGAGGAAGAGCGAGGGGGAGGGTTAGGGCAGCAAGACAAGAGATCCATACCCAGCGAATCCCCGACGTGAAAGCGATGCTTGAGCGCCCAATCCGCGTAGCTCACATTGCTCATGCTGGGATCGCTCCATCCCACCTCATCGCCGACAATGTACCTCGTCGCCGACGCGACCGAGCAGCAGCACAGCACAGCGATCGCCGCGGCAAGGATCATCTTCCCTGCCCTTGCCATTCCTTCGCACACTAGGGGGAAGTCGATCGATCCAATCTCTGGAAAGAGAGCAAGATCCAATCTCTGAAAGAGGGCAAATTCACTGCGCTAGAATCACAGCTCTATGAATTCTATGAGAACCTTACAAGCTCGCGTGGAGCGTCTACTTATATAGCGCGGTGCGTGTAGCCGTTAGACTAGTACCCCCGTGACTGGCCAGGCTCGGGACAAGGCTCGGCCTCCGAGCCTGGCCCTCGTGCTTTGTAGCCGTTTGATATGGCCGTTAGATTGACGGTACGGACCGGGGTTTGACTGGAAGAATATGCCCAAGAAGTACGGGAGGGCCAAATCCCCCGTTTATACGGATTAGGGCTAGGGTTTACTAGTCGCATGGGATCTCCTCCGATCAGCGCCATCGCCCTCGCTCTCGCTCTCGCCGGCCGGTCCCGCGATCGATCTCAGCAGCAGCGGTAGCGCTTCTCCTATGGTACGCGCGATCGCCGCCAGGTACTGCTGTCACTGCTGGGTTCTGGGAGCTGCGCGGGAGGAAGTAGCTTAGGGTATTTCCGATTGCCAAGCTTCGGGTAGCAGCAGCGGCGGCGCGGCAGCGGCGAACAGAGGAGGGGGATGGATTCCGATCAGGGAAAGATTTTCGTTGGCGGCGTGTCTTGGGAGACCACAGACGAGAAGCTCAAGGAGTACTTCCAGAGCTATGGCGATGTGGTGGAGGCGATGATCATGAAAGACAGGACGACTGGGCGTGGCCGCGGCTTTGGCTTCGTCGTGTTCGCGGATCCCGACGTTGCTGACCGAGTTGTACAAGACAAGCACAGCATCAATGGGAAACTGGTAAGCTCCTCTCACCGCTACCTAGACAATGTAGCTTAGTGTGTCTTCTTCTTTAGGTGGAGGCCAAAAAAGCAGTGCCTAGGGACGAGCACCAAAATGCCGTCAAGCCGGGTGGCCCGGGAGGAGCCACTTCGCCCGCTAGTAGCACGACTAGGACCAAGAAGATTTTTGTAGGGGGGCTAGCACCGAACGTCTCAGAGGAGGAGTTCAAGCAGTACTTCGAGCAGTTTGGCAACATCACCGATATCGTGGTCATGTACGACCATGCAACGCAAAGGCCCCGGGGCTTCGGCTTCATCACCTTCGACTCCGAAGAGGCCGTGGACAGTGTCCTCCAGAAGACGTTCCACGAGCTCAAGGACAAGATGGTGGAAGTGAAGCGAGCGGTCCCAAAGGATGCCTCGGCCGCTGCTCGGAGCCCGACTGCTGGATACGCCGGACCCCGAGGTCCCTTCGGCTACGGACAGGGATTTGCGGCGCCTTACGCCTACGGACCAGCAAGGGGCGCGTACCCGTCTTACGCTGCTGCTGGGTATGGCGCTGCCGGGTATGGATATGGCTATGCTGGCTACGGTGGCGGTGCTCCTTACGGGGCCACTCCTGGAGCAGCGGCATATGGAGCGGGAACGGGCTACGCTGCAGGATCTGGAGCAGGCTCTTACGGCCCTGGGAGGAACGCTGGCTGGGCCGCGGCTCCGAGCTATGGAGGAAACTCTCCTGGCTATGGTGGCAACGGCGGTAACATGAGCGGCTACGGTGCTACGAGCTGGGGGAATGCTGGAGGGGCACAGGGCTCGACAGGGAGTGGGAGCTACGGTGGCTATGGGTATGGAGGTGGCGAAGGTGGCTATCCTCCGGGCGGTGCCGCTGCTGGAAGCTACGGTGGCCCTCCCAGTGCCGCCGGGAGCTACGGCGGTGGCGGACGAAGTAGCGGTGGTGGTGGTGGCTACAACAATGCCGGCGGTGGTGGTGGATACGCTCCGGCCTCTGGGAACGCAGGCGGCTATGGTGACGGGTATGGTGGCTACCCGGAGAACACTTGGAGGGCCGATGCGTATGGAAACGCTGCTCCCGGTGGGACGCCCGGTGGGGGGTATGGGATGGGGGCGGCTTCGTCGTCCCCGGCTCCGGAGGGCGGTGCGAATGGATCATACGGAGGCTATGGTGCCGCGAGCAGGCAGTCACAACGAGGTGACTTTTTTTACGAGTGATGTGATAAGAGTAGGCCTTTTCTCTCCCTCTCTCGCGCGCTACTTCCTTTTTTTTTCCTCAGCTGCTAGGATCTTTGAGAGGCGAGAGTTTGTGGACTGATGGAAACGTTTTGTTGTTGCAGGAGTCACTGCTCAATGAGAGGGAGAGGTTGTGGTGTTTTTTTGCTCTCGTTTCGTTTCTGTGAGTTCTCGTACCATGGTGGTGAGTGTTTTTTCTACGTAGGCCTAGAGCTAGAGGAGATAGACACAGAGGAAGTGTATGTGTCGAGAGCTTGGTGTGCTTTAGAACGCTTTAGCTTGTAGAGAAGGTAGTGTCAAAAGTGAAGAGGCTCGAAGGAAAATTTTGATACGCATTACTGTAACAAGGTTAAGAAATGGCACGACAGCAGCTTTAGCGTCATAAAGCTAGTCAATAATGTCAAAGAACGTTGACCCCCATTGACTAGTATTGACCAACCATGGTATCTATCTCGCAGAAAAAACTTAGCTTTGATCAAGAAAGAAAATGGAGTACACGATGAGCTCTTCCTTATCAAAAACAACGGAGCGCTCAAGTGTTAGTCGCTCTCGTGTAGATCTGCTGCGACGCGTGAACTGAGACGGAGCGAATCACGCCCTTGGCAGTGAGCTCCTTGATCGCGCGACGAGCAAGAGATCCAGTTATCTGAACAAACACCGAGTTGGGAGTAAGAAAAGAATTGGAATATTTTCTAGAACTCACCCTCAATCGATCCGAGAGCACCGATGGAGTGATGAGCTTGTACTTCGGAACCTCCGCCATGAGCTTATCGAAGGTCGCCTGATCGAAGAGGACCATGTTGTTGACCTTCTCCTTTTGCTTCCCCTTGCTCCATTTCTAGAGTGCCGAAAAAAAGAGACTCTGGAAATCAACCGAATCGATCGCAGGCGGCGCTTACCTTCTTCTTTTGCTTGCCACCGCCGCCGCTCTTGGCGGGCTTCGCAGCGGGCGCGGCCTTCTCCTTCTTGGGCGCCATTCCTCTTTCTCTCGCCTCGCCGCCGCGGAAGAACCCTAATTCCTAGAAAACCCTTGATCTCAATCGTTCGTTCGGGACAATATAGGGCCGATCCTGATCGTCCGTGTAAAATTTCGACGGCTGGGGCTACTTAGGGTGTTTCTAGGGTTTCTGTTGCGGAGGCGCCGGGCAGGAGAGAGAGGGAGGAGCGATGGCGGACACCGAGGATGTGGGCGCTGGCTCCGTTCAGCCGAAGAAGCGTACATTCAAGAAGTTCTCCTTCCGCGGGGTGGATCTCGATGCGCTGCTCGACATGTCGAATGACGCGCTCGTGGAGCTCTTCCACGCTCGCGCCAGGAGAAGGTCAGTTCTTCCTTTTCGTAATATCGCTCGAGAAATGAAGTTTCCTCGCGAATCTACAGGTTCCAGAGGGGTTTGAAGAGGAAGCCGATGGCGCTCATCAAGAAGCTCCGCAAGGCGGTAAGTTCATCGATCTTTTCTTTGTTTTGCTTTTCTTATTGATTCCTTGTGTCCTGCGTAGAAACGTGAGGCCCCGGCTGGTGAGAAGCCCGAGCCAGTGCGAACGCATCTCCGGAGCATGATCATCGTCCCAGAGATGATTGGCAGCATCATTGGCGTCTACAACGGCAAGACGTTCAACCAGGTGGAGATCAAGGTGAGCGAGCGTCTTGTCTGCGTGCTTCTCGTGTTCTAAACTTCTCTCGCCTCTGGTGACGCAGCCCGAGATGATCGGACACTACCTGGGAGAGTTCTCCATCTCGTACAAGCCAGTCAAGCACGGGCGTCCCGGTATCGGTGCCACACACTCGTCCAGGTTTATTCCTCTCAAGTAGAGGCTGAAAGGAGGATGTTTTTGTAACGCTGTTTTGAGCTATATGCTAAGTTGATTCTCTAAAGCCATGCCTCGAAAGGTTCTTGGGATCGGTAACGCGCAAAGTGGAGGGGAATTTCTGGTGAAAGTGTGATTCTTCCACAAAAAGCTGGCTCCTTTCTTCCTTTTATTGTTCGTTTGCCAATTGTGGCGTTACAACAAGAGCAAGCTTCGCAAGAATCGGCTGAAGCAATCGTCTAAAACGCAAGGAAACAATAATAGTTCTACGTGCTCGTCCTCGCTCCCCAGGATTTTGCGAGGTAACGAATACTCACGTTTACAAGATGAAAAGGATTCACCGCGTTCTTGTTGTGCAACTTGGTGGAGTAGTACCAACGTACCAGCAGTTTATCTTGTGCTCCCACTCAAATCACACGAAAAAAGCCGTTCTTTACCGCGGGCTTTTAGATCACGTCTTGTTCATGACAACTTTTGGCTTCCCTGCGCTTCCCTTTATTTACTCTCTAGCCTCTCCTTGATCGAGAGTTGTCTGTCGGCCAATTTTGATAATGCAGTTCCTCGTCAATCTGTGCTGCTGCTGCTGCTGCTTGGGATTTCTGGCTGGATTCGTCGCTGGAGCTCCAGCCTCTGATCTTGTCAAAGATCTCCCAGGCCAGCCCGAAGTTTCGTTCAAGCAGTATGCCGGATACGTGACAATTGACCAGCGATCGGGCAAGGCACTGTTCTACTACTTTGTCGAGGCAGAGGAGGATCCCACGAGCAAGCCCCTCTCGCTCTGGCTCAATGGAGGTAAAGCAATCAAAGTCGAGAACTCTCATCCATCTCGTTCCTCTTCTTTGGTATCCAAATGGTTTCCTCGTCCTCTAATTTCTCAGGACCCGGATGCTCGTCGCTCGGAGGTGGTGCGTTCACGGAGCTCGGCCCTTTCTACCCGGACTCCAAATCGGATGGCCTGGTCAGGAATTCTAAGGCCTGGAACAAAGGTATCATATATAGATTCGATCACACATTCTTGTGCAAACTTTTGAGAGTAAGATTGGTCCTTTTGATAGCATCAAACGTCTTGTTCGTGGATTCGCCCATCGGGGTTGGATGGTCATACTCCAACACCAGCTCGGACTACCAAACTTACAACGATGAAAAGACGTGTGAGTCCCCACGCACTATCTCTTAAAGCTTTGTGTGGTCAATCTTTTCTTCTTCTTTTACTTTTTTTTGTCTTGATGGCTAAAAAAGTTGGCGTGCTGTATAACAGCCAGAGATCTGGTCAAATTTTTGCATGGATGGTTTATTAAATTCCCCGAGTACAGACACAGGGAATTTTACATCACGGGAGAAAGCTACGCTGGTAAAATCTATAATTCTCTATTTATTTGAAATACTTTCTTTCTTATATAAACTAATAATCTGATAAACAGGGCATTACGTTCCCCAGCTAGCCGTTCGTTTGCTAAATCACAACATGCTAGCAAAGAAAAGCCATCAGTTTAATCTCAAAGGAATTGCTGTAAGTATATTATTATTTCTTAAATTTTTTGCTAATTTCTTTTTTGCTATACAGATTGGTAATCCGGCACTGAATAGCGCAATCGACGACGAGGCCACCTACGACTACTACTGGTCACACGGTTTGATCTCGGACAAGACCTACCAGGGGATCGTCCACAATTGTAACTGGCACGACTACGATTACTCAGGGCCCAACCACAACGTTAGCGTTGAGTGCGTCAAATATATCAGTCAAACGAGCTCCGAGGTGGGTCAAAACGTCGATCCGTACGACGTCCTCCTCGACGCATGCCTGCCCGAGGCAGTCCACCAGGAGTTCCGCTTAAGAAAGATGGTGAGAATTCTCGTTTCCTAAAAGCAAAGCTTTGATGATTCTCTAACTCTCTATGATTGATACAATGTTGTGATTCAGAAATCCCAAAGGAGCATAGGAGTTGATATTTGCATCACGAGAGAGCGAACCAGGTACTTTCGAAGGCCGGAAGTCCAGAGGGCCTTGCACGCCAACACCACAGGCCTGCCGTACGAGTGGTCAAACTGTGAGGGGTACGGGCATCTCCTTGTTTTGCTTTCTAGACTTAGCTTGTTTTGTGGGATTGGTAGGCCTCTCTACTATGATAACGGAAATCTCAACATTGACATGGTCACTGTGCTGGAAAATTTGCTGGTTCAAGGCCTCCGGATTTTCATTTACAGGTACAAAAGAAGAAAGAAAAGTAAGGCTTTTTTTTTTGTAATTTTCTTACTTTCATAGCGGAGATGCGGACTCGGTGGTACCATTTCTGGGGACCCGGACGATAATCGACAGCATTGTCAACAGGCTCAGGCTCAAAACATTGGTTCCATACTCCGCATGGTATTCTCAAAGCCAGGTAAGATATTCTTACTTGATAGTCAAAATATCCTTCCACCACCTTTTTTATGACTCGCAGGTGGCTGGGTGGACGCAAGTTACTGGAAACTTGACCTTTGCCACGGTCAAAGGCGCCGGACACATGGTTCCGTATGCTCAGCCCACGCGAGCCCTGGTCATGTTTCAAGCGTTCGTGAACAACAAAAACCTTCCACGCCAGTAGCGATGATAACGCGAATTCTTTTTTTCTGATGTGGTTTCATCAAAAAAGATGGAACCATGTATCATCTCCTAACCGTTTTCCTCCACTCGTTGACTAATCGATCACGATAACACAGTTTGTTCTCGTTTTGCCTGGAAGATTCCCACCATTGGAACAGGCTTACACATTTCCTTTCCAATAGGAAGATAAAATTCCTTTATATGCCTTTGTAGATCCCCGATGCGAGGCTCCAGTTTAGTGGGATTGTTTGTTTTTCTTGAGATAGCCGCTGGAGCTCCCATCTCGGACCAAATCTTCCAGGCCAGCCATGGGTTCCATTCAAGCACTACGCTGGTTATGTCAATGTTGCCGAGAATTCGAGCAAGGCGCTGTTTTACTACTTTGTGGAGGCTGCGAGCAATCCACAACCAAGCCCCTGACGATTTGGCTGAATGGAGGTACGAGATCTTTTCCCGCGAAAAAATCTCCCTGGTTTGAGTCCAAGTCCTGGGTGTTCATCGGTGGGAATTGGTGCGTTCACGGAGCTCGGGTCCCAAATCCGATGGGCTTGTTAGAAACGAGCATGCCTGGAATCAAGGTTAGAATTGGAGAGTGGAAAGATCGATTTTGTTATTTTCGATATCTTGGCAGTGTCGAATATGTTGTTTGTGGATTCACCGGTTGGAGTTGGATGGGCTTACTCGCACAAAGTAGAAAAAAACGATGACGAGAAGACATGTATGTTTTCTTACCTCTTTATGATCTTTTACACCAGCGAGAGATCTGGTTGTGTTCTTGCAAGCTTGGTTTGTAAGATTTCCAGTATAAGAACGCAACCCTCTACATTTCGGGTGAAAGCTACGCAGGTGTATATAAACTTGTTAAAACTCTTCAAAGATTCATATATTTTAGGAACAGGACACTATGTTCCTCAACTCGCAGCTCATCTCCTCGACCACAACAAACAAAAAGCTTCCACGTTCAATCTCAAAGGAATAGCTGTAAGTTGGATACCAACACACCAAAATCAAAGTCTTTTATCATTTAACTCAATCCCAACATTCTCCTCAACTCAAAGGCAACTTATGTCTTTACGTTCACATGGCCTTTTCTCTGACAAAACTTATCAAATTCTTAGGGAGAGTTGCTAATGGATGAGCTTTGCCAACTAACTGCACAAAGAGCTACTCGAATAGTGTCAAGCAGGCCGCTGCCGAGTACAGTGATGTGGACCTCTGCGACATCCTTGGCGGCAATTGCCTGCTGGCAGCAATTATATGTTAAGTGGGGGGTGTTGGGGGGGAAATATATAATAAGGGATAATGGTTGGAAGTGTGGTTGATCATTTGAAATATTAATTTAGTTCCCATTGTGTTGCTCTTTGTTTTGCATTTGGTTATTTAGTAGGTTACCCTACAATAGGCCATTGATATATTAAAATTGTGTTAGCTTTTGTTTGACAGTATTTTGCTTGTAAAGGCTGAATATGGAGAGTTTGTGTTCATAAAGGATTTAAGTGCATACTAAACTCTCATTTTATAGTGCAAATGGGCTTGAAGTTTGGCTCCAAATTTAAATACATTATATATATCAATAATTTTTTTAATAATAGATTTGACTAAAATAGGTAAGTTTAAATAAATTTTTATCACATATGGTTCATAGACTTTGTATTTTCTTGTTAATAAAAGGCTAAATTTCATATATAATCATACTTCTAGAAAAAATCATTAGAGTTATTTGGATTATTTTTCACATTTTGCATTGCTCTCATCTTCCATAGTAACCAAGGGAATAGTAGCAAATTGCCACTCAAGACGTCCAAACCCTCAGCCATCTCCATCTTCTTAATAAGCTCAAAGCTCTCTTAGAGGTATGGCAACCTCATGCTCCTCATCATCATCTCCATAATTGAAGATACCAAGGAACTCCTCAAGAAATAAGATTGTATCTTCTTTTCTAGCAATTGCCAGCAAAAACTTTGGATGAAGAGCTAGGATGGTTTCAACCACCTATGGCAATCATTGGAGGAACTTTTAAAAGTTATGCACCCTAACAAGCTAAATTATGTGGTTTTTCAAAATTTAGCTATATAAAAATATTAAGTGAGAGAAATAAAACTTCCAATATGAGAAAAATATATAGGACAAAATTACATCATGTAATTTAGTGTATAGTTTCACTATGTAAAATTTGAATCGTTTTATAATAATTTTCATAATAGTGCTTCATTTAGTTTTAGATATGTTTTCATTATTTATTTTATATTATAGTATCCTTGTATAGTTTTTAATACTCATTTTTTAGAAAAAAAAAACTATATATGATTTTCTTAAAAAAAATTATACAAACAAATATATGTGTTATATCACAAATCCCACCAGTGTTTTCTCAATATAACCTATCAATATCTTCTCTAGAGCGTAATTGGAGATTAGATTCTCCTCCATGTGGAATGAGATTCCAAACACAAGAAAAAAAATGAGTTACCTTAGATCTTTTACTACTTCTTTTCCCAAGGAAAACTTTGCACCATTATGAGATTAAAAAATACAATGAACATTATTGTTTATGACTTCAACATAATACTAACTCTAAGATAATACAATCTTAGCAACAACCATATTAGGTAGAAATAAAATCTTGCCTTTTAAGTGATTAATGCCACAGCCACAATGGGTAAAACTAGGGCTGATGGCCAACAGCTAGTGGCCAAAACTAGGGTTAACAACCAAAAGTCAATGGTAGCAGTTATGGCTAGTAGTATTAACTACATCTTTCCAATAAATTAAGCTAATATGAGTTGAAAAATTTGAAGTGTTGAATTATATATTAAAGTATTCTATAAAAACCTAACTATATAAGAAAAGTATTACATAGATGAAATGCTTAGATGGAATATAAAGATAGAATATTTGGAAACTTAGAGAATAAAATAGAAAAAAGAAAATTGGTATAGGATGTGCTGTGGAAGACACTATAATCTATATAAATAATCATATAGTGTATAAATTTTAGAAAACTATTTAAATAACATTTAATAATCTAAATAATCAAATGAAATCTTATAATTATAAATATGTTTATAATTTATAAACACAAGATTAATCTTATTGAATATCAATCATTAGATGATAGAATAAATAAGAATATACTAGGAAGTGTTTAAAAAAGTTTATGAATTATAAAAATATTTATAAATTATAAATACAAGATTAATTTAAATGAGTAACAATCATTAGATGGTAGAATATCCTAGAATATTCAAGCATATTCTAGGTATACTTGATTAAGCAAACCAAAAATATATTAAAAAAACCATATGAAATGGTGCTTTAGAGTTTAAAAAAGCCATATATTTGAAATTACGTACCAAAATTTGCCACATAGATAACTATACACCAATTTGAACTTAATATACAAAATCCAAAAACAATTTGTGTTACTATGTCACTGCCAAGTGAGTTAATATATTTTAGCAAGTTCAGAAGGTTGAGATGTCAATGCTCTTAAAGGAGCTTTAAAGTTACCTGATAAATCTTGTAGAGCTCACGTCCAAACTCTTTGATCTCACTTTCAACTTCATGATAAAGATTGGTGATGAATAGAAGGAACTCCACTAGAGACTCTGCTAAGAGGGAACTAACAATGAAGTTCAAAGATCACAAACACATTCATAGTGGTTGGAAAGAACATTCTAGCTAACTTCTTCCTGTATTTAAGATGGATGGCAAAGTTAATAAAGTCCCTATGATCTATAAGCAACTTAACAAGTATAGATTTCAATTTCAACACTCCTAAAAACTAAGGGTGTGTTTGTTACTATTACCTTTTCCTCAGTCAAGGGCTAGCCACAACTTTAGTGTTCCACAAACATCAATAGTTTTGTAAAGATGTCAACAAAGTTATTGTTGAGAGGAAATATGTTGAACCTTTAATAAATTTGTGTGTAATAAATCCCTAACCTAGTGAAAGTGCTTAGCAACAAATTGAAACTTTTAGTGTTGTCACTTCACTATTGCACTAATCAATAGCTTTTTTATTGTTAATATGAAAAGTAACTAGTATAAAGGATTGCCCAAAAGCTTTAAGAAATTCTTGAAATGAAAAAAAAATCCCTCAACTAAAGCAATATAATATTTTGCTTTTGTGGAGGAAAGAACAAGATGAGTTTACTTCTTGTTGGCATAAAGAACAAAGTTTGTTCCAAACTAAAAGCAAAATCCTATTGGGAATTTATGGTTATCTATGTGGTTTAACAAATTGTTATTGCTGTAATAAACAAGATAAAGCCACCACTAGAAGCTATGTAACACTCAAGCAAAAGTTTGTTTTACATAGTACATAATAGATTCAGCTATATCCCAATGTTTTTTTCCAAAGTTAATAGAAAATTAGCTAAAAGTGATAACAATATAAGCCAAATCTAAACAGCTATACATTATAAAATGTATCAAACTCTCAAGTAAATCTTAAAAATGGTATCTTTGCCATGGCTTAGCACTCCTCACTAGGACACTTAGCCTTTACTAAGAATTTGATATTACCAAGGCTCTATGATTACTTCTCTTCAATGTTGAATTTAAAAGTGATATGAGAAAATCCTTTAGCTTAAAAAAAATATTGATTTTCTACCATCATGCTTTAAAAGTTTGCTTAAGACTATAAAAAACTTTCCTTATATTCAATAAATAGAAGGATACACCCAGCTTAGGAAGCAACATTTTATGTGGAAACTTAATGCTAGTATGATAAATATCAAGATCAAAATAGTTGTAAAAGCAAGTAAAATTTAAACACTTTATCATCTTTACCACTAAAGAGTATGTCTTGAGGTTATATTATTATTTATAGTTATGTGTAAAGAATTGAGTTTTGTGATAGTTGATAGAATCATCAAGGTTAAGCTTAATCAACAGCTGTACATTGAAAATATGCATGGAAGTGATGAACTCAGTTTCTTTATCCATTGTTTGGTTCCTTGAACAAGGAAGATATGTAACTGCACAAAAATCTATTAAATCAAAAGTGATAATAGAAGAGTATTCAACATTTTCAATTGATTTGAAAATTTCACCCCTTTTTTTTATTAGTATGTTAGAGATGCCACCAAAGTCAAAACAACCTCAAATTCAACTTTTCCTTACTCAAACTCTCTTGGATCAGCACTAAGAATAGCATCATTTTAAAACTAAAAACTTAAAAAATTCACAAAGTCAAGATCAAAAATAGAAGAAATTTCTTTAAAAAATACCACTTTTCCTCCTTGAATTAGATTGCCAATAAACTTTGAGTCTTTCCCTAGTCAGATCAAACTTATCCTTTGTTTTTGAGTTCCTTAGGAAACCATATCATGAGTTTAGGTTAGTGACAATAAATCTTTGCAAAAGTAAAAATATACATTAACTTAGTCAAACTTAAGTTCCCATGAGATGTTTAGATGTTGATGTCACTAATGTCATAAACACCATGCTCATTGCTGTCTCCTAACTGTGCAGCATGTTAGCTAAGACCAATACTTGACAAAATGAGATTTGTGCTAAAACAGGTGAGTAATGGCTTCAAAATCAATCACAAAAGAGTTAGTTACCATGATATTGTTGCAAATCTTGGTTTTAACCTGGGCAACACAAACTTCATATAGCATTGTCTATAGTGAATTGTAAGTTTTGAAAATTTGAAATCCTTTAACTATTGTTGAAGATCTTTTATCTTCAACTTGCATTCAAACTCCTCATGGTTATACTTGTTGCAATAACCACAAGACAACTTCTTTTGAGAGTCCTTGTTGGACTTAGAAGAGATTCTTGCAAAAAAAGCTTCATCAAATTTAGAGTGGAAAATCTAAACATCCCTCCACATGATAATTTCCTCCTTGATGGCAAGTATGGCACAACAAAGCTAAAGTTTATTGACCCCATCTCCATATAGAAATATAGACATGACCAATGGACATGTATTTGCTACTTGTGCTTCTCACGCAGCTTCTTCCACAGCTCACTGTTGGTGTAATTCTTGTTGAGGGTGAGATCATCCAGCATGCTCTCCATCACCACAAGCCCAATCGTTATTGTGTCCTTGTCCTCATGCCAACCCCAACTATCCACCTTCTGATACCCTGCATCAGCTTTTGTCAGTTGACAATGCCCCAAACTCCCTTACCTCTAAGGATGAGCTCCATCTGGGACCTCTAGCTCGAGAAGTTTCCAGATCCATCAAAAATGAAAATCATCAGAGAAAGTGAAGGTGGTAGCATTTCCATCCTTTCGATCATACTCTGATAAACAAAGAGCCAGAAATGAGAGCAAAGAATGAATAGGATATTTTTTAGAATGGACACTAGAAACAACTAGAACCAGGACAGGCGAGCAATCACAAGCAAGAGGCTTGTTTCCAATGAAGTGAGTACAGTTGCCTTGATCCTGGACTTTAGCTCCTTCGAGCTCCCAAATCACTTCTTGTTTGAAACAAGAAAGAACCACTAGCTATTTACTAGTACGTCCAGGAATTTCTCCTGAAATTGCTGTTGAACGTGGCCCTTGATCTCCATGATTCAAGGCACCTATCACATCTTGGATTTCAGCTCCAATAATGTCTACAATTTCGTCAGACTCCCTTCCAGTAATGTTTTGCTGTTCCATAGCTATTGTTGAAGGAGGTGAATGGTTTCTCTGTTGTCCAAGTTTTGATATGGATTCTTAATAGTCCTTGGCACAGGCAATGTTACTTCCCACGGAGCCTTGTGCCATCAACTCCTTCTATGTCAATTGCAAGAATGGAAAAATAAGGCGTGAATTCTCAAGACAAGGCTACTACTTTATGAGATCTTTTGATGCTGTGTGTGGCTTGAAACACCGAAAGCATTCTTTTCTTGAAGAGAGGAAGCAATGGCTTATACCATATTCCTGTTTTTCCTTCTCCAGCTTGTGTGACATAATGCCGATGTCAATGTAAGGAGCTGAGAGTCGGAGGCGAATCAGGCGATCAGGTGCCTGCATTTAACGAATGCTTCGGTCGATGGCTTACAGATCCCTTCCAGGAGTGCCGACAACTTTTGCAAGTTAATAGTTTAAAGTAGTTTGGAAGAAGTAAGACGAGAAGCAAAGATGATGGGCAATCCTTTTGGTGCGGCATCTCGTTGCTTTCCAAGGGAGATAGAAGCTCGCTCAAAACTTGCACTAGATCTAGAGATGGAAAGAAGTGTTTAGATCAGACTACCAGACAAATGCCTGTTTTGGGCATCCAATAAAACTTAAGAAGAATGATAACTTTAGATGCCGCTAGCGCTTCTGCCACTGACTATTTGAATGGCTAAACTTGGACTTGGGGCGGCTATGGCGACGACGCTCATCCCCGGCCTGGACGACGACGCCGCGTACCAGTGCCTCCTGCGAGTGACGCTCCCATCCCACGGCCAAATGCGCCAGGTGAGCAGAGCGTGGAGGAATCTCGTCTCCAGCGCCAAGTTCTACGACGATCGCTCCGCCCAGGGCTTGGACGAGGAGTGGCTTGTCGCGACGGTGATGCTCAGGCAAGAGACTCTGATCATGGCGTTCAATCCCAATAGCGCCAAGAAAGCGTGGATGATACTTCCTCCTCCTCCGCAGCACATCCACGGCATTGCGGGATTCGAGTGCAAGGCTCTCGGCGGCAAGCTCTATCTTCTCGGGGGATGGAGGGGCAAGAAACTGGTGAGCGTCTTCGATTCACACACGAACCGATGGAGCGCCGCGGCGCCTATGCTGTGTCCTCGAGCGCACTGTGCGTCCGCGGCTATGGAGGGTCGGCTCTACGTAGTTGGTGGTAACTTAATGGGGAAGGGATTGGACGCCGAGGTATACGATCCGGTGGAGGACCGATGGGAACCTCTCCCACAATCGCCATCGCCGGAGACCATAGCCTTTCACATCGCCATCGTCGTCGATCGCACCAAGATGGCTGTTTTCTCACGCGGTGGCGTCGGAGCTACGCTTGTTTTCTCGGCACGAGATCTTTCCTGGGAAGTGGCGGACACTGGATTGCCGGGGCGCCGCTGCTTTGTGCACTCCAACCGGATCTACGAGGCCGACATGGCTGGATCGTTGATGTGGAGATACGAACGTGGCAAGAACATGTGGGAGGCGCTCCGGCTGACGAATGCTTCTTCCAGCGATGACAGGTTCTTCTTCCGCACTGTGAGCTGCCAGAAGAACATCTGGGCAGTCTCCATGAATTGCAAGGTTGTGACAGTGATCCAAGTTCCCAGCGATGGCGGCTTGGAAGCCAAGGTGGTGGCAGTTTACAAGCTCAGCGTGCCTTTTAGCGACGATCCATTGGTGCTCAGAACCTTCGACGTCGACATCCTTCGAGCTTGATGTATATGTATCAGCTACTTCTCTACAAGGATGTCGGGTGAAGACATCTTGCCTTTGAGCTTAATTTTTATGCATTCTAAAGTTAAAGGATGTATGCGATCCCGATTCACAGCCTCCTCTTCTGGATGGCATTGTTTCATAACTCAGAATCCCTTTCCTTCAATGTCTAGGTCCTTCGAGTTATATATATATATATATGGTAAAAATTGATAGATTGAGTTACATTTTGTCTATAAATGATAAGATGAAGGCCTGAATGTTTCCATTGGAATACTACCAGCTTGCTAACGAATTTGACTGAGAAGATCTTTCATGCTTCAGAATGATTATTTTCCCACTGGATGGCCTTCAGAACACCAGCATTTCAAAATTTAGAGCTAGACACTGATCATCACATCGAACAAACAATGATAGTGCCGCGTTTATTAATCGTTAATTCCTTTCCTTAATGTAAAGGGCATTTGGTCTAGTGGTATGATTCTCGCTTTGGGTGCGAGAGGTCGTGAGTTCGATTCTCGCAATGCCCCAACTTGTATTTTGCGAGGTCAAACTTATGACTTATGAACGCTTGCAGCAGTCCGCGTGTCGTGGAACTTCCTCACCCTCTTCGGTTTTTAGACGCTGTGCTCGGACCAGCTCGCAGGGGCGAACGTTGGCATCGACATTCTCATGGTCAACACTGGATTGGTCTCCTAACCGCTGCTTCAAGCTTTCCATACCCATGGCGCTAAGGAACTCAAGAGTTGGAAGCCCCCGAATCGCAGTCAATGGGTGATGACCAATCGCGAAAAGAGCAGCGATACCTCGCAAATCTCGTGCGACGATGTGGCAATCACAGGGAAGCGCGGGGGATCCACGATCTCATCCTGGCGAGCAAGCACCGGCAATGCACATTCTTGTGCAATCTCTTGCTATCACTGTATGCCCGGTTTGGGCATCTTGTCGAGGCGATCAAGGTCTTTCACTCGATCCAGGACCCCAATGTCTTCTCCTGGAATATCCTATTACGCGTCTTGTGCGAAGACAGCCGGGTTGCCGAGGCGAGGAAAACCTTCGATTCTCTTGAGGAGAGGGACGTTGTGACCTGGACGACAATGGTGAGCGCATATGCCCGCATTGGGCATATTGACGAGGCAAAGTTTCTCTTCACGAGAATGCCGCGGCGCAACGAGGTCTCGTGGAACGCCATGCTCGCATGCTACAACCGCTGCGAGGATTTCATCGCTTGCCGGGGATTCTTCGATGTGATGCCCGCCTGGGATCTCGTCGCCATGAACTCGATCATCACTGCCACTGCTCACGACGTCCAGGCAGTGAAGGAGCTCTTCGATGTAATGCCGGAGCGCGATGCGATCTCCTGGACGGTGCTCTTTGAGGGCTTCGCTCGGAGCCGAGACGTGGACCACGCCACCCAAGTCTTTCTTCGGATGCCACAGCGCGATGTTGTGTCATGCACGAACATGTTTCGTCTCTACGTGTTCTACGAGCGCCGCGATCTTGCCGTGGAGACCTTTGAGAGCATGCCCGAAAGGGACACAGTGGCTTGGAACGCAATGCTTGGACTCCATAGCGATCTGGAGCAAGCGACTGCGTTGTTCGCCCGGATACCCATCAAAGATATGTCATCCTGGACGACGATGTCACAGATTAGAGCGCAGCTTGGAAGCTTAGATCAGTCCAGAGAAATGTTTGATCGTGTGCCGCAGCGGGATCTTACCTCCTGGAACGCCATGATTTGCGCGTATGCTCAGATTGGGCATATCCAGGAAGCGAGGAGGCTCTTCAGCCAGATGCCCGAGAAGACGTCCGTGGCATGGACGGCACTCTTTGGCGCCGCGGTGAAATCTGGAGGAATGAGCGAAGCGCGAGAGATGTTCTTTCATATGGAAATGCCCCGCGATTCGGCTGCTTGGAACGCAATCCTCCCCGCATTTGCCGATCATCCGGGAGATCCAGAATGCGGCGCCGAGAGGATCTTCGGGATGCTGGCAGCGATGCTCCTCGAGGGCCACACACCCAACGAGGCATCGTTCGTGGCGGTGCTTAGCGTGTGCGCGGACGGAGGCCTGGTGAGCGATTCGATCGAGTGTTTTGCGTCCATGGTGGCGGATCATGGCGTGAAGCCCGTCAAGGACCACTACAGCAGCGTTGTGGATGTTCTCGCGAGGGCTGGAAGGCTGGAGGACGCTGAGGAGCTCATCCACGCCATGCCATTCTTTCCAGATCACATCTCCTGGGCTTCGTTCCTCGCGGCTTGCAAGGTCCACGCCGCAGTGGATCAAGGCGCTCGAGCAGCGCACAACATGATCCACCTCAAGAGCCACGACTCCGCTCCATACGCCCTCCTGGCCAGCACCTACACGGTCTAGCAGCACTTCCACAAATCTTGAAGTAAAGAAGCTCAAGGCATAAGATCCCTCCGTGAAAATCGATGGGCTTCGCCAACTATACAAAGAGCTTCTCGTGTGGTGTCAGCGAAGCCGCCACAACAGCGCTTGACAACGAGGAAGAAACCATTGATTCGTCAGCGATCTTGGAAAGCCTGTTGGAATTTTCCTAAGAAACTTTCACGTACGAGTAATAAACTTTTGTACCAGAGAGACAATGCTGGATGAAACCGATGGTGTTGTGTTTGTGTTGTTCTAAAGATCCTGGCGAGTTTGCAACCTTTCGGTGGCAATTACACAATCGAGCTATCCTCATATCATTCCTGTTACTTACAAGTTTTGCAAGAGCTTGGAGATTTTCTCAACAGCAGCCTCGGAGACTGCAAACTCGAGCGCTCGCTGCGCAAGGCTTTGCTTCTCGTCGGCCTGTGAGCTCTCCTTCGCGGCTCTGTAGTGCATCAACGCGAGGCAGTCACCGGGTAACGGACTAAAGCCCTGCATAGAAGTATCAGCAGCAATGTCACGTAAACTTGTGCTAGCACCTCACGAAGCTCGGCCCGCCGTTCGTGCTGCTTGATCGCTCGAGCAAGTTCTTCGGCACCTTTCGTATCCAGCCCCTTTTCGACTACATATTCGGCCGCTGCCTATACTCGCAGGGAAAGGAGAAATGAGAAAACCAAAGAGATTCATGTACCTTGCGCTGCTTGCTTGACAAAATTCTGAGCTCGTAGAGACTGCATACGTGCATCTCGTTGCTTTCCAAGGCAGATAAAAGCTCGCTCGAAGCTTGCGCTAGAACAAGAGAGTCATACACCTGTATCAATGGAAAAAAGAGTTTAGACCAATGAAAGAAAACTATCAAACAAATGCCTGTTCTGGGCATATGCGGTGATCCACGAGAACTAGAACGTAACAAGAGAAACAAAGATGGGGAGTTTTTTCTTACTTTCGAGGCGACTACCATGGCGGTTTGCAAGTGTGCTGTGACGAGCGCGACATCGTAGAGCTGCCCTGCGGTAAATCCCATTTGCTGGAGCTCCCAGATGGTCTTTGCCCTCGTGTGCCACGATCCCATTCCATTCCTCAAGCTCTCCATCATGCTCTCCACCATTTCCTCGCTCTTCCTCGATTGCTCATCCCTGGCCCTGCTCGATCCATATCCCAGATTGGGGGGCTTGAAGCTCCCCAGCCCGGGCGGGCTGGATGGAATTTCCACTCTCCTCCTGCCGCCGCTAGCGCCTCCACCAATGCTGCCACGAATGCTACTCACTTGCTTGTGATGGGGCTTGCGATTCGGCGGCTTCCAAGGATTGAAATCTAGATTGGCGCCTCTCGCAAGGAGCGTAAATTGGGTAGCCATTGACTGTTTCTTAGGGTTCTTGAGTTCTTTGAAATTTTCTTAGATTCGCCATGGCTATGGAGGCGACGACGCAGGCGATGAAGAGCTTGAAGCAGCGCCTAGGAGAGATCGAGGCTCTGGGAGGAATGGGCAATCTCCTCTTCTGGGACAAGGAGGTAATGCTCGCGGCGGGAGGCCATGGCGCCAGGAAGAAGCAGATGGAGACCCTCGCGCTCGTTGCCCACGAGCGCAGGACGAGCAAGGAGCTGGGGGATTGCATGGATGCGCTCCACAAGCATCCGGATCTGCGGGCTGTGCTCTCGCCAATGGAGGCCGCGACTGTGAGGGAGGCGAGGAGGGACTACACGCGCGCGACGAGAATGCCGACGGAGCTAGAGGTGAGATTGGCGGGTCTGCGATCTTCCGGCTACGATGCGTGGAGCAAGGCTCGCGAGACGAGCGATTTCCAGATCATGGCACCGGCGCTCGAGGAATGGCTGGAGGCTCTCAAGGAGGAGGCGGCAGCGGTGGCTCCGGAGATGCGTCCCTACGACTACTGCCTGGACAAGTTCGAGAGGGGCGCCACGGTCGAGAAGATCGACGCCATGTTCTCGTCGATCAAGCAGCCGCTCATCGATCTGCTGCGAAAGGTGGTGGCCGAGAACAAGAGCGTGGCAATCCCAGGCTGGAGCGAGCTCAAGTTCCCGCTGGATTCGCAGAAGAAGCTCGGCGAGAAGGTCGTCCGGGAGATGGGATTCAAGCTCGAAAATGGCAGGCTGGACAACTTTGGCGGTCACCCCTCGACGACTTCCGTCTCCAGCCCGACCGATGTGCGCCTCACCACTCGCTACCTCGAGGACAACTTGATGTTTGGGATTGGAGCGACGATCCACGAGGCCGGGCATGGATTGTACGAGCAAGGCCGGGACTTGGAGGCCTCGGAGAACGGGCTCATAGCCTCCGGGCCCCCGAGCTTGGGACTCCACGAATCCCAGTCGCTGCTCTGGGAGAGATCCGTGGGACTGAGCCGCGAGTTCTGGAGCCACTACTGGAGCCGCGGCGTCGTAGAGGCCTTTCCTGAGCTGGAGAGCTCGCTGGGGAGGATCAGCCACGAGGATTTCTACCGCCAGATCAACGTGGTGAAGCCCGGCTTCCAGATCAGAGTGGACACCGACGAGCTCTCGTATCCGTTGCATGTCCTGCTGCGCTACGAGATCGAGAAGGGGCTGTTTGACGGCAGCTTGAGCGTCCAGGAGATCCCGGGAGTTTGGAAGGCCAAGATGGAGGAGTACGTTGGCGCTGCTCCAAAGGATGATGCCGAGGGGTGCTTGCAAGACGTGCACTGGGGGATGGGAGCTTTTGGTTACTTCCCAACTTACGTGATTGGAGCGATCTATGCGTACCAGATCTTTGATGCTGCGGACAGGGATATGGGTGGCGAGCTCCGGCAACAAGTTGGAGAGGGAAGGCTGTTGCCACTGAGAGAATGGCTCCGGGATAAGATCCACAGCGTTGGGAGTGTGTATGAGACTGCGGAGGAGCTGGTGGAGCTGGTCACTGGCAAGCCTATGGATACGGGGTTGTATTTGGGCCATCTTACCACCAAGTACGCGGACATATACTTGAACGATGGCTAAATGTCTAGTGTTTTCACTTATAAAATTTACAATAAATGAGAATCTGTGGATTGGAAGTAGAGGGAGTAGCACATTTGGGTACTGCTTCCGAGCTGGATCCCGAATACCATACTTGCGCACGGTCCGGGATTCGTTTTCCAGCCATGCCCTGGTTGTTCCTTGGCCTTTTTCAAGAGTTTCTGCTTCTCGTGGGGAAGGGTCTTAACACTAGCTTGATCGCCACGCTGGTACATGAGAGGTGGCTGGTGTACTATTGCACCGCAATCCTGGAAATGGCACCCTCCACCCTAAACTTCTGCCATTGAACGCTGAATGATGTCTTTAGCGCCCATAGAATCTTCTCAATCACTGTAAACCTTATTTAAAGGATTTCAACTAGATAAGTTTAAGAAATTAAACCCTGAATATTCTTGTCATAAAGTAGATTATTTTAATTTTTAACCCTTATGGACAGGATTAGAAAGACTTTTGGAATGTGGCAAGCTGGATGATGGCTCCCTCGGGCAATGCACAGTAGTTTGCCTAATGCTAGCTGGTGTGCAATCCATGGAAGGAGCTGTGTTGGGCTATTTCCTGAGAGTAGTGGAGAGACACACACGACGAAGAATAATTGTATATCTCAATTATATATATATATATATATATATATATATATATATAAACTATTACTACATAAGCATAATTACATGTCATATCATCTCTATCTGTAATGCTTCACTCACATCATCCAAGCCTAAATCAGACCTAATTAGTCTGAGATGACTCATCAATCAATTACCTAAAACTTTGTTATTAGTGTTAGCCTTACTTGCATAAAGTATAGTGAGTGGTCTGCTGTCACGCGATCGATCCCTGGCAAAGGCGGGATTAGCTCTGTGTTTAGTTCTAAGCGCATGGCAATCCCTAGGATCGACTCCGACTCTAGCTTGTGACATGCTCCAAATCCAAATGCCAATAAAAAAGGACAAAGAACACTGACCAGACTTGATTTTCATATTCGTCTTGACCAGATCATTTGATTGAGTGTGCTATTTAGGGTTTATGTAGGGCTTTTCATGGAAGAAGAGAAGGCGGCAGCACCGAATTCGTATCTGTGGTGCCCTCGCGTGCATTTCGATCCTCCGCCGCAGAGGCTCTATCACTTGCATCGCCAGTTCCGACTGGATGGCAGCGGCAACAATTTCTTCAAGGGTGTCAAGTGGTGAGAAAGAAGTTCTCATTGCATTTCTATGTTCTATAGCTCGTTCTACGCTATTTCTATTGCATTCTCTTGCAGGTCTCCTGATGGCTCGTGCTTTCTGACGTGCAACGAGGACAAGAGGCTCAGGATTTTCGATCTGTAAGTCCAGTTTTGTCTTGTTTTTTTCCTTGTTCCTCTCTTTGTGGGGTCGTTTTTTAATGTAACACTTGTGGCTCCAGGCCGTCAAACGCTCTGGAAGTCGAAGCATTGGATGATCTTGCTGCCAAGACGGGTATGATTCTTGAATTTTTCCTGGATCATGAAAGTTATCGGCTTGATTCTAGATCCACTTGTCTCATCATTGACGGTGTCGGAAGGAGAGACTGTGTACGATTTTTGCTGGTATCCTCACATGGTCGCCACAGGTTCTTCGTCTTAATCTCTTGCGCTTGCTGTTTACTAAGGCTTTTGATTGCTTGTAGATCTGTCAACTTGTGTTTTCGCGACTACAACTCGGGATCATCCAGTTCATCTGTGGGACGCTGCTACTGGTAATGTAAGCTTGAAGTTTTGCGTCTAGCAGAGTAGAGATTTGGTGTTTTTACCTGTCTGTAGCTCCGCTGCAGCTATAGAGCTTACAATGCCATGGATGAAGTTACAGCAGCATTGTCAGTCGCTTTTAATCCTTCGGGTAACAGGTAGAAGATTTCTGATATGGTTGCCCATGCCTGACCATTAGGCTCTCGCAGGCTCTTTTGTGGATACAACAAAAAGATCAGAATTTTCGATACCTCAACTCCCGGTCGTCACTGCGAAGAGCACTCTACACTCACGAGTTCCAAAGAAGGCATTACAGGTGATCGTCTTTCGACTAGAGTAACAAAAGTAGTCACGGGCCTCTTGCAGGAATTGTGTCGTGCCTAGCTTTTAGCGGACACCAGACAAATCTTCTTGCGGCTGGTTCTTACGATCGAACCATAGCAGTGTACAACGAAGGTAACATGGAGCTTCTATATGTGCTGCAAGGACACGAAGGAGGCCTGACTCAAGTATAGTTCTTCTCTTCCCTCTCGAGTCTATCTATGCGCTGCTAAGCTCGTTTCTCGAACAGGTTCAGTTCTCCAAGGACGGCAACTATCTCTACAGCGGGGCTCGAAAGGTCTCAAAGTCTCTCCTTCTGTTGGCTATCCTCATTATGGTGCTTCGATCCAGGATCCATCGATATGCTGCTGGGACGTTCGGTATACAACGAGTTTAGTGTACAAGTATGCCTCAACTGAATTTTCTAGTCGCTAGATTACTTAGCTTGTGCTTTATGCGCAGACTTGAAAGAGCTGTTACTAACACGAACCAGAGGATAGCGTTTGACATTGAACCATATGCTCAACACCTCGGCACAGGAGGCGAGGTTGAGTTATCTTCTTCTTTTTTATTCAGTGCTCACTAGGTGCAACCAAGCAGGGCGGTGATATTCGTTTCTATGATCTTCGAACTGGTGAATTCACTGCCAGTATTCACGCAGCCTCAGGTACAAAACCAAAAAGTTCTATTCTTTCCCTCACTTTCGCTTACAATCAGATACCATCAATGGGTTTTCCTTCCATCCCACACTTCCCCTGGCTGCTTCAACTTCTGGCGCTCGGAGGTTTAGTACTAGCGAGGACAAAGACGATGACGAAGAGCCACCGCAGATTCTAACAGGCAATTACTTCCAAAACCATCTATCTATCGCATTGCTGATGGTATAGTTTGATGCCACAGAGCTGGAGAACTGTGTGTCGGTGTGGAGATTCTCCTGTTCATGGGAAGAAATAAAGTACGAGGACGCAGTAAAGGTTGACGAAGAAACCCAAGAACAAATGAACACCATTGTAACCTAGAACGAAGCGATTGAAGTCCAATGACCGTTACGAAAGCTTGTGACACGTTCAGCCTTCCCAGCTTCGAATCGATGGCCTTCTGCCGGCTCTTTGTGAACACCACCTGACAAGAAAAAGAACAGTATGGTTCCCTCCTCAAGAAGATTGCCTTCGAACAGGAAGAAGACGCAGCAAGAGCTACCTCCTGCGCGCGCTTGCGATTGAGCTCATTTGCCGCTTATCTAAGCATGAGAGGATAATTTGCATCTGGCACTTCGATGCTCAGCAGGATCTCCGACGCCAGGATCGAGAGTTTCTTATTTTTACATTCTGCGACGCTGACGAAGACGTCATTGAGACGATTCTAGACATCTCTTCTCCCGCGGACGTTGCCGAATTCTTGTTGGACAGGAGAGCGGCCGGGGATTACATTACTGTGCCAAGAGAAGTTAGATGCATTGCGCCGGGATCGTTCAGAACGCACTCCGATGACTGCCCTCGAGCGCTACTCTGACTTTGTCGTTAAGGCCTTGTCGCCTGAAGCTGTTGATGCGCAGGACATCCCAGTTCTCCTGCCATACGTTGCTTATATGTGCAGGACGAGTACCTGCAAGAGACCCTCCTCGGCAAGATGCTTCAACAGCATCCTGAACGTGAAGCGGATGTTACTCTTTATGCTGACAAGCACCTGTTCTTCCTAGACAAGGCCTGTAAAGAGTACATCGAAGGCATCACACCGCCAGTCGTCTACAAGAGACGTTTCCAGAACCTGGATACGGGAGATGAACAAGACTCTGCAGCCGAAGAACTAAGCCTGGAGAGGTACCTGGACGAAAAGAGAGACTGGGAAATGGTCCTGCTTAACTTCAGGACAGCTGAGCCCTTTGAATGCATCCGAGACTACACCAAGAACAGGTACGCAGGGGAGGTAGAGAAGCTTAGAGATCCCGCATCTGTGCTCAAGGGCTATGTTTGCCATGGATCTTTTTGCACCAACTATCTTCATGCAGTACATGTAGAAGCGAAGGGCACAGTCTAGAGTTCAAGAACAACCGTGCACAAACTCGAGAAACCCATGAACTTCCAAGGGGAAACTTAAGACCCTTCCCCAAGAGAAGCAGAAACTCTTGAAAAAGGCCAAGGAACAACCCGGCGGACTGGAAAACGAATGCCAGGCCGAGCCTAAGTATGGTATTCGGGATCCTGCTCGGAAGCAGTACCCAAATGTGTATTCCCTCCTCCAGGCAATGACCGTCTAGTTTTATGAAATAGTTGTTTTTCGGAAGACACTCTCATTTGTTACATTGTGTTAGTACTGGTCTGTTGTGTGAATTGTGGTGTAAGAGCTGTAAGCACGCTAAAACACTTCCAATCTTGCCACTATTATATCATATAAGTAACTAATACAGAGAAAAATATCGTGTGAAAGAGAGGACTTCTGATGAAGAGCTTGAGGTCCTGCTGGTCGCTTGTTCCTATCAGGTCCTGTAGCAGCAGCAACCAAAAATCTTGCTCGCAATTTGTGAAACCGCTCAGTGATGCGTATCCTCCACTCCCCTGCCGATGTTGCAAAGGTATGAATTATTTCCGGCCAGTTCACCTTCAAAACCGAGACTTGTAGGCTATGGAGAGATGGCATGCGAGCAATGCGAGGGCCGAGGCACGCTCGCGTTGGGAGGATACCACCGCAAAAATCCCGTCGACATGGCCCGCGTTGTCGGTGAGTGAATTGGGTGTGATCGATCTTGTTGCCAATCTTTGTCTCGAGTCTCCAGGATCCAAATGGACAGCCATGGAGCGCACTTTTGGATGGCGCCACTACGAAGCTCGAGCCAAGCAGCGGATGAGCGACAAGGAATGGTTCGTCCAAATGGTGGCCACTTGTGACACCACCACCCAGCTGTGGGTGAATGCGCAAAATCTCCGGGTAAGAATAGGATTTCTCCATCGAATTCTTGGTTTTTTTTTTCATCTTCTCCCAAATTTCCAGGATCGCAAGCTTTGGAGCATGGGGTGGCTCCAGCGATCCGAGTTCTCCGACCTCAAGGAGCGGAATTCGGGGCCCAAATGCCGGGCGTGCAAGGGGCAGGGGAAGATCCAGTGCCCCAGTTGTGATGGATCGTCCATGAGCAGCAGCAAGGAGCTCCAGATCATCGATGTGTGATTGATAGTGTGTTGATAGTGTGCCCAAAATTTAGCCTGGCGCCGGCGCCGCATTCGTATCTGTGGTGCCCTCGCGTGCATTTCGATCCTCCGCCGCAGAGGCTCTATCACTTGCATCGCCAGCTCCGGCTGGATGGCAGCGGCAACAATTTCTTCAAGGGTGTCAAGTGGTGAGAAAGAAAAGAAAAGAAGTTTCCATTGCGTTTCTATGCACTGGGCCTATAGCTTGTTCTATGCAATTTCTATCTCTTGCAGGTCTCCGGATGGCTCGTGCTTTCTGACGTGCAACGAGGACAAGAGGCTCAGGATTTTCAATCTGTAAGTCCACTAGGTTTTGTGGTTTTTCTTCCTTGTTCTTCTCTTCGTGGTGTAACGTTTGTGGCTTCAGGCCTTCAAACGCTCTGGAAGCCGAGGATCTTGCTCGGTAGATTTTTTCCTGGAACATGAAAGTTATCAGCTTGAGTTTAGATCCACTTGTCTCGTCATTGAAGGAGAGCCTGTGTACGATTTTTGCTGGTCCTCACATGGTTGCCACAGGTTCTTCATTTTAATCTCTTGTGCTTGAATTTCAGTAAGGCTTTGATTGCTTGTAGATCTGTCAACTTGTGTTTTCGCGACTGCAACGCGGGATCATCCAGAGCTTACAATTGAAGTTACAGCAGCATTGTTAATCCTGCGGGTAACAGGTAAAAAGATTTCTGATATGGTTGCCCATTCCTGGCGCTCGCAGGCTGTTTGTGGATACAACAAAAAGATTAGAATTTCTTATGCCCCGGTCGTCACTGCCAACGAGTTCCAAAGAAGAGTGATCGTCTTTCGACTTAGAGTAACAAAAGTAGCTCTTGCAGGAATTGTGTCGTGCCTAGCTTTTAGCGGACATCAGACAAAATCTTCTTGGGGCTGGTTCTTAGGATTGAACCTTAGCAGTGTACAACGAAGGCAAACATGGAGCTTCTATATGTGCTGCAAGGACACGAGGAAGGCCTCACTCAAGTATAGTTCCTCGCTTCCCTTCGAGTCTATCTATAAGCTGCTAAGTCAAACATGTTCAGTTCTCTAAGTACGGCAGAAATCTCCACAGGACAAATTTCTCCTCGAGGGAGCCCTTGGTTAAATCTCTCGCAGCATGGAAAAGAGCTGTGGTGCACCGAGATGGTTGTGGCACGATTGAACGCTTATGATTCCTCTATTAGATAGATAGATTCGTTGCCAGATATTCATAGGTACCTGAGGAAATCCCTTCAAAGACACCGTGACCTTCAGCAAATACCGGATCCCGAAGAACAGGGCAGTTTACAGCAGTGCGGCCACTTATTTCGACAAACAGGTATATGACCGGCTTCTCACTCGACAACAAACTCGTGAGAAAACTCGACTCTCTCGCTGGTGCAATTGGCTTTGCGGTACACCCAGTTTCTTCTCGCGTACCAGAGGAGATGCATCTCGGCCTCCAAACGCAGCTTGAACCGGAGGGGAAACTTGGACGCCATGCTTGCCGGCAGATGCCACACAACAATGGGAAAGTTTTCCACGTTAATCCTTGTTCGTCCTCCTTGCAACGGAGGCTGTATGAATCACCTTTAGATGGAAACAAAAGCAATGATTTACCTTGAGAGAGTTGAGCTTATAGTATGGTTTGGATGGATTATACTTCATTCCATTGTGATTCCAGCGAAGGAGTTTCCACTCGAGCTCTGCTGTGTTCCCTGGAACTCCAACGGTGATTGAGTCGTACTCCATGGGCTCTTGGACTGACCGCCCCCACGTCTTCTTTAAACTGAGCGACACTGGCCATAATTTAAGTTGAGCTCCAATCTCACCATTGCTGCTCGTGATGTGCGTGCTGGAATTGGCATCCCCATCACGGAAATTGTAGGTAACAATGTTGACAGAGCTCTTCATTTCACCATGTTGTGGCTCGATCCAGAGTTTGACGCGGTAGGGATAGAATCCTAAAGCTCTGGCGCTCATGATTACATCCTCGTCGTCCACGCTCACGAAGAAGCTCCTGACCTCCAGAGTAACTTCGATGTTTGCGCGGCTCTCTCGGACGCAGGGCAGGATCACCATTCCAATGCCCACGAGCTGCTCGCGCTTGGGTAGTCCATTGGGAAGATGAAGGCGTAGCTGGTCGAGTGGTGTTGTGTGTGATGGGAGCTTTGTGTTGATCTGAATGCAGCAGCACCTCCTCTGGGAAAATGAATTTCGAGAGAATAAGCTGCCCATTGCAGGAGTAATATGGGCAGTAGTAATATGACGGGAAGGAGTAATATGTAGTAATATGATGTAATATGATAGTAATGATTGGATAGTACTAAAAACTGAAGTCAAAAGGAACATTTGTTAAACTTTTTTTTGTTAAGGACTTTAAAAAATCATCAATGGTATATAATTTTTTTCAATTGTCAAAAACAGAGAATGTTGATTTTCTGACTCAAGTTGCATATGCAGAGATTTTTTTAGTAGATCTGAAGCGAACTATGTAGGATTAATTAGATTGCACCATTCGATAAGTAAAACTTAATAGAGAGTGTTTTTTAACTACCCTTAAGATAGTCATTTTAATTCTAAAAGTGTTTTTAAAGAGTCAAATCTTCAAAATGTTCTTCTATGAAGATTAAGAGACCTCCTAAGAAGAGTGGCTCACAGCCTATTAGCAGCAAAGCAATGGTTTTTTGCAAATCTAATAAAAGAAAGAGTGTTCTCAATCTCTTTCCTACAAGAGTGTATGAGGGCAAAAGATACATTTCCACTTGGCGAAAGGATTTGTTGCTGAATAGCATGGCAAAGTCATCCTACCAGATCTAAAGTGGTTTGCAATCTGTCAATGGAAACACAGTGCCACAAGTCATCCTTTCCTCTCAAAACAAACTTCATCATCCCCTCTTTTGCGGGATTCTTTTTATGCAACACAGCATAGAATCAAGGCTTCTACCTTAACTAGTTGGTTTTGTTAACTAATGAATCAATTGGGTAGTTTTAGATTTGCCCACCTTGCTCCAAAGCAGTGAATTTTGTGGTGGCAGGATATTATTTCCCGCCGCAACATTTGTACTTCATTTTTATTACCAATTACTGTAAGCTAATATATTAATAGTATGAAATTGCTTCAGCCCAAAGTTTTAAATCCTGAAAATTTGGACAAAGAATTTGATCAGCTACAACAGGAGAGCGATCCAGAGTTCTCGACCTTGAGGAGCACAATTCCCGGGAGTGCAAGGGGCAAGGGGAGATCCCTCGCAGGCATTTCGATCCTCTGCCACACAGACTCTATCTGCATCGCCAGTTCCGGCTGGATGGCAGCAACAACAATTTTTTCAAGGGTGTCAAGTGAAAGAAGTTTCTATTGCATTTCTACGTTGTTTTACGCAATTTCTAACGCATTCTCTTGCAGATCTCCTGATGGCTCGTGCTTTCTGACGTGCAACGAGGACAAGAGGCTCAGGATTTTCGATCTGTAAGTCCATATTTTTTTCGTGTTCTTCTCTTTGTGCGGTCGATTTTTTGATATAACGCTTGTGGATGCATGTAAGTTATCGGCTTGATTGTAGATCCACTTGTCTCGTCATTGACAGTGTCGGAAGGAGAGACTGTACGAGTTTTGCGGTATCCTCACATGGTTGCCACAAGTTCTTCGTGTTAATCTCTAGGGCTTGTTTTATACTAAGGCTTGTAGATCTGTTAATTTATGTTTTCGCAACTATAACACAGGATCATCTAGTTCATCTATGCAATGCTGCCACTGGGCTTGAAGTTTTTTGTCTAGCACAGTGTAGATTTAGTGTTTTTACCTGTTTGTAGCTCCGCTGCAGCTTTAGAGCAAGTTACAGCAGGATTATCCGTCACCTTTAACGCTTCCCGTAACAGGTAAAAAGATATCTGATATGGTTTTCCATGCTTGACCAGTTCGCAGGCTGATTTGTGGATACAACAAAAAGATTAGAATTTTCCTCAAATCCCGGTTTTTTCTGTTCGTATCCAGTGCTCTCGGTGCAAACCAGCAGGACGGTGATCGTTTCTACGGTCTTCGAACTGGTGAATTCACTGCATTCACGCAGCCTCAGGTAGAAAACCAACTTCTGGTGCTCGGAGGTTCGAGGACAAAGACGATGATAAAGAGCCACCTCAGAAACCATCTCTCTATCGCATTGCTGATGGTATAGTTTGATGCCACAGAGCTGGAGAACTGTGCGTCGGTGTGGAGATTCTCCTGTTCATGGGAAGAAATAAAGTACGAGGACGCAGTAAAGGTTGACGAAGAAACCCAAGAACAAATGAACGTTGACAAAAGCACCATTGTAACCTAGAAATGTACGACCGAAGCGATTGAAGTCCAATGACCGTTACGAAAGCTTGTGACAAGGTAACTGGAACAATCCTTTCACTCAATCGATCAAAGATGTTTTTTGCTTTACGTCGAAATAATCTTCGGGTACGAAAAACTTGAGCCCGACTGCCTGTGCAAAAGGAAGGAGGACTGGAATGCATTAGTTGGAATGTATGGCCAATCTCTCACCTTTGCAAATCCAATGTCAGCATCACTGTGATCTCCTGCTCTTCCAGCCGCGTCACCAACATAGAAAGACATACTCCTGTCTATGGCGATGTCGCCGTTCAAGTGCCGCTCCATAAACTCCCACATGCCAGGCGCAGGCTTTCTACACGGGTCACCGTCCAAGCCACACGAAATGACCACCTAGAAACGGGAGCAGCACTGTCAAAACGTGGTTTTTCCTTGGAACAACAATACCTGTATCGGAACCTTGACAAGATCCATGAAGGCGTTCAGCCTTCCCAGCTTCGAATCGATGGCCTTCTGCCGGCTCTTTGTCCACCTATCGATGTTGGACTCGTTTGTAAACACCACCTGACAATAAAAAGAACAGTTTGACAACAGGCCGCATAGTGAAAGCAATCAGCAAGCACTTCACCAGTTTATACCCGTCTTCGTGGCAGGCTTGTAGCTTTTGCGGTATAGAAGTGTATAGTAGGGACCATGCTTGAGCACCCACTCTGCAAAAGAGAGTCGATTAGGAAAGATTCTAGCTGCGATTTATGTCACCTTTTCACGTCAGTGTTCACAAGGCAACCGTCAAAGTCGAAAGCTGCAACCTTCTCTGACAAAGTTCCACTATCATCTGGCTGCAAATCGAGTAAAAGTACTGTCTCAGCTTGATCCCGTGTGTTCTCGTAAGAGAAACCTTACAGTGTTCACGATTATGGAGGAAAATGACTTCCACCCCATGGGCAGAGATGAATCCTATGCGTCTTGAGAGATGAATATAATCAAAAGCGTTAAATGCAAAACACAAACCTTGTAGCATGTAGAGAACTGAGATGGCTCAAAGCTGGACAGCTTTGCATGCCAAAGCTGTCGAGTTTCCTTCGGCACGACAGCTTTCTTCTCGAGACAAATCTTTTTACGGCTCACTTCCACGGCTTCTCGCTGTAGCAACTCCTTCAAAATAGTTTGATCCGAAGCCTGTGCCAAATCAAAAAGTTCTCATGGCTCATCGCATTCTGCAATAAAAAAAATTACTTTCAATGCAGCGAAGCCTTTGGCCTTGAGAACGTCCGCGACAGGAGCTTGGAGCTCCAAAACGCATTTGGAGTGATGCCTTCCACAAGAAGAAGAAAAAAAAGAAATTGCTATGAAGGAATGGAAAATCTTTACCATTTGGTCATGGCGAATCCGGCGCCCTTGCTCACAATGCCGATTCTCACCTCGCCCTTGGCGAGCTCGAGCTTGCAGTGCTTGCACGCCGACCTACCGGATTTCGCATACTCGACGACGAAGCCGGCCATAGCTTCGCGCCCCCCAAACACATTAGGGCTCCTATATGGAATCACCTCTATCAACCATAAGAAATCTCTCATAAGTACAAATCCATTGTCGTCTAGTCCGGTCAGGATATCTGGCTTTCACCCAGGTGACCCGGGTTCAAATCCCGGCAATGGAAACTCAAATTTGAAACCAGGGTTCAAATCCCGGCAATGGAAACTCAAATTTGAAACTTACCTTATCTTTTTAACCGTTGACAGGATGTCAGAGGGGTAAAATCTTATTGCATTAGTAAATGCCAAAGCCCTTGACGTCTTCTTCGAAATCAACCGTTTTCCAAATAACGATGAGTGAAAGCAAAAGCTTTTCTTTGTCAGACGTAAATTTCAAATACTCTCAAGCCCGGCAAAAAGTCCAAATCCCAAGCTCCCAAATCCCCTGTATTTTTAGGGTTCTTGGATTGTGGGGGTAAATTCGTCCTCTCCACGGCTGCTGGATCTCTTGGCTAGCTACATTCTTCCACTTCCTGTGACGATCACGAGGTTTCTTCCAGTACGCATAGATTGATTTAAGCGCTCTTCTTAGCATCTGAGGATTAATGGATGACGCGACAAGGTAACCGAATGCCACAGCCTTTCTCTCGTCGATCAGCGGTGTCCAGGCGCGGTCCAAGGTCACTGTCTCTCAGAAAGAAATAGGGAAGAACACTCGCAGGCAGACCTCTTGCGCGCTATCTCATTCATGGTATATGTGGAAAATTCAATGACTTCACGGCCTTACATCATCTAATGCTTGTGCCAGATCTCAACGTGGTGACAAGCAGCGAGAAACTGAGCTAGATCGAAAAAGCTCTCTGGCATGGACCACGGGGAGACAACATCACCACCACCACTATGGGACTACTGACGATCCACTCGGCAAACTTATCGCACCAGGTGAGCTTGCTCTTTAATTTCTATCTTTTTCTCCAGTGGAAGTTCCTTTGCTGAAGTGTTTGGGCTGGAGAAATCCAGTGCCTGGCAGCTGCTGCTCCGACCCATCTTCCAGCGACTTTGCTGCTGGAGGAGGAGGATAATGTCCAGCAGCGGTAGCAGCAAGCTCAAGAAATCCTCCAGCCACCAGTCCTTCAAGTCCTTCTTGAATCCTCTCGGTGGCTCTCTAGACAAGGAGAAGTCTTCCAAATCGTCTGGCGGCCATGGAGTCCTCATCGACTGCGGTGGCGGTGGTGGCTCGGCTCTTCCAATGCACCTTTGCCACAGCTCCTCGGTGCAGTGCGATGTTATCGACGTTCTCAAGGAGAATGCCTTCCGTTCTTCGTCCTCTCCAGCGCTGCGCAAGAGTCGAAGCCAGAGGCACCATTCCTTCGATTCCATCGTCTCCAAGTCGGAGCCACTTTGCGAGCTCAACCGGGGCCCCTTGAGCGCGTCCAAGAAGCACAACAGGAGCAACAATGCCGGGGATGTGAGCTCGAGCGACAAGAACAAGTCTGGCGAGCTTTCAGGCGAGACTCCGCTGTTTTGTGCCACTCCAAATCACCGGCTTTATGTCTGGGACGAAGAAGCTGCTCCTGCGTCTGCGTGGTCGACTCTTGGCAACAGGTTCTTTCCTTTTCCTCTATTTATCGTGCTTTGTTCGAGACTTCTCTTGAAAGGCTTCTCTTTTCTTTCGTTTTCGGCAGAGTTTTGCTCCTCAAGCCTTTGCCTGTGGATGTGGGGAAGTGTCGATGCTACATTGTTCGAGAGCATCGAGATGGTCCCTCGGTTTACTCGCTCTACACAGATGTAAGCGAAAATCTGCTCGGTTTTCTTCGAGTTAGTGGCTGAAAGTCTTGTTGTCAGGAGGGCCAAGGTCGACAGGATCGTTTGCTAGCTGTTGCTCGTCACAGACGACGGGTCGGGCGCTCGGAGTTTTTGATCGCTCAAAGCACCATCGGAACGGTGCTACAGTCGCAAGACGAAGGATATTTGGGAAACCTGGGAGCGAACCTTGTTGGATCGCGGTACCAACTTTGGGAACAGGTATTGGAGCCTTCTTTTGCTTTACTCTGGTTGCCTTTTCGTTTGAAGCTTGTTGTATTTTTATATCCATGGCTGCAGGGGGATTTTTTAAGTGCTCGACAGAAGGTGCTTCAGGGCGTTGTGACGTGAGCGTTTTGTAGCTTAAATGACATCCATTTGATTGACAGCTAGTGCTTGTTTCTTTGGCTTTCTTTATGAAGGTTCGAGCCGACAGTCACGACGCTCACAGGCGACTCCAGAAAATTGAAGGCTTTTATCCCGAAGTATCAGTCGATTCAAACAAATGGTTCTAGTATTCAGGTAAAACGCAGTCTTAGTGTTTTGTTGTTCTTTCGATATTCATATGTTCCGGGAACTCGCAGTTTAATTTCGGTTTAGGAAAGGACTGGGAGGAAAACATGAGCAATGTCAAGGAGCTCGTATCTAAAACACCTTGTTACAACAATATTTTAAAAAGATATGAACTCGACTTTCGTGAGTCGTCAAAAATGGGCGCCAAGATCAAGACCTCGGTTAAAAACTTTCAGCTGACAGTTGAGGTACCCAAAAAATCTCCTTTTCTCCGGAAAATTGACAGTTTTGTTTTTTGCTGATACAGGACCAAGGTAAGCAAGCTGTTTTGCTACTTGGGAAGCTAAGCAAGTCCACCTATGTCATGGAATACCGGTAAGCATGCTTGACATGGCTGGACGATTGTAACACTCCCGTGGTTTCCAGATTTCCATTGACAGGATTTCAAGCTTTCGGCATCTGTTTGGCTTCCATCGATTCCAAGCTATGCTGCACAGTGTAAACCGCGACTCCAAAAACTATTGACAGCTAAATCTCCTTCGCTGAGCTCTCACAAGTTTAGCATGCTCCAGGAAATGTTTCTCACAGGTTCCTTGTGAGTCAGGCAGCTGCTAAGCTCTCGAGCCATCCTAGCCTGACTAGCACGCTCAAAGACATCCACCATCGCGAAGAAATGCTCAGGGAGATAATCTAGGCCATAGTCCGCCACCACGGACGAGAAATACTTGCGGCTCTTTTCGATCGAGCCTTCATGGCTGCAAGATGAAAGAACACTCGTGAGAGCTACCTCGTCTGGTTGGAAACCACTTAAGCTCATAGCTTCCAGCGTCAATGCTACGTCTCTCCATTCTCCAAACTGCGAGTAGCCGCTAAGCATTGCGTTGTAAGATACCGACGTTGGCTCTGGCATGGTTTTAAAGAGAGCCTCGGCTTGGAGAATATGCCCATTGTGGGCATGTGCTGCTAGCGTGGTATTCCACGTCACTGCATTGCGCTCGTCCATGGAATCGAACACCTGCTTTACCCTGTTGAGCTTCATACATTGGGCATATGTCACGATCACTGCGTTCCAGACGAAGAGATTAGGGTAGGGGATTTCGCGCAGCATTGCGTCGGCGAGATCCAGATGCCAGGCCTGGGCATAAGATTTGATCAGCGTTGCCCAGGAGATCGCGCTGTGCTGCGGCATCCGGTTGAAGATCGCGGTGGCGGACTCCAAATCCCCTTGCGAAGCGTAGCCGGCGATGAGCGCGTTTCCAGAGATTGTGTCGCGGACGGGCATCGAATCGAACAGGCTCACGGCTTCCGCGTGTGTACCCCCACTCTCGGTGTAGCCTGCGATCATAACGCTCCAGGATATGAGATCCCTCTCGGGCATTCGATCGAACAGAGATCGCGCACTGGCGAGATCCCCGGCCTGGACGAATCCAGTGATCATCGCGTTCCAGGTCGCGAGTCCCCGGATTGGAATGCTCTCGAAGATATCCTTCGCCTCGTCCAGCCGGCCATTTGCCGCGAGCGCGGAGAGCATCGCGGTGGACGCCATGGCGTTCACCTCGGGCATGGAGGCGAATATCCGCGTAGCATCTTCCAGATTCCCCCTGTCAGAATATGCCGCCAGCAGCGTGACGCACGACGGAATGTTCCACTCCGGCATCGCATCGAAAGCGGCTTTCGCGGCGTCTATAAGCATATTCTGTCCGTATGCTGCCATGACGGCGTTCCACGTCACTAGGTTGCGGTACGGCATTGCGTCGAAGATTCGCTTTGATTCCTCCAGATGACCGTTTCTTCCGCAGGCTGCGATCAGGGCCGTCCACGACACCAAGCTGTGGCAGGGCATCTCGTCGAATATCCGCCACGCGGCGTCCACGTCACCGGACTGGCCGTACGCAGTGATCAACGCCGTACACGCCACGAGGCTCATCTCGGGCATTTTCTTTAGCAAGCGAGTGGATTCTTGGAGATGGCCGTTTAGGGCGAGCGCAGAGACGATGGAGCTCCAGGAGAAGATATTTCGCTCCGGCATTTGGTGGAAGAAGTTCTTGGCATCCTCCAGGCACCCATTCTCGCAGTAAGATTGGAGCATCGCGTTCTCGGCAACGAGATCGCGCTCCGGCATGCTGTGGTAGATCAGCTCCGCTTGCCCCAGGTCAGATGCGCGGAGCAAGGCCGTGGCGGCAACCATATTCTTGGGATCCGGCATTCTTTCGAACAGATCCATGGCCTCTTTCAAGAATCCCTGCTGCGCGAGTGCCGCGATGAGGATCGTGCTAGAAGCGGCATCCTTGTGCGGCATTCTCTCCAGCAGCTCCATCGCTTCTTGGAAATGGCCGGTCTGGGAGTACGCCTGGATCATCGCGTTCCAGGCCAGGGAATCCTTGCATCGGGCATCCATCGAGTCAAAAATCGCCTTGGCCTTGAGTGCCAGGCCTGCCTGAGCATAGGCCGTGATCATCGCAGTCCAAGAAACGATGTTCTTCTTCCGGCCCAGTCCCTGGAAGAGTCGATCGGCCTCCGCGAGATCGCCATTCCTTGCATTGGCCACGATCAAGGTATTTGTCGCCACTACCGTTGCTCTTGGCATCATCTCATACATCTCCTTTGCCTTCTCCAGGTCGTCGTTTTGAGCGTAGGCCGAGACGATGGCGTTCCAGGCAACCTCATCCCTCTCGGGCATCCGATCAAACAGCTCTTTCATCTCCTCGATATGCCCATTTTGGGCATACGCTCCAAACATGATGTTCCACGAGAAGACATTGGGCTCCTGGATCCGATCAAAGACCTTGGCAGCGTCGGCAATGCGGCCACACTTGCCATACATCTCGATCAGCAAATTCGCAAGGTACCTGTTACTCCTGTGCTCGCTCCTCGCTATCCTCAGATGGATCCGTCGGCCCTCATCCAGGTTCTTGGAACTGGTGCAGGATCTCACCACCCGGATGAAGCTCTCCAGCTGATCGTCGCCATGCTCGACACCATCCGGCCGCGACTCTCCGGCAAGGAGCCTGCGAGTTCTAAAAGGCAGGCTCCTGGAGTCAATGCTTGGTAGCTGTGAAAAGGACATGGCGTTGATCCGCGGTGGTGGAAGATCATTGATTCCGGGTCGACCACCACCTCTTAAAATCGGTGCAAGCCGCGTGAAGGCCCGGGAGACATAAAGTCTGCAAAAGAGAGGTAGCTCAAAGTTCTTTGGTTTGGTCAGCGGGGTCAATCCATCACATTGATGGTGCTCTGTTTTTATGGATGCAGCATTCGTTGCCGATCGCGGTCACGCTGCCTCTTATTCTTCCCTCGGGCAGCACCGATCTCGACGCCTTGCCTCTCACGAATCCAGCAAGCAAGTGCAAGTCGCAATCTCGTGCTGGGCTCTCAATTGCGGTGAGTTCTTCGGCAGGAGCAGGGTCACATTCAAGCGTCTTGGTTGGAGCTAAGGATACATTTCACCACCATTCAATTCCGTAAGTGGTAGCAGCAGCAGCAGCAGCTCAGCAGCGGCAATTATGCCGGTGACGAGGAAGATTTGGGCTCGCGTTTTCCCGGGCAGCGCCGGTAGCAGCCAGCGGCAGCAGCAGAGGAGAATCTCGCGCTCTTCGTACCAACACATCAGAGTGAGCAGGCGGAATTTGCGAGTCAAGCGATTCAGTGTGGCGATTCCTCCTCTCTTCCCTAGCCGGATCCTCAAGAGGATGAGGGCGCTGTGCTCGCGAGCCAGCCCCTTCCTCAAGCCCTTGTTCTCGGGCCATGGATTCCTCCTCCACATCGCCGCGCCAAACAAAGCTCTACATTAAACCCTAATTTAAGCTATTTAAAAGTTTGAAAAGCCCGCGAATCGGGACAAAGAAGGCGCGATTTCACGCTCGTAACGCGCTCGCTCCACAGGCTTAGTGTGGGTGGCAGAAGATCATGTATCCCCAGCTATAATTCCACAGCGCGATCGTTCCTCCACAGCGCTCCAGGATTTTAAAACAAATCCAATCGAGCGATCCAAGCCAGGGATCATCTATACTAGTTTGGGAGATTTCCAAGCTTTTGGGATCGTCAGCCCAAGAACAGGAATGGCGAAGGTGGTGGTGCTTCTGGTGGTGTTTGCGGCGCTGACCATGGTGGAAATGGGGAATGGCTACTGCTTCTTGGCGGATACAGCCTTGCATTCCCGCGATCAAGGCCACAGGGCTCCCACCCCTGCTTGCTGCGACTCCATCTCCAAAATCTCCCAAGTTTGCCTCTGCCAGGCCGTCTCAGGGCCCGAGACGCCCAAGGCCGGCCTCTCAGTTGGAAAGGCGCTCGTCCTGCCCCTCGAGTGTGGGATCAACGTTCCCTCTGGAACTACTTGTGCCGGTAAGACAGCAAAGTTTTTCTTGGTTGTTTTCGATCTAGTCTTTGCTTGAACAGGTTGTCCAGTTCCAAAACTAAGGCACTGGGGTTTTGGAAGAGGTGTTTGTCGATGTCATTCTAAATCTTTTTCCACTCTCCTCCCTAGATCTTGTTCGTGGCTTTTTCCCTATCTTAAACCCGAAACGAGGCCTCATGATCGCGAGGAAGAACTTTTGGTTGTTTCTCGTGTTGCTTCTGTGTGGGCTCTTGTTCTTGTTGCTGGTGCGTTGCGCGGGCTTAGATTCGTACGCCCACAAAGCGCACCTGACAGGCGATAAAAAGAATTATTATAAGAAGGCAATACGAACAGGATGGAAAGATGCTTTGGCGTGGAGAAACAAGCATTTGTGGGGAGTCAATCACTGTTCCACGAGCTATATTCTTTATTCTTTTTTCGCTTTATATCTCGAAGAATTTGGCTTGGCTACGTTGCTCTTGGCCCCCGAAACTGTCCGAAAAACGAGAAAGCGAAAATACGGAGAGAAAAACTTCAAATGGTCACTTCTTCCGGGAGGGTCCCTTGTAGCACTTTTGCTCCGTGGGGTGAAGCGATATCACCATCTGTTTGTGGCTGTGCCTGTCACGCTGCAACGTTGCAAATGGCGTGAATGATTTGGAGATTTCCCCAAAAAACCCCCCAGGTGAGAGATGAGACAAGAAACGCTTATATATTACACCCATGATCGTCGCTGGTGGACAATCTATTTCCTTGTTTCCTTTTCTTCCCCTTCTTTTTTCCCCTGTATCTCTCGTCGGTTGACGATAGATAAACAAATGCGAAGGTCCAGAAGCTTGCAGTTCCGAGATCACTGTCGCGATCCATGGCGAGACCACATGTAGAGATGAATCGCCAGATATTTGAGCGCGTCTTAACGTCTCATTTACGGCCTTGCCAATGGACTCAAAGTCTTCCTCTCCCAGTCCCTTCTGGCCTCCACTTCTGAGTAATCTCTAATCTCTCTCTCTCTCTCTCTCTCTCTCTCTCTCACACACACACACACACACACACACACACACACACACACACAGATCTTTCGCTTTCAAGAGATTCAATACACCAGTTGCCGTTCCCAGGAAAATGCACATGATTCTTCACTCTTCTCTTTTACTCACGCACTGATTCACAAAATCAAAGCCGCCACCTTCTCTTCACGCTTATTACCTCTGGCCCCAAAACACTGATCTATGTGTGTGTGAGAGAGAGAGCACAAAATTCTATTTGTTTGTGTGTTCTTTGTGTCACTCTCAAGGGTCAGGAGCTACGTTCCTAGGCCCGCAATGGTGGGCTCTCACGTAAATGTGAAAGAGGGATTGGAGATTGATGGCACTCTCTTTCTTTTGGTGGTGGAGAAGCAGTGATCTTTGCGAGGCAGATGCTAGAGGAAACGTGGTTTGGTTAGTCTATGCTTTCTTTAATCCCATGGAAGGGGACCTGTGGAGAGTGTGGAGAATTTAAGTGGCCAGGGGAGTTTCGCAAACTTCTCTTCCCTCAACTACAATGTACGCACACACCGACGTTTAGACACGCGCGCGCACTCGAGATCCAGAGAGCCCGGGCATTACTTACAGGCTACAGCTACGCAACAAAGAGGGGAAGAAGAGTGTGTGTCAAAGCCAAAACGCGCTTCACATCTGAAAGGAGCTCTCTCTCTTTCTGATTTGAAGGGATGAGCAGTGGAAGAAGAGAAGGGGACTGGAGCGATTTAGTCTCCTGTGGTCCTAGGATCAAGGAGATGAATTGAATCACAAGTATCCAGAATTTCTCTCATTTCTCTGTCCCTCTCTTTCTTTCTCTTTGCAGAGGTAGTTGAACCATAGTAAATGTAAATGCTCTCTTTCTGCAAGGCAAGGGAGATTGTGAGGGAGGGAGGGAGAGAAGGAAGAGGGTCTGGCTATGGGAGAACAGAGAAGACAAGTTTTTCTGGTTTGATTGTAAACTGTGGTGGTGGTGGGGGTGTGTCTTTGTTTTTGTGTTGTTGGGATCTTGGAGAAGGTTAGCTCGTTTTCCAGGTGACAAATTTTTGTTCCTGGAGCTCCTCCCAGGAAATCTCATTCCCAATCAAATTGTTTGTGAGGATATTTTGGAGGAAGCTTGCAAGGCAACAGGGGAGGAGGAAGGAGGAGAAGAATCACTTCAATCATCAAAATGGTACTACTACTACATGAGGGACTTCTTCCTTGAAAGTTACTTCCACACCTCTCTCTCTCTCCTCCCTCTTTATTCTTTCTCCTTTGATTCCTCCAGAAAAGAGTGTAGAAGGATGTTGCTGCTACTGCTGCTCCTCATGCCTCCTTCTCCTTCCTCATCCTCTCACATTGCTGTGGTGATGGAAGACTTGGCACCTCCATGGCCTTCTCCTCCAGCCTCAAGCTCCGCCAGCAATGGCAATGGCATCAACGCAGCTTCCTTCCCAAGAACTTCTCCTTCCTCCTCCTCTCCCATGAGATTCACGGCTCTTCACGTCACCATGATCTTCATTGCTATCCTCCTGTGCGTCATCATCTGCGCCATTCCCTGGGACAACATCAAATGCAATGGCAGCAGCGCCGACAACCAAAACCAAAATCCTCACCACGAGCAGCCGGAAGAAACCGCGGCACTGGGCGACGAGGAGCAGCCGCAGCCGCAGCCGCAGCAGCAGCAGCCAGCCTCGGGCCTGACCAAAAAGATAATCAAATCGTTCCAGCTGGTGAGGTATGGATCATCGTCGCTGCGGGAAAAGGCCGAGAGCGACACCAGCGGCTGCGGCGGCTGCTGGACCGAGTGCATGATCTGCCTCAGCGACTTCCGGAACGGCCAGATGGTTCGCATCCTCCCACACTGCAGCCACGGCTTCCACCGAAAGTGCATCGAACAGTGGCTCCACTCGCACACCTCGTGTCCAATCTGTCGTAACGCACTGCTCGTTCCAGGCAGTCCGGAGAAAACCACAGCAGCTTTGCCACACCAACACCGTCGCCATCATCACCAGCCTGAGCAGCAGCAGTCTGGAGCTCATCACCACCACCACCACCACCACCAGAGCCAGCTAGAGCAAGTCGTAGTCGTCGATCCGGAGAGTACTCAGGTCGAGGAGGCCGGAGAGCGGGCTTCCGACGATCAGGACGGCCAGAGTGTACATAGCCGAGCTTACGTTGTTGATTCAGACTGAGTTGAGATGATGAGATGATAGCAGCGATGATTAATCTCGAGTTTTCTTCCTCCAGTCTTGTCCTTCTCTCCCAAAGACTTGATCTTTAGCCTTTCGTCGCGTAGCTCAGCAGGCATCTTCGTCGGTCTCGCATCTCTCTCCGTCTCTATCTTATCACTTCCTCCCAGAATATCTGACCATTCCGTAAGCCACTCCATTCCAGGAAACCAAAGCCGATGATACTGAACCAATCCAGTAACTAGTGATGCCGACATGTCCCAGTACTTGAGGTCACACGGACTGGATATCAGCAGCTCGCAAGGAGACGAGCGAGAGAGAGCTCTTTCGTATTCCTTTTCTTTCCCAGTTCTGACACTGGCTAAGTTTTGCTGCCACTGCTGCTGCTGCTGATGCTGCCAATGCTGCTACTACTACTGCTGCTCCATCTCCCATTTTTCTTCTTTCGGATCAATCACTCCAAAAAAATAAATCTAGCAAACCACCACCCCGGCAAATTATCCTCGAGAGCTGCATGCTTTGCTCTTAGCTGGCGGCTTGATTTCGCTGATTGAAGCTAAGCTTATCGGCGTCATTCGTCGTCGTCTTCTTCATTCTCGTCACTCTGGCCTGTACTTCGCCGGGTGAGCTAGACTATAGCGAGGCTGGTTACCTCACGATCACAACCGGCTGCACTGGAGGGATGCAATCTCCGCCATCGGGTCTGCGCACCATTCCCCCGTAGCCTTTGTGATGCGCACGGGTGCTGTGCTCGAAACACACGTCGCCGGAGGACGACTCTGTCGTGCTTCGTGCGTCGCTGCCGCTCTCGGCAACTTTGTTGGTGGTGGCCTCACCGTTAGCTTGTGTACCGTTTGATTCGTGAGTGCCGTGAAGAGCTTCGTCGCCCTCGGACTCGCTCTCGCTTGCAAGGTCGGCCCACAGCTTCGTCGCAGTAGAGCCAGAGGTTGATGCCGGAGTGACACTGCTCGTCCCCTCTGCTGCTGCTACTGGCATTTCTGCCTCACCACTGCCTTCGAGAGTTTTGATGATGTCCTCAGCTGGAGGAGGTGGAGGAGCACTCTCGAATCCCATGGGAACCATGGGCTCCATCATGACGCAGTTCTGAGGCGCGCCAGCGGCGGCAGCGGCAGCGTATTCCATCTCGAGCTCACTGCTGTACTGGTAAACCGGTACTGCAACCATAAGTTGGCGGGGGTCACCTTTAACGAGAGGAGGAAAATCCAGCAGCTGCGACGAAAACCACGGCTTTCCGGGAACGAACTCCGCTGCGTTTGGGTTCATCTTCCTCCCACCGGGACTGAACTCGGCACCTGTGTTGGGAGTCACTGGGGCCGACTTTGATACTGTTTCGGATGGTTGCTGAGCTTCTTCCGGTATCTGTACCACAGGCTGAGGTTGAGGCGTTCGAGGAGCGAAAACGTAAGTCCTCTTCGTAGAGTTGAAAGGACCTTGTGATCTCGCTGGACCTCTGCCGAGATGAAACTGAGAGGACTTTTTGATGGGAGTGACTGCGACTGTCGTCTGTGTAACAGCCGCCTGTGACGACAAGTTTGCGTTTGGCAAACTCTTTCCATCCTTGAACGGAGTGACGACCACTGCCGGTCCTGTCGGGCTCTCAACGTTGGGGGGATTGGCGATGGGACTGAACGGTGGCGCTGCGGCAGAAAGCCTCTTTGACGATCCTCCATCCGAGTCTGTCTGCGGGTCCTCCACGTCCAAGGAGTCGCCGACTTCCTCAGCCATACTTTGCTGTGTTTCGGCCGTCGTCCCCACTTCCTCCACACCAGATGATTTAGAGTTTGCATCCTCAGCTGGCTGCGAAGGCCGTGCGTGGCGGTCCAGAGAAGCGTCTCGTTCAGTACCATCCACGTCTTTTGCTTGAACTTCTGTAGCCTCCGGTTTAGATGATTCCTCCAACTGAGTCTTGTTGTCCACAATAGGTGGTGGACTCGTGCATGTCCCGGGTGGTGCCAATGCTATTTGTTTGTAGGAGAAGTGTCCCTTGCCAGAGGAAGCTAATCTTGACGGTTCCGACGGTACTCCAGCTGAAGAAGAGGACGACACAGAGGCCGTCTCAGGATCCACACTGGCTACCTTCGCTTGATTGCTACTGCTCTTGACTCGTTTGATTGTGTACTGCGGAGAAGTTACTGTTGAAAGCTCGGGCACGTTATGAGTTGAGCCATTGCTGGAGGGAGACCTGTTATTGAAAAACTTTCCGAGCTTGCGGTAACCCAGCTCTGTTTTGACCGTCGGTGCTGCCGTTCCACCCGTCGGGGAGTTTCCACCCCCATTATTTGACGAAATTGTGACTTTCCTTTTACCGGCAGCTTGCACAAGAGGCTGCTGCTCCTTATTCTGACCCGCGGCTAGCAAGTTCCTGCGATTGTTATTCCTTGTGAAACCATTTGATCCTTTGCGCCAGAAGTTCTTGACAGCCCCGTTCAAATGCCGTCCTTTAGGCATTGCCTCTTGCCACCCATCGTCCTCGAAGAGATACGTGTCCTCCATTGCTGTGGATGGCGGTAACATTATTTTCTTATCCTCCATGATGTGATTGCCATTCTCTACCGTTGCAGGTTCGTTTAAAATAACGTCCGATGGAGCTTCGCGTGGTGATTCCGCAGAGTCTGTGTCCGAGAAGCTCTGGTCCTCATCAGCTCCCTCATCTGATGGCTTACTTGAGAGACCTTTAGAAGGCTGCAAAAAAATATTATTATTATTGAGCAAATGCATAAAAGCGAAGGACGTACTTTTGAACGCTTTGGTTTGCGCTTGATGTTCTCCAACTCCTTTCTTTTGAGTTCTGCTTCAGCGTTGATGTATTCTAGCAAATCTGAAACACTGAGCATCACATTCCGAGTATCGTCATATTTGTTTCAAGCATGATTTCTTACATGGACCGAGTTATACCTGAGATGACCTTTGCTGGCGATTGAAGCATCTGGTTTTGGTGCCCCAGTTCGTGCAGCCTCTTGCTGCTCTACAGCTTTTGAGTCGAAATAGTCCAGCCAAGCAGCTGCATCCTACATAATGAAAAGAAAAAGAACAAATCGAATAAAATAGCGCACTCGCAAATAAGTTAGTACCTGTGTGCGCAAGTCATCAGGACCAAGCTTAGCTTGCAAGATTTGAAGCGTTGTTTGCTCGTGCTGTACACTGAGGGAGTACGCTTCCATTAGCGAAAGGGCGATAGCTATGGCATGGTAGCTAGCGGCCGTCTAAAATCCAAAAAACTAGAACTCAGAACAGTTTAAAAGTTCCCCAATCTTTACCTGGATGTGGTCCGCTCCTAAAAGTCGCTGGTTGCATTTCAAAGCTTCGTGAAGATATCTAAGCGCTATATGCACATTCCCTAGACCTTCTTCCATCATTGCAACGTTGATATATGTAGCTGCTGTGTTCGGGTGGGAGGGTCCACAGATCAGGTGAAGGAGGTATAGGGCCCGGTTGACATACCTGTAAAGAAGGTTAAGGTCATCAATTAAAAAGAATCACAAAAGAACGTACTTCAGAGCTAGTTCGGTATGCTGCAACCGGTAGTAAAAGACAGCCAGATCTCCATAGCTCTTCATGGTATCCGGATGGTCCAAGCCAAGCTCGCGTTCATTGATGTCTAAAGCCTTTTGTTGGTAGATGGTAGCCTGAGAAGCGTCGACAAACGTTTAGATTGTATAAAACCGCAAGTGACAAGACCAGACCTGATTGAAATCCCCTGTATGATACAATACCACTGCCAAAAGACTATAAGCTCCGGCAGTCATTCGGTGATAAGAACCGCAGACAGCCACCAGTTTCGCCAAAGCCTACAAAAATGGCATCAGCATAAGTTTAAGAAACACCGTAAATACCTTCGTGCCGTAAGCAACCGCATCATCCAACTTTCCTTTATCCAGGGCAGTTTTTGACGACTCTAACAGTGTCCGTCCGTCCGCAGATGAACAAGCCGCTTGCTGCCGTATAATATAATCATTTACGGTTACCATAGAGAAAAAAAGTACCTTATAAACTGGAACCATGCTGATAATATCAGCGCTACTGAAGGGGTTAGGAGATTGGTAGTCGTAATCTCTAGGTGCGATTTCCACACCAACCTGAAAACACAAATAAGAGAGTGAAAGCAGACAGTTTACGTTTACCTTATGGCAAATGCCACGAAGAACTGCATACTTTCTTAACTCGGGCCGAGGATCAACTGACAGTGTCCAGCCAAATCTTTTCAAAGTGAAGGCTTCCAACCATTTCCAAGTCAGAAGCTCGGACGTATTGGAGGACACGAGCATGGACTCTTTGGAAGGAGTTCCCAGCATTGCATTGAGTGCGACGGCGATTGAGACTGCTAGTTCGGATGGATGCGTGACAGCTGCAACCATTGCACGAAGTACATGCTTGAACGCTCGAACAACCATCTCATGAACACACAGAGACTGAATGTGTGGAAGCTTTTTCGAGAGTTCAGCCTACTCTATCAAACAAAAATCCAAATAATTAAAAGTTTGCATATGAAGAGAAAGAAACAAAAGACTTACCACCCGACCCAGGGATCTCATTCTGAGGCCTCGTGTGTGCATGAAGTCCGTCAACGTGCGCCCATCAACTGGTGATAATTCTAAAGATGCGAAATCGGACACCTGTTAAAAACAAAAATGTGACAATGATTACAAATGTTTGCATGTAAATGCCTACCAGTTTAGGAAGTGCAACGTCATTATAGTATTGATCTGCTCCAGCAACAAGTTCGGGGACAGTCTGCTTAGAAGCAAACGTAAGCTTTGTCATATACAAAAATATATATTTTGTTACCTTCGAATGGAGGCCTATGTCCGACTCCTTCAAGCGAGTAAATGCTGCGTCTCCAAGTAAGCTTTTGAGATGCGCTTCCGATTGTACTTTCAGAGGATCTACTTCTTTTGGCTTTTCCAAACTTGCAGAAGAAGATTCTTGTGAATCACTGACATGATCACGCAAAGAATCCAGTGGCTTGGTCTTTTCAAGTACCGTCTTTTTATCAACCAGCTTCTCGTTTGTTTTTTTCTTTGGGTCTTGCTTGTTTGATCCCTTTGCATCAGCCTTCTCCGAATTGGCCTGTGTCTGAAGATGCTGAACCCAGCACGCTCCAAGTTCCCACCTTATAAATCCATCAGTCCTGTCTGACTCGTTCTGCAGCCCTTTCAAGCTTTCAGCCATTATCCTCTGAAGCACATCCCTGGACTTCCTAACTTCCTCAGGATCCACTGAAACGCTAGCCGTTTGATGCAGGAGACTTCGTAGGCTGAAAAAGTAATGTCATCAGCAAAACAAGCATAAAGAAAGTTTGAATGGGTTTACCTGTTGACGTTTAGAGCATTGGCTCCTCCCTCTGCCTGTTCCTCAACTTGAAGATCATTTGGTAAATTTATCATCCCTTGGGCTTCTTTAAGGCCCCTTGCTTCGACCAATGCCATATATTTTTTATGCCGGATCAGAACAACACCCAGTGTTGCAGTGTCCTGAAATTCAAACACACGAGTAAGAAAAGGCAAACATAGCAAACTGCTTACATGAACAGTGGTGCTTTCGTCAGCTGCAATTCCTTTGAAGAGGTTCTTCTGAGAAAGCTCTTCAGGTGTCAGTTGTCGGCTATGAATAGTATCAATCTTGAAATCAACTTTTTTGCTTGCGTCTGTAACGTCCTGAGCTAGCAAAACATTCAGGGACCCCGCCTCTTTAACGAGAAAATGTCCACGGTCGTCAATCAGAGGTACATCTGGCAGCTGTTCCGCATCTTTCAAAACTGATGTAGCATGAACTAGGCACGTGTCTACGAAAAGGCTGTGAAGAAGAAAGGCTTTCCTGTCCCGAACCTGGCGTTCTTCATCTGTCTTACACGGCATGCGCGCTAGAACCATGAAATCCCGAGACCATTCCTTCTCAACGCTTTCATCGTCTCTTCCTTGTCCTCCACCATTACCACCCCAAGTCTCGTCTTCTGAAGGTAATGGAGGAAATGTTGAGGGAGCCTCTGCTGCAGTGGGTGGAACCACCCAGGTGTTTGATCGAAGTCCATACGGGATGTTTCCAAACTACATGCAGCAAAGACATAAGCCCCTCTCAAATTTGTAAAATAAATCCAGCTTACCTTGTTACGTTCCACAAATGCCTTGATAAGATCATCGTATGCCTGTTAACGTCACGTCATAAGCAAGTCAAACATTAAAAGCGAGAGAGTAAAACATACGTTGGCAAAAGCCTTGCTAGCGTGTCGAAGCAGATTGACAAGTTGATAGAATTTTGTCTGAGGCTTGCCAGCATTGTAGAATCCCGAGGTACAAGCTACAGCCGTTACGAGTTTGCCGTTGCATAATCTTACCTGCAAAATGAAAGTAGCGGGCCTAAGATCAAAGCAACAAAATTTGAGAAGCCTTACATCAATTGCAAAAAACTCCCCTTCAGCAAGATTTTCGCATGCTTGTCTCGTCGATCTCCGAAGAACTGAAAATAGCAGGATCAGTGAAGCGGAACCAAAAAACAAATTCTTACATTGGATTGGTGCAGTGAGATGGGAAAAAGAAAAGAACTGGTAGAACTGGCCAAGCTTCGATGGAGGACACAACTTGTCGATGTCACCTTTCTCTGATGCCTCTTTAGCTTCTGCAATAACAGCTGCGGCCTCTGATTTTCCTTTCGACTTGGAGGTTCCTAGCTTCTTAATCTCCCCGTTCCTTCGAGCATGATCTCCTGCCTGTTTTGTTTTGCCGTCTTCACCCTTGTCCGGATCAGCCTTGTTGCCCGCAGCAGCAATCAGCTTTTGTTCCGCTTCTTTGGAAGCTACAGTATTGTGCTTTTGATCCGCTTCTTTGGAAACAGCCGAGTCTTCCGTTGAAGGAGAATTCTCTTTGTGACTTCCGTCATGAGTATCAGTCAGCTGCTTCCCTGAAGGCCCAAAACAGGCTGTGCTTGAAACAATGTCCAGAAGCCTTCTGACGTGTGTGATTGCCTTTTCCTCGGTGTAATCCTCTGAAAAAACAATCGAGAAAGAATAAAAACGCTGTAGTCTAGCAAAGTGTAAATAAAATAATGGCACCTTCGACAAGAGTAAGAACGCAGGGTTTAAGAACAGCGATCTCCAACGAGTCCCGCAAACGACCTCCTTTTATCTGGACACCAGGGCGGGATGGGTGAAATTTTCCAGAGGGAATTCCAGATCTCTTACCTCGTGCGCGAGCGAGAAATTCGTGAGATGGCACGTCTCCACATTGACGGCCAAGAGGCGGCGCACATCCAGAATGCGGTCCGTGGAAATACCCTGCGCGCCATCGATGAATCGATCATTTCCAGCGAAAGAAAGCGCGAGCGCTTACCTTGAGCGTGATCTGCGTGCCCGATGGGAGATGGACAGTAACATCGAGCATCACCGGCAGCGCTGCGAGGAGCAAGAAACCACGACATTGTGAGCGCCATCGCCTAAACCCCTAAAACCTAAAATATCTCAAAACGCAAACGCTGGATGGATCTTTGGGTGCTCACTCTTCTCTTCCTTCTTCTTCTTCTCGCCTTTGGGCTTGTGGACTTTGGCGCGCCCCGCGCGAGGTGCCATGGCGAGTGCGAGCGCTTAAGCTACAGCGCTGGAGCTGGATGGTAGCGCTCGAGTATCCTCGATCACTAAATCGATCCTCAATTCAATCGGATCAATCCCTGGACGCAATGTGGCCCTTGACGCATCCGGTGCTCACGGGAAAGCAATTAAATTCCACGGCTTTGCCGGAGCAAAACCACTGAGATTTTGGATGCGATTCTGTATCGCGCTGGCTGGAGGAAGAATCAATCCCGAAAAAACTCTAGAAGAAGCTTACTTGGAAAGGAAGGAAGAGAAGAAGAAAGGAAACAAGCAAGAGATCGAATGGACGAGAGATGGACACCCACACTCAAAGATTCAAAGGGAAAAAAAATATGAAGAATGAGAAAAGAGAAGGGCAATCTTATGTCCACAAAAGCAATGGCCTTTTAGATCTTTTTGTGTGGTTCTCAAAAATAAGTAAAATTAGCTCCAAGCTCCTGTCGACACACAGTTCTCTCCCGCGGTGGGATGCTCACCATTCAAATCATATCACAATACCATGGATAAGGCCACGTGTCCAAATTGCGCATATTCTACTTTGATTCCAACTTGGCACCAACTAGCAAACTATATAGAAATGCAAATCGGTATGGTTGTTTGATCGCTCTCGTACAACGCTAACGTACAGCACCTTAAAAGCAAATCTTATCTTCGCAATCTTAAGCTCTCGATTTGGCTCGGTGATTGCCGGGCCTATCTCTTCGCACTGCCCGGACCTATCTGCTTTGGCCGAAGCTATCCAGTCCCAACCTCTCCTGCTTGTCTCTTTTAGTTCCTTCCGGACTTCATTGAGCAGAGCCATTCCTCTTCCTCCTGCTGGAATTCTTCGAGATAGAAAAACTCGCGGTGCTCATTCTATTTCCTTGTTGTTTTTGGAAGTGGAAGTCGCAATCGCGGAGTTTAATGCCTGGCTTACCGCATTCAAGCTGTCTGAATCCTTTATCTGTTTTGGTGATGGTAACCCTGGAAGAACGATGCTCGTCAAAAACAAGAGACAGTAAATGCAATGCGGAAAAATCCATACCCGGTTTTGTGTTACTCCGGTACCACGGTTGATACCGAGGAGTCTGTTTGCTTCTGTTTTATTTCGCTTTTTGCTCCATGCTCATTTGTCTCGTCTTCGCTGTACGTAAAACCGTGACCGAAAAACTAGACGAAGAGCCGCATATTTGTACCATTCTTATCGTGCCAAATGCCACCCTTGCGACAGGGAAGTCTCCTGCCACGGGGTGGAAGACGGGTCATTCTCGCAGTCCAGTTGCCTGTGATTCGAGCTCGGGCCGGATTCAGTCGTCTTCTCTATCGTGACAAACGAAAGAAAATGCGTGTAAAGCTCAGATAAAAAAAAGGTTTTTTTACCTCCCAAGGATGAGACACGATGGATGCCTACTTTGCAATCGCATCTCTTTTCCTGTACTTACAGTGCACACATATTAGGTGTTGCGATTCTCGCATTGTATGGCGTGTTGCAAGTTGCTAGGCCAGGTTCCCTCCTTTCTCATAAATCAAAGCGGTGAGAAAGAGAGAGAGAGCGAGAAAGAGAAAGAGTGATTACTTACCTTTGCGATTCAGAGAAAGCCTGTGATACTGTATGGTGACTAGCTTAGTGCGAGCGATTACTTCCCGGTTTGTCTCCTTCCAGAGATCTGTCCGCCTGCGAGTGACGATTCACCTGACTTTGGCAAGAGCAAGAGACAAGGCATGGTCACCATCACCTTCTTGGCCGCCTCCCCCTCAAACGCGTCTCACCTCGGGCCTGGTTCAAGAGATCCTTGTCGCAATGCGGAAGCGATTGTGCGCTTCAAAAAATATGCGCACCCTCATCTTCTGCCTGGCCATACGTTCAAATCCAAGGAAAATCGTGAGTATACGAGAACCAAAACAAAAAAATCTTAAAGAAAATAAAAGCAAAAAACGAGAAGAAATCGTCACCTGGAACTTCCAGTCTTGATTGCTTTCGCTTTTCGTTAGCGTTATCTGTAGAGACTGTTTTCCACCTGAGGCGGTGAGCTCTAGTAGCCTCACAAACCTCTTCTTTTATCCGTGGACGTCCTGTGCCTCCAAATTCTCCAAGGCATAGAAGTTAAGACTGTTATAGCTATTATGAGTAGTAGCACAGCTTTAAGCTTTTCTTAGAAAGTATTGGGAGGAACGAACAGTGAGAAAGCTTGTCATTGTTACGATACTTTGATCGATTCAACCAAAAAGGCCATGGCATTGCGCAAACAACAAAAAAAATCTTCCAAATAGATCCTATCAGTATCATCCTGGTCTTCTACGTCTCTTCAAGCAGCGTGATTGAATTGAACAATGCGGGCAAGAAAAATCAAAATCATCTTACCGTGGCAAGACTTCTAAGCACGCGCTTGATGTTTCTGGTCGTCTAATACGCCTAGCTAGATCGATCGACCAAAGAGATCCCACCAAAGAAGCCCTAGGCGCTGATGGGCGGGAAAATTCTAGCTAGTAAACCTCTTAAATGTGCTCGTCATTCTTTATTTTAGGTCAGTCAAGGAGCTCCCGGCGGAGATAGCGATCAGGTATTTCTCTCTCGATCACTGTAGCTACAGCCGATCGATCGATCGGGCGCGCCGCGCTCCGGCCGCTCCAGCGATGCCGAATTCCAGGAAGAAAATGGAGGGCCAGAATCTCATTTTCTACGCTTCCATCGCTCAGGGGACCAATATTCTAGCCGAGTGCCTCGACGACGATCCCGGATTTGCAGCCGCCATGGCGGAATCTCTGGCTTCGCTCCCGCCGATGCACAAGACCGTCACATTTGCCGCGAACAATCGCCTGGCGTGCTACCTCATCCACCCCCCGCTCACGTATTGTGGGGTCTTTGACGAAGTCTTTGGAAAGGAGCACGGGTTTACGTTCTTGGGCCAAATCCAGAGCGATTTTAGACGGCTACTGCTTCTCCGGGGCCTCCAGGAAGATCGAGACGAGCTCCAAAACTATCACTTGGATCGTGACCTCTTGCCAGTGATGAGAAATGCGATCAACGACGCTACCGGGAGGCAGTGTTACGAAGGCTTTTCGGATCAATCTTTCGACGATAGTGTGCCTTTGATGGGCAAGGGGCGGCTGGAGAGGAGGATGTCCGGTGACTCTACGCAAGCGCAGTTCTCGTCGTCGTGCTCGCCGCTCGCCAGGGGCAAGTCGAGCAAGCACAAGCAGTACGAGCTCCGGGAGGTGGTGATGGAGCGGTGTGACAAGTCCGATGGTCCAGCGCAGGCAATGGAAACCTCCTCGGGTGGCAAGAGTGTGGGGAACTCGAGGATGAGAGCTCAGTGGCAAAGAATGCGGTGCTGTTGCAGCATGAAGTTTATACTCGCGATCGATGCTGTCGTGTGCGTGGTCTTGCTCTCGGTCTGGCTGGCAGTTTGTAGAGGTTTTCGGTGCTAGATCGTGACTAAAGGTATCGTTTTCACCTGTCATCAATCTAGCTAACGATTGTTGTGTATAGGCTGTGGGGCAATCAATGAATGCAAGTGATAGACCATGTGAAGTTCATTCAAGGTGACTATTTTTTTTCAAAAGAATTGCCGGCAGCAATGTACATCTTGTTTATTACAGCTCCTCATTAGTCTTCTGTTCGGCAGTCTCCACGCAGCAGGAAGGTTATGTTACAAGTGATCAACAGCAGGAATAGCAATAGCAGCAGCAGCAGAACGATACGAGAGAGGAAAGAATAGAAAGTTCTCTCAAGTCCCCAGAGCGAGAGCTCTATGCCGGTTCATGTCAGTATGATATTCATTGCTCGTGTACTCATCGTCAACGTCGGTTGCGTTGCAGACTAGAGTACTCCAGTTGGTTGGAAGCTCCTGGTCCAGTGTCTCGTCAGAAAGCAGCTTCAAAACCTGGCCAGGAAACAGGAACAGGAAGGAAGAAAAAATACGAGTGTTGGTATACCAAAGACTTCGCGGTGCACTGTTACCTGGCTCATGCAGGGCCGCCAAAGAGGGGATTGTCGGACACACAGGGTGGCAACCAGTACCAACTTTCGCAGCTGGTTGGAGTCGTAGGCACCAGCAAGTGCGGGATCAACCAGCTCTTGGATGCTACAGGATTCCAGATATGGTCTTGCCTGGAAAAACACGGAGGGGCACGCTCTGAGCAAATGGAGGAATTTGAGAAAGTTCGTGTACCCAGACAACTATGTTCCGTTGCATGGCATCGATCGGCTTCCGTCCGGTGATGAGCTCGAGAAGCAGCACTCCATATGCGAATACATCGGTTTTCTCGTCCACAATGCCGTGCATGAAGTATTCCGGTGCGAGGTACCTGGTTCAGGACAGACTTGTCAAGTCACAAACAGTTTGAAGAGTGGATGGCTCACCCGAAAGTCCCCTCAATGGGAGTGACAGTATGATGTGTCCATTGCTCCGGAAGCCATTTCGCGAGGCCGAAATCAGATATCTGCATCAAACAACTTTACCAATCCGGGGACTCGGAAGATTAAATAGTGGCTACCTGCGGCTCGAAGTCGGGACCGAGAAGTATGTTGGAGGCTTTGATATCCCGGTGAATTATCCTTCTTGGACAGACCTTATGGAGGTACTGAAGACCTCTGGCAGTGCCAAGCGCAATCTTCCTCCGCACCGACCACTCCAACGCCTTGGACTTGGTTCCTGCGAAAAGAAAAGAAAGTTATAACGAAGAAACTCGGACCAGATCTGGACTTACCATGAAGGACGGACGCGAGACTTCCATGGGGGGAGAAGGGGAAGACCAAGTGCAGGCCCCGCTCCACGCAGAAGCCGATCAGAGGCGTCGTGTTTGGATGAGTCACATGACCAATGATGCCGAGTTCCGTGAGAAAGCCGCCTTCTTTATGCTGCTCCGAGTCGCCTTTGGTGAGCTTCTTCACTGCAATGAGCTGCCCGTCGGATAAGGTGCCTTTGTAGACGACGGCGTAGCCACCCTTCCCAACGAGATTATCTGCAGCCAGATCGACGTCGACATTGAGCAAAACAGAGAAAAACAGGATTTCAGTTACCAGGACTGAAGCAGCTTGTGGCCAGCAGAATCTCGTCGTACGTGAAGCATCTCCAGGGGGGCTTGTCACCGGCGGCGCACATCGAATGCAGGCTGAGCTCCGCCTCCTCCGAGTTGTAGCTGGAAAATCTCATGCCACTGTGAGCGGAGCTGCAACTAAAGCTGGGGATGAGTCTCCGGTGGCGCTGGACCGCTGAACCTGGTGTCGCAGGGAAAGTGTTGTGGCGCTTCATGTGCCTAAACAGATTCAAGCACGACGCTTGGAGCTCCTCCTCCTCCTCCTCCTCATCTCGCTGGTCCTCCACTCTACCAGCGGCATTACTGGAGGTGGAGACGAGCAGCGGGAAAACCGGGGAGGATCCGGAGCTCTGTTCTTCCGGGGACGCGCCACCGTCGTTGGAATCCGAATGCGGCCCCTCGAGAACACCCCGGGGAGAGTAGTCGCTTGGGATATCGAGACGGGCATGGGCGGCCTTGCAGCAGTGAAGCTCGGAAGAAGCCACTACTGGATCAGTGGTGATGTGACACTGAAACCCTTTATGCGGCAGTAGCCTCTGCACCGATTCGTCGCGTTGCTCTTTCTCAGCGAGCTGGGGGTCGTCCGGAACCAAAAGTTCACCTTGGACGGAGATCACGCCGCTGCTGATGAGTTTTTTGCTGCTCATTCTTCTCTTTTTTTGAGCAACGAAAACTAAGCAGCCTTGCGGTGGTCCAGGAAACTGCGCTCCACACTCGGTGAAGCCGCTCAGCCTGACATTGGAAAAACGTCAGGACGATCCGAAACTACCAGAGTTGATAACTTACTTGAGATCTGGAGCCACATCCGACGAGCTCAAAACCAGCGTGGTGGCGTCGAGAAAAGCAGCTTGCTCCAGGAGCACCGCCTTGGGTCCATTGAAAGTGGGGACGATCCTGACGTTCGTAGTAACCTGAGACCAGCAAGCCGAGGTTATTCATGGCCGCCGAGAATCTAAAATGGGTTCACCTGTCTAAAGTGGCACAGCTCCCGGCATTGCTCCAACAGCGACAGCACTCCCGCTCTCGCCCGCTCGTACTGCTTCTCGATGGAACGGATCTCTGAGAAGAGGCAAGAGGCAAGAAAGGATATTTCCCAAGTCAGTTCAAGAGCCGCCGTGAAGGGGAAGAACAAGAGAGGAGGAAAAAACGAAACTTTGGAACCAACCAGCGCACCTGAATCCGAGTCCTCGAGGAGGTGAAGAGCGACGACGGTATCACCCGGCCGCGAAGCAACGGTGACCGCCCACGAAAGATTCTCCAAGCTCTGGCTCTCCAAGCTCACAGTTACCAGGACTTTGGAGTGCCGCTCCAGCTCCAGCTCCAGTTCTTCCTGCCGCTGGCTTTCGCTTGGCTGGAGGAGAGGATGATCAGCTTCGTCCCGCATTCTCTCTAGGCGCCGGTGGTGGTGACAAAGACGGAAACGAAGACGAAGACGAAGACGACCACGACCAACAGGGCGGCGGCGACGACGACGACTGCAAGACCATCTCATTCCCGCATTCCAAAGCAAAGGCGGGGCATTTTGCTCCCATCAAAAGCCGCAAAAACAAAGCAAAGCAAGGTATGTAAGATGTCCTTGCCTTCCACTTTTCCCCCTTTCTCTCTCTTTTATCTTTCCCTCTCCTTAAAAAACTCTAGGAAGATCCACTCGCTCGATGCTATCCTCTTCTATGCTTGGCAGGAAAGGAGAGGAATGTTGCTAGCGCTTTGATCGCTTCTTCCACGGACAAACAACAAGGTCTCGGCTTTTCCTTCTCTTTGCTGTTTTCCCCTCTTTGTTTAGTCAGGATTGACGAGACGAAACGCAACTTAATGCCGAGGGATCGATCAGCCAGACAAAAGTGGAAGAAGATACTTCAAGTCCTTCCTCTATGTTGTTTTCGCCCCTAGAGATTTGAGGAAGATCATAGCCTACAACTCTAGGCCTATGCTCTGGAAGGTTTTGTCACTTGCAAACGTTCTTTGGTGCTTGCTGATACATTCCCTGGGGTCTCAAAAGAATTAATACTCTTTTGACACTGTGCGCTTGTAGTTACCCCTATTATCACTGATTTTTACTGGAGTTGGTGAATGGAATGTAATATTAATAAAGTTGGTGGAGAAATGTTTAACAACGGAAAACCACACACACACAATGGACAAAGAAGAAAAATGATGCTTCAGTACTTACTGGCACAGGGGGGAAGATTTGAAAAAAATTTGAAAGTTCCAACGCTGCCATGCTTGTCTCGCTCGTGAACCATGTGAACTAAATAAAATCATGTGGTGTGCACAGAGATATATGGGATCATATGAAGCAAACTCGTGATACTTTCCGTTCTGGGCAATACCATCTTCGTATAAGAATCGTATGACCTTCCATTCTCTGGAAGCTTAAAAGATGACAATGGGAGTTTAACGATCCATCTCTTGCGCGGTTCATGAGGAGGACCCTCCTCGCGGAGCAAGATCAGTTGGCGGCGCTCCTGCGATCATGCGGCGATCACCACGACCTAGAGGCCGGGCGGCGAATCCACGCCCAAATCCTCGGCAGCGCCCACCACCGCGGCAGCCGCTACCTCGCCAACACGCTCATCCACATGTATGGCAAATGCGCTAGCCTCGCCGACGCGCGCAGCGTTTTCCAGTCGATGCCCGACCCCAATCTCTTCTCCTGGACGATCATCACGTCCATCCACGCCCGCCACGGCCTCCTGGACGACGCCAAGCGCTTCTTCGACGCCATGCCCGAGCGCAACGTCGTGGCGTGGACGGCGCTACTGCAGGGCTTCGCGGAGCAGCGCTGCCTCGACACGGCCAAGGGCGTCTTTGATCGCATGCCGGCGCGGGACACGATCGCGTGGGTGGAGATGATCGCTGGCTGCGACCGCGTCGGCTGCGCCGCCAGCGCGAAGCTCCTGTTCGATCTCGCGCCGGCCAGGAGCGCCATGCCGTGGAACGCGATGATCACTGCATATGCCGGGAGTGGGCAACTGCAGATCGCAAAGGTGGCGTTTGAAAAGATGCCTGCGACGGACGTGGTCAGCTGGAACGCGATGTTGTTCGCGTTTACGAGGCACGGAAAGGTGGCGGAGGCGGAGGCCGTGTTTAGATCCATGCCTCTGCGTGACAGCGTCTCGTGGGCCGGGATGTTTCAGGCGTTTGCCCGGTGTGGGCATTTGGAAGCAGCGAAAGAAACGTTCTACCAAGTCCCATGCAAGGATGTTGTGACGTGGAATCTGCTTCTCGCGGCGTTCCTGCACAACGATTGCCGGATACAGGAGGCGCGGTGCGTGTTCGAGAGGATGCCGAAGCGGAGCTTGATCAGCTGGAACTCGCTGCTCGCGACGTACGCTCGAACCGGGAATGTTTGCGAGGCCAAGCGCTTGTTCGATCGGATGCCGGGGCGCGACGTCTTCTCTTGGACGACCATGGTGGGAGGATTTGCGGAGAAGGCCGACGTGACAGAGGCGAGGAGGTTCTTCGCAAGAATGCCCAAGCAGAATGTTGTGTCGTGGAACACGATGGTGGCGACGAACTCGCAGGGTGGTCATCTCGCCGAGGCCGAGAGGCTGTTCGAGGAGATGCCGGAGAGGAACTTCTACTCGTGGTCAGTAATGCTGGCGGCCTACGCTCACCTCGGACACACGGAGGAGGCGATTCGGGTGTTCCACGAGATGGAAGTTGACGGAGTCCGACCGGACGAGGTGGCTTTCATGTGTCTCCTCGCGGCTTGCGGCCACCGGGGAATGGTGGCGGAAGGTCTCGGCTACTTTGCGTCCATGGTCTCGGACTATGGCCTGGAGCCGACGGCCGAGCACTACAGCTCCATAGTTGCGAGCTTTGCGAGATCGGGGCAGCTAAAGCATGCCGAGGAGCTGCTCGCGAGCATGCCGTTTCTTCCCGACCAGGTTGCGTGGAGGGTTTTCCTGGGAGCTTGCGGGTCGCTGGAGGACGTGTCTCGCGCTCAAGCAGCCGCACGGCGTGTCTCGGATTTGGTCCCGGCGAATTCCGTGCCTTACGTGGTGCTGGCCAACACTTACCGCGCTGGACTTGGATCTTTTCCCGAGCCGAGCTGATGGGCAGAGAAAAATATCTGCGAAGACAAGATCCAACGAGAAGGGAAGAAATCTTCCTCAGGTATAGGTGGCCGAATACCATTGAAGGAAGAGTAAAAAGTTCTTATTTGGGGCTTAACTTTTGGCAGATACGAGCATGCCGAGCCTGTGAAACTTGAGTGCCTCGCGCTCAAGAAAAGGAGGAGTTGCAAACTGACTTTGTGGAGCATTTTGGAAAGTGAGATTCTTTATGCTGGGGGCGCAACTGGGAATGGTCTTTTCGTACTGCGAGCTCAAAAGATCTGTGAGTGCTTCGTGACTTGGTAGCTGCAAAAACTGATGCTTTTTCCTCTTTTCTTTCTCTTCTTAGGCATTGTTCGCGATGGAGAAGATGAAGGCGAAGGATTCCAAGCTCGTTTTTCTTGTTCTTGAAGAGTAGGTGTACGTGGAAGTCGTCTATGCAGGTACAATTTGATACAATGCTTTAAGTTTGGTGAAGGAGATAAAGGAAAATGGAGGACTCACAATGCGCAGTGTCTGTTTTGATGAAAGGAAAGCGCCTTGCAGGAATCGATATGGATATGGATGCAGTGCTCAGCAGCCTGATTGAAGAGAACAAAGTACTTCGTGCCAGAATCAAAAGGCTCCTCCAATCAGCTGAAGAAAATCTCACGCAGACTCTTGATGGCTCGCTGCTCAAAGTCCTTGCGGATAACGCACTGGAAGTTCCTGAAGTAGTGAAAGTGTTTGAAACTGCTTTGACACTTTTGCTGGAGGGGATGCCGTTTGGATTAAGCTATTGGGACGAGAAACTCTCGTGCACATATACCAAGTTCAGCCTTCTCAGCTCCGGCATTTGTAACTATTTCTTTTGTTGTCTTTTGCAGAGTCTACGACGGGGGAGTGAATGATTCAATTCTAAAGGTATGGTTTCTTAAAACGGACTCGTCCATGTATATTATAACTCGTGCTTCTTGTAACAGGAGATTATAGGACAGCAAGATGCCGACTTTCTTCCCGAAGTGATTCATCTGCTAGAAATGAAGGATCAAATAATTCGAGGTGGAGCTGCTCAAAGACGAGAGTTCAAAGTTGAAAGGCCGGGGGCAACGAGAACTTTCTGTGTGGTTTGCGAACCTGTACAGCGGAAAGAAAAGCTTCAAGGTGTCGTAACCATTTTGGTGGATAAAACTGCTCAGGTGGTGCCAAGCGTTACGTTTCTTTTTGTTTGTTTTTTTTTTTTTTTCCTTTTTTGTTTCTTTTCTTGTTATTTATATTCGTTCCTGCCATTGCAGGAAGCGATGAGACGTGAACTTACTCAAATGAAAGCAGAAACAGAACAATGGGAAAGGACCGAACAAGGGCTCCGCCAAGCGATCAAATCAGCAGGTAAAGAAACATTCGAAGAATGTACGAGAATGAGTGTTATTTTTGTTATAGATGAAGCTATGGAAGCAAAGAACACGTTTTTAGCGGTCATGTCTCACGAGATTCGGACTCCACTAAATGGAGTACTAGGTAATTCTGCGTCCACTTTCCAATTCTTTATTGTCTTCTTCGTGTGTCGACAGGAATGGCGCAAGTTTTGGCAACTACATCTTTGGACTCTGAACAAAAAGAGCTAGTAGACGCCATGGTTTTCAGTGGAGATGTTCTCCTGGCTATCATATCTGACATTCTTGACCTTAGCAAGGTTGAAGCAGGTAACTTCTTTCTACACAACTTCATACATCACCACGGTGTAAACTTCCAGGCACGATGAAGCTGGAAGAAAGAGAATTCAATCCAAGGATCATTGTCAAGCATGTAGCGAGAACAGCCACTGCAGCCACCAAAGACCGTGGTATCAAGATAGAAGTTGACATATCGGACGATGTTCCAGCTACAGTAACGTGCTTAGTTTTGGATGTTTTTCCATCCTCGTTGACTAAGGATGGGTTTTTCTCAGGTAATTGGGGATCCTTTGAGACTGAAACAAGTTATCACCAATTTGGTACGACTCTCTATACCGCTCTAAACCCGGACTTGTTTATCTTTATATCTTTCAGGTGTTCAATGCTGTCAAGTTCACAAAGGAGGGCCACGTTCGCGTTCATCTTAAAGTCTTGAAAGACTCCCACCATGCTGAGAGCGAACGATGTGGAAAGATGTCCGAACGCACTTCAAAAAAGCCGCAGCGGTTTGATCTTGTTAAAGGGACAAGCGCTAGATGGGATGTGTTACCGGAGAGCGGAAGAAAAGATATGTCTAGGCTGGACAACGCAAGTGAAAACCAGTCGGCGAACAATCAAGATCAGAAACTTTATCTCAGGGTGAATTTCGATAAGTACCATCGTCAGTATTTCCAGTGACTTCAACTTAGTTGCTAAGTTTTTTTCCCAGGCCAAAATTCTGGAGGCGATACCGGAAGACGAGCAGGAATACAGGATCCAAGAGCCACTGCACGTAAAGAAAGTCTTTGCTTCTGTTATAAAAGACCTTAATATCGATTCTACAGTTTTTGCAGGACAAAGATCGTCAGGCTTCGGACATGAACGAAGACCACAACTTTATTCTACTAGAGTTTGCAGTTGAGGACACCGGCATTGGTAAGAGCAAAGAAAAGCAAAGAGCAGTTCGGCTAATGCTTCCATCAAACCTGCAGGCATTCCAGAGGAGGCATTCCCCTCCTTGTTTGAAAAGTTTACTCAAGTCCATTCGTCCACGACCAGGAACTATGGCGGAACTGGACTGGGTTTAGCGATATGCAAGCAGCTGGTAAGCAAAGATAAAAGCAAGAAAACTAAATCTTGCGAGCTATAGAAGCTCCAAAAAACTAAAGACACTTCTCTATCCAGGTCGAGTTGATGGGTGGACAAATTTTTGTGTCCAGCCGCGTCGGTGAGGGGTCGACATTCTCATTTACTCTGTGCTGTAAGTGCGCTGGTGACACGCAAAGGCCGGATCGGCATGCTAGCCCGACGAATCTAGAAAGCAATCTATCCTACACAACGGCACACTTCCACAAGTTACAAGCCGGTTTATCATGCACGTCGAGCTCGGCCCCGGCACCACAAAGTCAGGGTAGCCTTGTCACCACAGCTTCTTGTCCGCTCGCGAGTAAGGCCGTGGATGATAATGGCAGGAGAGCGTTCTTACAAGGGAATAGCAGTAGCAGGGAGGTGGTCCTACAGCCGAAACATGGTGGCCGCTTGCGACGAACTTCCAGTGGACCTCCTCGCATTGAATGCTCTCTCATGGCTGATGTTGAGAATTCCAAGAAGGCTCAAATGGTTTTAAGCTCTCCGGGATGGCAGCCAAGACTTCTCTTGGCCGAAGACAACAAGGTAAAGTTTTCACTGTTCTTTTCTGTTTTGCCTTGTTTTCTAACGCGTTAACTCGTTCGTTGGTTCGCAGGTCAATGTATTGGTGGCCATGTCCATGCTCAAACGGCTAGGACTCACCGCTGATGTCGCATTTAATGGCCAAGAAGCGATAAGTGCAATCCAAGCTAGGAGCTATGATCTGGTGCGTACAGCATTGATTTTCTTTTTTGTCCTTGTTCTCTGAGCTTTTGAGAGGTTATTGCAGGTTTTCATGGACGTGTGCATGCCTGTTTTGGATGGCTTGGAAGTAACGAGGCGAGTGAGGCTGTACGAGAGAACGGGGCGCTGGGAGAGCGAAGATAGCTCCCAGTCAGACGCGCCAAAAGAGCAAAACGAGCCAGAGCAGCAGCAGCAGCAGCAAACTTTAAGTCGCCGGCTGCCAATCGTCGCGATGACCGCAAACGCACTCTCGGGCTGCGAGGAGCAGTGCGTGGAGTACGGGATGGACAGCTTCGTGACCAAGCCCATCACCTTTAGAAAGCTCCAAAACGTGCTCCAAGTCTTCCTCGCCAGAAGGGGCCAGCAATCATCGCCGTGAGAACACAAAAAGGAAGTTCAGATCAAGTTCACAAACAGTCAGAACGCAAAGAAAGATCTTCACGCACACACATGGGGAATTCAATCGATCGGGGGACTTTGGGCGATCGAGATAACAACAGGACTGGTCCGTCAGCTTTCTCCACGAACGTCTCGTCGGTTGGTTCTTTTGGCCTGGAGCAGAGGGAAAATCGTGCTGGAATAATGGAAGAGTTTGGTGGTGGTGGTGGTGGTGCTCCTGCTGCTGGAAGGCTTCCTCGTGCCCGTGACACTGATGGAGAATAGGGGGTGGGGGGAGATGGAAAAATCACAGGGACCAGACCAAGGATTTGTGCGCGAGGACGAGCAGCAGCGAGCAAAAGAGTTCGTTCGCGACACATTTATATGGAAAATGGCAGTGTGTCAGTGGCGAGGCGAGCAAACAGCAGGCAACGGGGTCCCATTTGCTGGCTACAAGGCAGGCACACCACGCAAAGCTGAAGATCCGAAAAGAGCAAAAGAGGAAAATTGCAGGAAAAAAGACTTTTTTTTATGCAAGTCCAATACGAGGAACATAAAGAAGCGAAGAACAAACAAGGAGTTTCGTCTCTGAGAGTCTACACTTTGACAAGGCACCTAAGTTTTTGGCTTTGGCTCTCGGTGATCTTCCTCCTTTTCATCTTCTTGTTGGTTTTGTTTTGACAGCGCAGCCAACCTTTTGTTGAGCAAAGACTTCACGAAACGAGAAAACGTTGTGCGGCCCTCGTTGTAAAGGTTGTCCTTTGGCCATGGGGAACAGGGAAAGATTCCGGAGTTCCGTAAACTTGCTGTGAGATCGACGCTGGAACGAGCGAGCGAGAAGCTCGAAAACGGGCCTGGCCATCTATCTTCGCGATCTCGAGAGTTGTTTTTTCTTGATCATGTCTGCCTGCCTGTTGAGAGGGAGTAAAACTCGCTTCTCTCGATCGAATCCTTCGAGCCTGCCATTGGAAGTGTCAAGCAATGCCAGAAGTTTAAACTTTAAAACGACCTTTGAAGCAAAGTGACGAGACTGACCTCTCTGGAGCTCCGCAAAGACCAAAAAAACAGAGATTTTTAACAGTATTTAAAGAGAAGCCTGATCAGCGATGTCCGAGAAACGCAGAAAAAGAAACAAACTTCCAGCTGCTTAATCCCGACAGCGAAGAACAATTAAAATCCCTCCTCTCCTGATGCAAAACAAAGGCGTTAGATTTCACGAGCTTAAACAAATGCTGCGAGAGACTTACCGGCAAGTCGAGCCCGTTACGCACTTCTCCCCACACTTTTCTCTTCGATCCCGCGGGGACTGATCAAATCCAAGCAAGCAACCAGACCAAAGTCCTCGATCGCCGCATGCTGTGTCGGGTGGCACGAGACACGGATGCTGCGTCGCTCGTCACTCTCGCCTTTGCAAAACCACTCCATCCATCTTCTTCTTCGTCGTCGTCCTTCCCAATTCTTTCCCCTTCCTCCATGCAAAGCTCGGCTTTTTTTTTCGCTTTTTCTTTCACTCCCTTTCTTCTTCTTCTTCTTCTTGGTGCTTGCTTGATTGTCGACTTGTTTGTTTGCCAACTTCGAGAACTGTAGTCCTACCATCCCCAGATTGATTGATTGATTGACTGACGCTGCGCTGCGTGGCCCGCTTAACACCACCTCGGCTCCTCCTGATTAGCGTAATCACTCTCGCTTTTCTTTTTCTTTCTCATTCCTTGTCCACACTGCTGATGAGATCCAGTCCAGCGGTCATGAGTATAAATCCCGAGAGCCCCGCGGAGATTTCTTCGCTGCCGTGTTACTTTTCCTTGCGGCTGCTTGATTCGATTTCTTGCTCTCTTTGTCAAGCGTCGCGCATCAAAGTCACTGACCAGCTCAGCTCAGCTCCGCCCGGTCTCGCTCTCAAAACGTTTCGCTTTCTTTTTCAACACCACGCAGAGCTACTGGTCCATTTTCAACCCCCCGTGCTGTTCCAAAGTAGAGCTCCCATCCACCCGGGACGCAATTTCCGACACTTCCTCCAGAGCAGTGGCGCTAGACTCGAAGGTATTTCCCAGCGCCAGTTCGATTGCTAGAAAGAGATCGTCGTCATCCATCCAGTTTCAGTGGTGAAAAGCGTTGCTGGCTCTCCTCTGCGAGCACTGGACATATATGCGTACTCCCTGTAGTATTTACCATGAGGAGCTGGAAGAAAGTTGCTACTTTTATGCTGCTGCTCTGTTGCTTCTACGTTTTCCAGCCGACTCAAGTGTCCTGTGCTCGGATTCCTGCCCAAGGTAAGCATTCCTTCTTGTTCTCCTTCGCTGCGGATCCCTCACAAAACCGGCCTTTTGTTTCTCGGTTTGATTCAGATGAAAACCAGGCCAAAGTCGCAGTAGCTTCCGAGTCTCCTGTTCACCATTTCCTGCGATGCAAGGAAGGAAGCAGCAGCTGCGGGAGTGACTTCCAAGCCGAGAAGCTGCACTCGGTACCATCGGGGCCGAATCCAGTCGGGAATTCACTGCCGGGGAAGTTCCTCGTCACCAGAAGATCTCCTCCTCCATTTCCAGAAGGAATTCCACACCCGTGAGAGCACGAGAGGAGAGTTCGGAAGTACCACGTCAAAGTCACAAGTGCCTTGGATAGGATCGATTCTTCTGTTTGGATTCGGCAGCAAGATCTCCTTTAAGGAAACTGTACATAGTTTGATCTCGTCACAACAAGTTTTGTAGTGGTAAAGTTGGAATCAAACACACAGAGAGGAAAAGAAGAACAACAAAAAGAACAAAGAAAAGTCACAGCTTTGTTCTCTTCCAAACTATTCGAACATCTGATACACGCAAAGAGTGGAAAGATGAAAGAATAAAACAGGATGCTTTGGCTGAAGAGCTGGCTAAAATCGTAGAGCAATTCTCTCAAATCTCGCAAGAAGAAAGCGCAAGGAAGAAGAGAAATTCTTGCGCAGGAAGAAAACGCAAGGAAGAAGGGAAATCCTTGCACAAGAAGCAAGCACGCAGCAATCGAGAGTACCTCTTGAATGTGACTCGCTTGACTTCGAATGCGTACGCGCCATCTTCTTCTCCTCCCTCCCGAAAAAATATTTCGGGGGGAAAGAATGACCGCCCTAATTTTTAGGGCTCTTGCAAGAATGCTGCTGGAGCTATGGCTTCCAGGCAGCTCAAGCTCCGACTCACCCACGCCTCCACTCTCCTCCTGCCGCCGCGGGGAAAATCTCTCCCGCCGCTGGATGGAGGAGGCCGCATTGGCGACGATTCGGTGGCGAGCACGCTGGCGCGGCTCGATTGCGAGGCAGCGGCGGACGTGAGCCATTTCAGCTACATTGCGACCTATTCCTCGCTCCTGCGGCGCTGCGCCAACGCTGGATCCCTTCCCGACGGCCGCCTCGTCCACGATCACATCCGCCACACTGGGTACGCATCCAATATCATGCTCGCGGAGCTTCTCATCCAGATGTATGGCAAGTGCCAGCGCCTGGACGAGGCGCGCGGTGTCTTCGATCGGATGCCGCGCCGGAGCGTCTACAGCTGGAATCTCATCCTCGCGGCCTACGTCGAGAATGGATTGCCGGGCGCCGCGCTGGATCTCTACAAGACGATGGATCTGGAACCGGATCGCTTTACATTCTCGACAATTCTGGGGGCTTGCGGTGGGATCGGGGCTCTGGAGGAGGGGAAGAGGATCCACTCGCAGATGAACGCCAGGAACGAGCTGGTGCCCGACACAGTCTCGAGCAATTCTCTCATCACCATGTATGCGAAGTGTGGCAGCATCGAGGAGGCCAAGGCGGTGTTCGATGGCACCGCCGAGAAGAGCTTGGTCTCGTGGAACTGTATGATCTCTGCGTATGCGCAGCAAGGGCATTGCTGGGAGGCGATCGAGGTCTACAACCAGATGGAGTCGCAGGGGGTGGCGAGAAGCGTCATCACTTACTCGAGCGTCCTGGGAGCTTGTGCGAGTTTGGGACGCGAGGCTCTCGAGACCGGGAAGATCGTCCATCGCCATCTTCTTGCAAGTAAGCTCTCACACAATGTGATCGTCGACACTGCTCTTCTAAGCATGTATGGGAACTGTGGCAGCTTACGCGACGCCGAGGAGATTTTCGCGGGGATGGAGAGAAGGAATGTGGTTTCCTGGACCGTCATGGTTTCGATCTACATCCAGCATGGGAAGAACAGGGAGGCTTTGGGCTTGCTGATGAAGATGGACTTGGAAGGCTTGCAGCCCAACGCTTGCACTTTCTCTAGCGTCCTCACTGCTTGCGCGAACTTGGGAAGCCTTGAGATGGGAAAGGCTGTCCACCGGCGTGCTGCTGCGAGCGGTCTGGTTTCCGACACGGTCCAGAACGCTCTCATCAACATGTACGCCAAGTGCCAGCGGCTCGGCGAGGCTAAGCGGCTGTTCGACCAGATTCCCGTCAAGTCGGACGTGTCATGGAACGCGATCATCGCGGCTTACGTCCAGCACGGGCGGAACAAGGAGGCATTCGACGTCTATCAGAGCAGGGAGCTGCAAGGTCTGGAACCAAACGACTTTATCTTCGCGAGCATACTGGGTGCCTGTTCCAGCGTGGAGGAAGTCAGGCGGATCCACGAACAGATTGCCGTAAGCGAGTTTCGATCGGATGCTGTGATCAACAACTCGTTGATCAAGATGTACGCAAAGCTGGGGGATGTGGAGCTTGCAAGGAAGGCCTTTGAGGAGATGGCTGTCAAGGACGAGGCCTCTTGGAACGGGATCATCATTGCCTACGCTCAGTATGGAGACGACGTAACCGAGGCTCTCGTCATCTACGAGAGAATGAAGAGCGCAGGTGTTCAAGGAAACGCAATCACTTTCACCAACGTTCTCACGGCCTGCCTCGTATCGGGCTCACTGGAGGCTGGAAGGAGAATTTACCAGGACCTCTGCAAGCACGAGCTAGAGAAAACCGATGCCATCGTCGGGACAGTTCTGGTAAACATGTTCGCGAGGTTCGGGGATCTAGTCACTGCTCGTCACGTTTTCGAGAACAACCAGCAGCGAAACGTTATCTCGTGGAACGGGATGGTGATGGCCTACTCACAGAACGGCTACTACAACGAAGCGGTGGACGTTTTCCACAGGCTCTTCCTTGAAGGCATACAGGGTGACAACATCAGTTTTACGTGCATCTTCCATGCTCTCAGCCATGCCGGGTCTTTGGACAGAGGCCGGGACTACTTCTTGTCGATGGGACCCGACCATGGATTGACGCCGACGCTGGATCTCTACGTGAGCTTGGTCGATCTATTGGGACGGTCGGGACGGCTCAACGACGCGATCGCGCTCATACTCGACATGCCAGCGGAACCGGACGTAATGTCGTGGATGACGCTACTCGGTGGTTGCAAGCTCCAAGGCAACGTGGAGCTCGGGAAGTATGCCGCCGAGCGGATATTTGAGCTCGACCCGGAGGACCCGTCGCCTTATGTGCTTCTATCCAACATCTACTTTGCGGCTGGGGTGGAAAGAGACGCTGAGAGCTTGAGGGAGGTCATAGCCTCTCGCTTTCCGGAAGAAGAATATGCGGCAACGGTTGGTTAGATGTCCCGGTGGCGTGAAGTTAGGTATCGGTTCCGGAAATGCCGATCACTCCGACGTACTCGTGGAGCGAAACTCCAGCATGGGTCACTGTCGAGGTTTTTCTCCATTCCGTGTCACAGGCAGCTCTCGACATTATCAGTAAGTCGTTTGTTCTGGTTTGTTCGTTGGAGTTAACTTGCTTCGGCTTTTCACCGTGCAGCTACAGACTGCTACATCAAAGTCAACTGCTCGCCGTACTTGTTCCAAGCCGATCTCTACGATGATATCGATTCGAAGAAAAGCTCGGCTATGGTGGACAAGGCGGTGGTGAAGTTCTTCATGTTCAAGGTATAGAACTTTGGGGTTTAGTGGTACCTTTTATATTTATTTTTCCCAGGATTGCAGAAGACCGAAGAACTTTGGGGTAGGTTGACGAGATGTGGAGATAGGCAGGCTATCTTGGAGCGACGTCAGCAGTCTTTGGATGCCGTGAGAGAGAATGCCCAAAAAGTTTGAGTTTCCTTTTCGGCTGCTGCTATACGGGCGGTTTTTAACGTTGTTGCTGCAGACAAAAGAAGAGGCCAAAGCAAAAATCTCCCATATACGACGGTTAGCAGTTGGCAGCCAAATGAAGCTTGAAGATGTAAGTTTCTTCTTCCTCTTACTTTCGCTACTGCAAAAGACTAAGATCACTCGAACATTGTTTCGAAGGCCAGGCGAAAAACCATTCAGGCAAGGAAAGAAGCGGAGCTGAAAGAAGAACGTGTAAGTTCTCTCATAGTCTCGAAGATGATTATTAAAAAATCCTTTGCCTTGCGCGCAGGATGCATTAAACTCGTGGCAACAAGGTGTATCACGAGAGAACAGCCAGCATGACGTCGAAACGTTGTCCGCTGGTGATTCTAAAAAGGGGTTTATAACTTGTAAACAGGAGGATCTTATGCTTGAATGGGATAACGTTACTCAAGCTTCAGGAAAGATTGACGAGGCAAACACAGTTCAGAAACTGGAGCCCAAACGATTAGCTTCTGCCAAAGTTGCGACATTGAAACCTGGGGAAAGATTGTTGCCTGCTCCTCGAAGAGGTTTTCGAGTTTACATTTCATTTACGAAGAAAACACTTCCCAATCATCTTCCAGCGCGTGAAAGTAGAGGTACATTATGACTCCGCTTGGTACAATGCTAACTATGGCTTGTCAGAGAAAGAACTTCAACTTATAAAGCATGCTCCCATCTCCAATGACGCGATTGATGTTTCGGAAAGGTGCTCTTTTTTCAATATCCTAGTTGTAATCTTGAAAGTATTCTACCTTCAGGGAACCACTGTTTCTGCAAGACAAAGGCGACAAATTCTACAGGTATTTCTGGAAAGCTAATTTGTAACGCCTGCATTGGCTTTTGTTTGTGAAACTGCAGCGCTGGAGACTTCAGAAGTGCGGTCAATGCGTACTCTGATGCCATACAAAAGGATGCTTCACTGTTTTTGTATCCTTCATTTCTACATTTCATCACTCTGATACACTCCTTAACAAGCACAGATCTCGTGCAAACAGAGCAGCCTGCTACTTGCAGATGAGCCAGATGCAAGCTTGTATCAATGACTGTACGAGAGCACTCCAGCTTTTAAGTGGACAAGACAACGAGATTGCCCAGGACAAAACTGAAGCTGAACAGTCTACCGCTCCAAAACTCATGTCCTTGGAGAAGGATTTCCTCCCAATGGACACTTTGGATTTACTGAGAGCAGCTGCCTCAGATGATTCCGAAGAATGGAAAAGACGTGCTCAAAGCTGTGTTTTAGCAAGGCGAGGATGTGCGAAGGGCCACCTGGGAGACCTTGAAGATGCTGTCACAGACTTCAAGGAGGTATTGCTGCAAACTTTTTTTTTTTATCGACAGTGATTATCAAAACTGTGCAGGCATTGAAGCTAAATCCGTCCGCTACTGACATCCGAAGAGTACTGGATTGCATCGCTGCCAAGTAGCAAAAAACAAATCAGTCCTGTATAAGCTGGATGCCGCTGGGTTCGTCTTGGCAAGGTCTGATGTGCGCTTTGATCCATTCGCTGTGCTCCAAATCAGCGGTTTCGTTTCTTTCGCACACTGAACTGAACGGAAACTGATTGCAGGGCTCGATAGACTGTCCGAGAGAGCATGCCGGGAGGCCGTCCTTCCCGAAGTCACCCTTGATGTTGAGGATGTAAGGCCGAAGCGCACCTAGTCCCTGCGCGACGTATCCAAACGTCGACCAGCTACTCGTCACTAGCTCGTCGCTCAAGCTGAGGAGCCACATCTCTGCCAACGCGTTGCGAACTTGCTCGTAAGATTGAGACTCGACTTCGTCGTGTGACATCGTATGGACCCGTACAAGGCTACCGTCAACCGTAGGCTTGTTTATATATGTATTCCGGAGCTCCTCGTAGTACCTGCTTTGCAACGAGGTAACGAAAACTTTAGTCCTGTTTTTTCTTGACTGGTGTTGGCCTTTGTCAGCTGGGATGTCGTGACCGGACTCTGAAACGCTTGGCACAAGACCGTTTTCAACGAGGCACTGCATGGTCCGTCTGTACGTTGGCTCGTGGAATTCCGCATTTTCCCTTCGTCGAATCTGGACTCCTACTGCCTTTCCCTGAACCAGTGACGAGTACGCGAAATGGTAGCGACGGATTTTCTCCCAGACGGGGTTTTGAGGAAGAATGAGGTACCTACTTAGGTGCGTGAAGGTCAAGGAAACATCCGGGAACAGAGAAACTAGAGGCCTCCAGAAACGTGGGAACGTGAAAAATCTGGGAACATAGTATTGGTTGCTGCTCCAGCCAATCCAGCGCACTTTCTCGAGCCGGGTCTGCGTGTCGGGACAGAAGAAAAGCTGCTCTTGCGGCGTTTGCTGGCTGAGCAGCATCAGGTGGACAGTGCTGCCGTGCCTGAACTTCTGTTTGAGGCCATCTGCAAGCATCGGTGCTAGAAGAAGACGATCGTACGGAAAATCAGGAGGCAGCAGCCAGGAGGAGTTTCTAAAAGGCTCGCAAAAGAGCTCGGGAATATGGTTTCGCGTGTCGACGAGAAGCATCCTGTTGGTGAGCAGGGAGTAGACGAAGGCGGACAGGAGAGAGAGGATGTGGTTTCCCAGGCCGAATTTGCCGTCCTGGAGGAAGACGAGATATCTACAGGGGTCATTTGGATCTGGAGCCTGGATGGCTTTACTCAAGTCTCGCGAGTGGTAGCAACTGGAATGCATCCTCTCGTACGCAGCCAATGCAGTGGACAGGGCCGGGGGTAGACTGTGAATTCGAGATGGCCGCCGCAGGGAATCCTGCTCGCATCTACTGTAGCAGGGGCAATCGTCTTCACTACTTACATTGTTCTTGGTGGTGACATTGCTGCTGCTGGTGCTGCTGCTGGTGATAGTCTCGTTGCTGCTGGTGGTGATACTCTTGTTGCTACTGCTGAGGCTATCGAAGCTGAGCTTGTCCAGGATGGTGGAAGTCAATTCTCTCCCTCGCTGCTCGACGATAGTTTCAATGCAAATGAGGAGAAAAGGGGGTCCCAGGAGGAAGATGAGCAGCAGAATTTTCACAGGTCTGGATGAAATCCATGCTCCATTGCTTCTGACTTTCTCGTACGATGTCATCTCCAGCTCCGAGCGAGCTCTCCCCTCTGGCGGATCCGGTAATCTACTCAATCGAAGAAGAATCTAATTCCATCCTTTTGCTGCAGCAGCTACGAATGAATCCAACTAGCATCGGCATCGACTTCCTGCGATTTTAGTCAACAAAGCATGCTTGCTGGCAAGCAAAAAAGAAAAGAAATCGTGGAGAGCCTTGACTTTGAGCAGCGGGTGTCCCAAGCAAGAAAATCAGCAAAGCAAAGAAAAGCAAAGCAAGGATTGATTGCTGAACTTCCAGGGATCATGGGAACTCGAGGCTGTTTACTCGCGCTTTTAATTGGATTGTCCATAGTTTTTATTTGCGTGGCCACTTTTTTTTCCCAAGCATCTGCGCGTCGTGTTAGTACGACAAATGCGCGAAAACGCGCATATTGGCCGCTTGTGCCTTGTCTGTGGAGTCCCACGCGACGCGAACTTGGGAGCTACCACCATTATAACCCGTACAGTGTGGTCCAAACATTTTTAGGGCTCTTCGTGGAGTGTTAGGGTTAGGGCAGGATCGCGAGGAGGAGGAAGAGGAAGAAATGGCGTACCCGCTCCATCCGCAGCAGCAGCAGCAGCATCAGCTCCAGCACCACCAGCACCAGCAAGAGGTGAAGCTGTGGTCCGACAAGCGCGAGCGCGAGATGTTCGAGAACTTCGCGGATCTCTTCGCCATCATCAAGACGACGGAGAAGCTGGAGAAGGCGTACGTGCGCGACGCGATGAGCGCGCGGGACTACGAGCCGTGGTGCACCAAGCTCATCGCGCAGTTCCGGACGCTCAAGAACGCGCTGCGCGACGTGGTGCCCGACGTGGACCGCTTCATGGCCGCCTACAAGATGGACTGCCCCGCCGCGCACAACCGGCTGCTCGTCTCGGGCATCCCCGCCACGGTGGAGCACAAGAGCGCCACCTCCTCGTCCTTCGACGCCGGCGCCACCGCGGTGGCGGTGGCCGAGTGCGTCCAGCACTACATCACCGCCATGGACTCGCTCAAGCTCAACATGGTGGCGGTGGATCAGATCCACCCGCTGCTGCTGGACCTCCTCTCGGCGCTCAACCGGGTGCCGCAGCTCACCGCCGACTTCGAGGGCAAGGTGAAGACGCGGGACTGGATCGCCAAGCTCAACAAGATGGGCGCCTCGGACGAGCTCACGGAGCAGCAGGCGCGGCAGCTCCTCTTCGATCTCGACTCCTCGTACAACGCGTTCATCAACTCGCTGCCCAAGCATACGTGATCCATCCATGAATGTAAGTAAGCTTCTCCAAAGGTACATAGATTTCACGCTAGAAGCCAGTAGTCCAGCACTGTATCACAATGGTTGGAACACGCGTGGTAAGCTTTCAAGCTGTGGCTAGTCTTGCGTTTGCCAGGAGCACATATGGTGCTCCATTGCTGGGATCCAATCTAGTCACCTCTTTGGCAGCTCCAGCTCTGTCAACTCCAACGTCCCCTGTCGCTCCAAGCAAGCAGATCCACTCGAAACCATCTGGCTCGAAAGGCATGCTTCTCATCAGATCCCTCGCCGATTGGAGGTAGCCGGACTTGCTCAAGAGGTCTACCATGCAGCCGAACTGCTGCTTGGTCGCGACCAAACCGTGGTCTCGGCTCATGCCTTGGCAGATGCCCCTCGCCATCTTCAAGTCGCCGGTGTGGACGCATCCAACGAGCAACGCAGTGAACGAGATGTCGTCGGGCTCAAGGCCCTCGGCCAGCATTCTCTGGAAAAACTCGAGCGCGACGTCGAAATCGTGTGCGTGCATGGACAGCATCGTGTTCCAGGAGACGAGGTTTCGGTCTGGAATGCGGTGAAAGAGCGAAGTTGATTTCGCAGTATGCCCTCTCTGGGCATATGCGGAGAGGAGGATGTTCCAAGACACCTGGTTTGCATCTGGCATGCTGTTAAAGAGTTCATGAGTCTCGACAAGACTTTGCATTTGAGAGTATGCAAGAAGCATAATGTTCCAGCAGATCAAATCCCTGAACGGCATTCCAAGAAACACGCCCCTAGCATCTTCCAGATGCCCAGTTTGGGCATAACAGCCTATCATCCCGGTCCAGGAGATCAGGTCGCGCCGCGGCATCCGATCAAATACTTCCTTCGCTCCATCACAGAGGCCATTGTGAGCGTAAGCATTCAGAATTGCGTTCCAGGAAACCTGGTCGTGATCCGGCATTGCATCAAACAGATGCTTGGCCGATCCCACATCGCCACTCCTCGAGAAGGCAGAGATCATTGTCGCCACAGAGAAGAGATCGCATTCCCTCATGTCTCCAAACAAGCATCTAGCCTCTGCAATTTTCCCATGTACGGCATATGCCTCTAGCATGGCTGCCCACGACACCATACTCCGGTGCGGCATACTGTCAAACAAATTCTTAGAATCTTCCAGATGCCCATTCTGGGCATATGCTTCCAGCATTGCCGTGCAAGACACAATGTCGTACTCCGGTAGAGATCGATACCATTTCTCCGCCCGATCCCGATCCTTGGCTTGGATGAGTACGGACAAGTGTAGCGTAAACGATGCAAGATCCCACGCTGGCATCCTATCAAACAGAGCTTTCGTAGAGAGTAAATTCCCGGCTGCGGCATATACTGAGAGCATGGCATTCCATGCGATAAGATCCGGCCTGGGCATAGATTCAAACAGCGTTTTAGAATCATCAACGCTAAAGTTGCGACAGTACACGATGAGGATTGTGGTCCATGAAGCAGCATTCCGAAAAGGCATGACATTAAACAGTGTCTTTGCTCTGCCAATTTGCCCAACTTCGGCATATGCAGATATCATGACATTGTATGAAATGGGGTCTTTGACCTGCATGGAGTTAAAAATATCCTCGGCAAGTTCAATGTTCTCGGTATCTGCAAATACTTTGAGCATGATTGTGGACGAGACGAGATCCCATTCTGGCATGGAATCAAAGAGCGACTTTGCCTCGTCCACATGCCCGTTCCGGGCATATGCCCTGAGCATGAAATTCCACGAGTAGCTGTCTTTCTGGGGCGTGGAATCGAACAGCTGACGTGCACGGCATGTATTCCCGCAGTTCCCGTGCATTTGGACGAGCACATTGCGCAGGAATGTGGAGTTTCCAAGAGACAAAATCTGGGCTTCGACATGCTCGGCAGTGGAGGGACTTGCACTGTTTGCGAGACGAACGAGATCATCCAAGCATGAGCGCATGCTTTGTTCATCTCGGCCTATTAGGAGACTCTTAAGTATGTCTTATTAATAGATTCTTATATTTCAATGATTCATAAAATTTCAAGATAACCACTCTTAAGTAAATATTATTATATTTCATGAAATTTCAAGAAATAGTGAAACTGAGTCATCAAGAATGACTTTGAGTTTGAAAGCCAAACATCACCAAAAAATGACAGAGTCCGTCAAAGAAACAACACATTCAAGTCTTAATTCAGTCAGCAGTCTTATAGGACGTCCCAGACTTGATCACTGGTCAGTCATGGCCAAGGACCACTATGTTTTGGACAGTTTGTAATCTTATTTCGCCTCTCTTAATTAAGAGTCAAACATGAAATTGGACCAGAATAAATCGTAGGCAGATCATTGTCCTAGAATCTTTCGATATAACATGCAAGACTGGTGGAATTTAAAAAGTTTAAAGACATCTAAAATACAGAAAAATATTCCTGGATTCAACCTGAACATCGTATCCAGAAGACTGCTCAGGTATTCGACACTTCGGGATCCGTGGAAGCAGGATGCGTTTCCATGGCCCAATTAATTGGTAAGCTGCAGCCTATAGACAATTAGAAAGTGTACAGACACTCCAACCAGCAAGTGTGTGTGGCACGGCGCTAGGAAGATTTTTTTTTGTCTTTTTAAGCTTGTCAAAAACATTACGGGAGGAGTTGACGAGCAGCAGCAGCAGCAACGGGTAGTATCGATTGTTTCCAAGGAGTGGCAGATATTTGAGCAATGGAGCAGTTTGTTTGGAGACTCTGTTTACGTCAACTGGAGACAGGCTTGGGATGAGAGCAAGATGCTTTTTCCCAGCATGATATCCTACACGGTGCTCATAGATTGGAAGGGCTCGTTCCGAGTTGCAGGAGACATCTTCGAGTCAACGACCTCCATAGACGTGTCCTGCAACAACCTCAGCGGCGACATTCCAGCGGACTGGTTGCTCTGAGGAACTTGAACATGGCTTTCAACAATTTCGATGGTTCCATACCCAGTGAGCTCGGTCATGGAATCTCTGGATCTGCCTAATAGGGCATTCCATCGCAGCTCACACTCTTGAGCTTTCTGGCTTACTTCAACGTCTCCAGCAACCAACTAAGTGGCAACTTCAGGTTTGAAGCTTCCTCCTTTACAGAAAACCGGGCACTTTGTTCTCAGCAGCTGCCTTCTGGCACAGCCGATTCAGTCTGAAATGCAGGACAAAGAATTCATTTCAACTAGTCTAGAATTAAGCATATTTGTTCCCAGAACCCTAAATACTCTTTTCGTAATTATCTTTTGTTCTGAAATAGCATTGGCATGGTGGCAAGTAAAATCACCGTTCTCAACCAGACAGAACTTATTACCTAGAACATACCTCAAACTCTTAACTTCCTGTGAAACTTGACCACTCTCGGGCTCTTCATGAACAGGCTATAGGCTTCAATAATGTGTATGTTCATCTCCATTGACATACGTGTCCTCCCACAACCATAGAAACTTCATTGCCACTCCCATCCAGAGAGGGTCCATAGAAAGATCTCTGGCTGAATTGATGTTATTATGTTTAAAAGCACAAAAGAATGACATTGCTGTCCTTCATAGCTTGGACAATATATAAATATTGGCTTTCTTCAAGTACGAATTACTAATCTAATCCAGGAATCTATCGTGATAGAATAATTTAACATATTGGACAACAATAAACAATGGCACTTCCTTTGCAAAGGTTTGCCCTCCATGAAGGTAAGCAAAGCCATTCACATAATTTCTCTTATAGGTTTTGCTTGGGTTTTTAGGATAGAACCAAGAAGAATCGGCAAGTTCCAAGAATTTTCTTCTTGTGGATTTTTAGATGCTGGCGCTGAGAGCTCAAGATCATCGCTGCTGCCGAGTTAAGATAAGTTACAGTTGCCCAGCTTATTGGAGCCAAAACAAAGAGAGGAGAAAAATGTAGAAACGGTAGAGCATTACCTCCTACACCGTGACTGCCGCTACCGCCTCGTCAAGAGCAGCGACGCCAGGAAGAACTTTGCCTTCGAGCAGCTCCAAACTAGCACCACCCCCGGTTGATATGTGGCTCATCTTATCCGCGACCCCGACTTTCTCCACGGCCGCCACGGAATCACCTCCGCCGATGATTGTAGTCACACCTTTGCCGCTAAGCTCCGCCAGCTTCTTCGCAACAGCCTGCGAAAAACAAGGCAAAAGTTCTTAGATCGTTGGAAGTTCGCAAAAGCGTTCTTTTACCTCCGTGCCAACCGCGAACTTGTCAAACTCGAACACTCCCATGGGCCCGTTCCAGATCACGGTCTTGGTGGTGTCCAATGCCTCGTTGAACGTCTTCACAGAGTCGGGGCCGATGTCGAGACCCATCCAGCCATCGGGGATTGCTGTCGATGGTACGATCTGTGGAAGAACAAGAGAGAAAATTTCGTCGGACGTTGGAAAATTGGTGCCAGGAGACTCTACCTTGCTGTTCGCGTCTGCTGCGAACTTGTCAGCCACCACCACGTCTGTGGGAAGGAGCAAGGAGACACCTTTGTCCTTGGCCGTCTTCATCAGGGATTTCGCCAGGTCGATCTTATCCTCCTCAACGAGTGAGGATCCCACAGAGAGGCCCTGCGCTTTGAAGAAGGTGAAGATCATTCCTCCTCCGAGTAACAAGATGTTGCATTTCTCCAACAGGGATTCAATCACTCCAATCTTGGACGACACCTTGGAGCCTCCAACGATGGCAGCAAATGGTCTTTTAGGATTCGACACGGCTCCATCGAGGTAGTCGAGTTCCTGGCAAATTCGTCGTCAACTCAGGGAAGCATTGGGAAAAAGAAAAAAGAAAATCTACCTTTTGCAAGAGGAATCCAGCCACGGAGGGCTTGAGGAACTTGGTCACGCCCTCGGTAGAAGCATGAGCTCTGTGAGCGGTACCAAAAGCATCGTTCACGTACAAATCAGCCAGTGCTGCCAGCTTCTGCGCGTGCTCGGGGACATTCTTCTCCTCCTCGGGATAGAATCTTACATTCTCGAGAAGCAGCACCCCACCGTCGGGCAAAGCAGCAACCTTCTTCTCAACTTCCGGACCAATCGAATCGTCGGCTTTCTCGACCTGAAGAAACAAAAAAGAGCTCATTCAATAAAAACACTTGAGAAAACAAGCTTGCCTTAATGCCGAGAAGCTCTGAGAGCCTTGGAACAAGAGGAGTAAGCCGATACTTGTCAGTAACACCTTTCGGACGTCCCTATAAGAGAGAAAAGCAAGGATGAGAAAAGCTTCGAGAAATTCTTTCCATCTATCGAAACTAGAAGAAAAAACTTACCAGATGGCTCGAGAGGATGACCTTTGCTCCATTGCTGATGAGATACTTGATCGTCGGCACGGCGGCACGAATCCTCGTATCGTCGGTGATCTTGAGATCGCCATCCAAGGGGACGTTGAGATCGGCCCTCACGAAGACGCGCTTGCCTTTTAAATCCGCCTCCTTGAGATCGCCGACGCTCTTCTTGGCCATGCACACCACGCCGCGGCTGCCCCGCCCATGGCCTCTGCTCACCAGGGATGCCACGGCCGCAACGAAATCCTGGTGCTGATCCAATGCGCCCAGCTTGCGCACATCCCTGCGCCCGGCGACGAGGCCGCTGAAGGACTGGAGCCTGAAAGACCTGAATCCGGCGCGATTGCTCGACGAGCTCGACGAGGACGACGCCGATCCGAGCGACGCCGCGGGCGAGATGAGCTGCGATGAGGCGGCGGCTGCCGTGGCGGCCATGGTGGACGGATCGATCGAGGCGGAGAGAGGAGCGCGGCGGCTAGGGAAGAACTGCCGCAGAGAAATGGCTACTAGCTAGTAGAGCATCATTAGCTTAAAGTCAAAATGGGGGTTTACACTAATCGCGATGACGTGGGCTCCTGGCCGCGAATAAAAGAATGACGCGTGGCAGAGCCTCCCCTCTTAGATAAGGCGCTTTCCGGCCGCTAGTATTGCGACCGCTAGAATTTCTTCTTCCTGGCGGATGTTTCGTATGAAGAAAAATATCCACGCGATTTTCTTGTGGCTCGCAAGCTTTGGATCATCGGTTCTTAGTGGCCTGCGACAAAATGCTGAAGCAATCCAACGACGCAAGCGAGTGATTTTTACCTCTCGAGATATGCATGGGATTATGATTTAAATATCGACATCGCCTGGGCCTGGTGAAAGTCAATCCAAACAAACGTGAGGTAGAGTTTTGTGACAATTACCATGGCATTGTCCGTATCCTCTTCCACTTCCAAGTCGATTTCCACGACCTCGTTCTCGAGTGCTCGATCTTTGCTCGAGTTGGATAGCTCTTTCAAGGGAGGCCTGCAGTAGACAATCCAGTGAGAAATGGATGGAGCCAGGGAGGAAAAGTGCATTACCTCGATACACTATCTCTCTCCTGTTTCAAACAGGAGACCTTCCTGCAAGGTCTCCTGTTTGAAACTTCCACTTGCTTCTTGTCGGAAGGCTTGCGATCTGATACTGCCGCTTTCTTCTTCTGGTTGGAACTGGAGAGTTCTTTGTCTTCTGAAAATCACAGTGCACAGTTACTCTCATTGTTAGAAAGAGAACGCTACCGTTGTTACCTGTCATTCTAGCCAGAAATCTTAAACCTTGCGACGACGTTCGTGTCGTCATTTTGTCGCCATTGCTGTAAACAAGAATATGGGTAATGAGAATGCCGGCGTCTGTAGCAAACATAGAGTACCTCAGCATCTTAGAAAGCTCTAAAGACGACCGATGCTTTACTCGCTTCAATGGCTGCTCCGGTGATTTCTCTATAGTGTGCTTGAGGGACTGCATTCCGCGATTCTGGTTTCTCATCGACCCGGTCAATCCAGTAGCAAGGTTTCTGCGAAAGAGTTAGTATTTAAACACATGAAAAGCGGCAAGAGAAATACATATCCAGCACATTACCCGCCATTTAGCTCTGGCCGTTTACTTCTCAAGTTTTTGCGTGCTGCCTGTAAATCAGTTAGTACACCACCAAAAAGATTTCAGTGTTCTTACGAGAGCGTGAAATTTACAGTATGCACCCTCTTTCCTGCAACATAAGTTCTAGAAGATCAACACTTCAGAGAGATATAAGCTCACCTGTTAACCGGTACTGAGCAAGGAGCTCCATCTTTGCGCTTCCCGTTACAAATGGCAAAATCCAGTGACGTCCCCACAACTGTCAATTGATTCACATCAGCAACGCTCAAGCTAAAATCACCTTTCTGGGAAATCAAAGTCAGAACAGGAAGGCTAAAAAACACATTGAGACATACCTTGTCATCGTGACGAACTTTAGCATCGAAAACCGCAATAACACTACCGACCGCCTCTTTCCAGTGTTCTTTATAAGCATCCCCAAACAAAAACAAGGAAACGGTAGACTCGTTCAGGCAAGACAGCTTCCAAATGACATAGTTTTTCGAGTTCGATGACACTCGGGGTTGGCCCTTGTCTGACAGAACGGCAATTGTTGCCCAAGAACCTCTAACACCATCGCCAATGACTGCATGCCTGACGAAAGATAAATTCTCTGTAAAGGGAGGCAAGGAAATAGAACGAAAGAATGCCTACTTGAGAGCTTCAAGCTTCACGAATCGCAGCTCCATGAGCTTTGTAGTTAGCATCTCACGGCTAAGACATCTGTTCCTGCGATCCAGAGAAAAATTCGTGGGTAAAGCAGAACATCTTATCTGTATGAACAAAACATATGTAAGAAAAACAAAAGAAACTCTACCTGATGCGAAGACCAGAGTGAACTTCGAGATCTGGTGTACTGCCGTTTGATCCGAAGCTTTGCACAGAAACTCCCTTTGATTTCTCGACCGAGGCCGGCGGGCATTTCGCTAAACTTCCACTGCTTTTCAGCACATCCTTGAAAATGGACATGTTTAGCACGGACTTGGGCCTTTCCTCTTCATCGGAGCAATAGCCTGTCGAAGGGCGCGGCAAAATCTCACTGCTGTTCGATCGATCCTTGATTTCTATCACAATGCCGCAATGTCGGCTCGATCCATTCATAGAAATCATACCTGTGCTGTCCTTCTCTTCGCCGCATTCGTCCCGAAGCGATAGAAGCAGCTCCAGATCAGCCATGGCGCTGCAGAATTTCGAAACGCCCTAAACCTTTTGGCGGGAAAGCTTGCCAGGAGCCCTAATTTCGGTATTTTCTACGGCCATGGCGGCACTGCGGCCATTGCTTCGGCGATGCGCCGCTGCTACCGCGCAATCGCGAACGCCGCTGCGCTTTTCGGCATCGTCACCAGCGGCGGCGGCGTCCACGGCGATCCCTGATGATGATCCGGCGAAGCTGCTGCATAACAAGAATGTGAGTCCCCAGGGTTTTAGAGATCAGGCTCCCGCGAAAGTGGTGTTGTACCAAGCGCGCTGGATGCGACCGCTGCGGCTTGTCGTGAGGTTTGGATCATAGATTTCTCGGAGGAATTGGCGCAGAAAAAGGATTTTTTTTGTTCTAGGCTCAAGGTAATTCAACTGGCGGGATTTGCAGCCATAGCAGCTCCATTAGCAAAGTACGTGAAAGAGGTAAGGATGCTTTCTCGTTTCTTCTTTGCTCTTCTCGTGTTATAGGTTTGTCTTTGTTTTCCAAGGGGACATTGTCTGCCGAGGCTGTAGCAGCATCTCTTGGCGTCACTTTTGGAGCTGTTGGAGCAACGCTCGCTCTCTGGTACTATTCCCGTAGGTGAGGATCACACTGGATCAAACAGATTTGCTAACTTCAACCTTTTCACTGCAGATACATTGGCGAGCTCTCGCTTGTTCCACCTCTTCCAGAATATGTAGAGATCAGCACAATGAACTTCTGGGGCCACCGCGAGGTACATGAGCTTGAATCTCCCTGTTTTGTCTTTCATCACACTAATGACACTTCCTGGAACAGAATTTACGTGTTCGAGTAAGGTAGCCGGCTTGTTCATTGTGGCAACTTCGATAATCTGATCGTGGGAGTTGTATGTTGCAGTAAGATTGATCCACCATTTCTAAATGCCACCCCGACCGACCTTTCTCGAATGGCGACTAATGTGTTCGTACCTCTGCCTGGTATGCTCTTAAATTTCTAATCTTGATCGATCTAGCCGATTTCATTGTCGCAGTAATGGGGCATCGCCAGTTCATCTTGAATTTAATTCACGGGCATCTCTACCACAAACGCTTGCTCTTCGCTCTTCTCAGCGGAACGCTGGATCCCAAAAACTTCGAGGATCTACTGGACAAGAAGAAACCGCCTACATCTTAAAGCATCTGTTCGAGCTTCTCACGAGTTTGATTGGGATTCCGGGAGCTTCACTACTGTGACTGGGCAAGGTGCGTTGTTGATTACGTAGTTACTGACGCTTCCCAGCAGCGCCCTGTGGATTGGCAACAAATGAAACGAGTTTTTTCCAAGTCGAGAAATAAGAAGCTTTGCGGTACCTTTTAACAGTCCCAAGGCCTCTACTTCCAAGCACAAGCAGGTCCAACTTAAGATCTCCAACAGCCTCGATGATCTTCTCTCGAGCATCGCCGTAGTAGACCTTACCGTCCACAGCAAACTGGAGCCAGGAGCTCGACGTTGAGATCGACAAGAACAAAAAGGAAAACGCGTAAGAAAGTTTACTTTTTTCTTCTCTCGGTGCTCTCTAATCGTTGCAAACACCTCAGGATCGGGCTGGATGCCATACTTGTCCAAGACGTGCTCGTCGTAGTCGTGCATTGGGATCAAGGCTGTGGATCAATCCTCCAGGCAAACCGAGTCTGAGAACATCTTAAGATCGATCGTTGCCACTTACGAGTGCCGGCTTTCTCGAAGAGGGCGGTGTCCTCGCCCTCTTTCTTGCGGACGACGAGGACGAAGATGTGATCGCCATCGCGCGCGAAGTGCTCGAGCGCCCAACGAAGCGCGTACCTGCTGGTGGGCGACAAATCGATCGCTATGCCCACATTCCTCGTCATCGCGCTCTTTCCCACCCTTTCCAAGCGCCATTTTGAATTCAAATTCAAAAGCCGGCCTCGTCACCTCGCCACGTCGGACGTGCCAAGTGGAGGCCCGTATCGCATAGTCCTGGGATCTGAAAGCCCTAAATCGCGAATCGTGATGGGGGCATAGAACAGGGCGCGGTCGATCGGCAGCCTAGCGGGACGGAGCCATTGCTTTCGCGGTACATTTCTCTCGTAGTTTCGATCGGTAGCTTGCGTTGGGGAGGAATGGAGGAGGAGATTCGAGCCGCTGAGGCGCAGACCGATTTGAGGGAGAATGAGACGCAAACGGCAGCCTTCGATCTCATCCAGCCCCCGTCTTGGATGTTTGTCAACATCGAGCCGTGGGTCTTTGAAGGTATAGCGATTGAATTTTTTTTCTTCTCATTTTCTTAACTCGGTGTGTTCTTTCGAAGAGAGATATGGAATGCGAAGAAGACCCCACAGGGAACAAGCAGCGGACGGGGATCGAGAGCTCTTTGCGAGAGACAAAGAAATTGTTCCAGTCCGGATGAATCCCATGGTTTTCCCCAACAGAGTTGAGAAGGAATGGCACATACCAAGCCTCGAGGAGCTCGTAAGTTTGATCATCATTTTCTCCCCAAACTCTCAAGTAACTTTCTCTTCTTGCAGACCGAGCAGCGAGATTTCATGGAGCCCTTTAAGAACTTGCTACTCAAAGGTGCTCTCCACGATTGCCGCAAGGTTTTCTCTTTTGTTTATGTGGTTTCTCTCCCTGCCGGGCTTGTTTGTGATTGAAATACAACAGCTCCCTTGCAGAGCTTGCGGAGCTTGAGCCACGCCTGAAAATCAAGGTGAACGTGGAGGAGTGGCTCCAGGGCGATTTCATCGCAATGACCGATGCCTACGCGCGACGCGCGACTCGATCCACCAAGGGAAGATCGATCGCGCGAGCGGTTCCACGCCAAAGACACTACTCCGTCCAAGTTGTAAGTCTTTCTCTTTTGTTTTTTACGTTCTAGAGAAACAGTCTCATACTCGATCGCTCCAGGGAAAGCACCGGAGAGTTTTGACACCCAGATGTGATCCAACTCTGGTGGTCAAGCTGGAGAGGCTCACGGCGATCGTGTTGTTCCAGCGCTGCCTCCGCGGCCGAGCAGCACAGATCTCGGTGCTGGAGACGCGCGAGCGGTGCATTGGATTGTACGAGCAGCTAAACCAGCTCGAGAGATACGAGGAGGTGAAAGAGCCGGAGTCGACGAGGAAGGACAAACTCTGGGGCGCAAAGTGCGTTGTGAGCGTCAATCTCTCCAACTGGCTCGACGCCATTGTCATTCCCGAGTTTAAGTTTAAAACGGAATAATAATAGTATCTCTCCTGTAAATCCAAATCCTGTCCGTCGGATTCAAGCGCAATCCCCACCGTTGGCGTCCTGTTAGGGCACTTATTTAGGGCTTTTGCGGCCACAGAAAACCTAGGGTTTGCTTGTTGCTCGAGGAGAGATGATGACTGGAATGTCGCCCCAGTCCTACTTTCTGTGAGGATTGACACGATTTTGTTTCGTCTGATCTCTGGATTTCTTTGGGAATGTGATGATGATCTTTCGCCATTTCTGACTTCTACTGCGGAAAAAATCTCATATCGATTTGCACGTCAGTCTGATTCCCAGTTTCGATTTTCTTAGGAGCTTCTGGATGGAGTTGGAGGATGATCAAAGTTCATAGACCTGTTCTGAGCTTCTCAGTGAGGATCATTTTACATGCACTACCAGCTGACAACTCCATTGTTCTTGTTTGTGAGTTTTTTTTTTCTTGGCCGATGATGCAAGCTTCTCTCAGCAAAGAGATCTGATGTTTCCCGTGAGGAACAACTCAAAATCACCATCTTTCGCCTGAGGCCATTCTTGAATGACTATCCAAATCGATGTGAATCGGAATGGTTTTCCTTGCCAATCAGACCATATCAAAGATTTTAAGACCCGATAGAAACAAAACGAAAAACCTCCCTCAGTGATCCTCGATGGCCATGGTTTGAGGTTGAGGCGCGTGGATGGTCACCGAGTCGATCGCGCTATCGCTGTTCTCCCAGCTGGATCCCAGGAAATTGATGTGCAAACCTCTTTCCTTGTAAGCTATGGAGATGGGGCCGCCACCTCGTCCTCCTCCGGCCTTGCCGTCGGGCTCGCCTAGCAGCTCCACAATCTCTCGGCCCGTCATTCCAATCCTGAAGTGGAATCGAATCGAATGATCGACTGATCGACTGAGAGGAATTTACGCTTACCTGAGCCCGTGAGGAAGATCGCCCATGAATTGGGAGTAGCCGTGCGTCCCATTGTACACATGGACGGCCTCTAGGGCTGACTCCTCGAAGCACAGCGACACGCCCAGACCTTCGTAGTTGTGATACTCACACGCCGGCCGCGATTTGAGAGCTGGGAATGCGCGCCGGCTGGGCAGTGGAATTCCTCCATCGCTCGCCCCCAAATTGCCCAAGAAAGCCGCGATCGCAGGGTCTCCTTCGCGCTTGCCAATGAGCTCCATGAACCCTAAAGTTCATGGAATTTTTTCAAACGGCTATATTTTGGCGCGGATTTTTGGAGGGAACATGTAGATTGCGCGGGGGATCTAGGGCAGGGTTTGGCATTCTTGATTGATCGCTCCATGGATTTCTCGGCTCACATCCTCGCGGCCAAGACGGCATTGCATTTGTCTGCTGTTCCTGAGGCTATTCTGTGCCGGAGCGAGCAGATCGATAGGATAATCAAGTTCTCCAAGGATTGCCTGCTAGAGAGAAGGCCAGGCAGTCTCTACGTGTGTGGGTGTCCTGGAACTGGGAAATCGCTGGCAATGGAGAAGCTAAAAGGCCTCTTGTCACAGTGGGCGGTCGAGGTAAAATCCCAAATAGCTAGACACTTGAGTTTCATCTTTGTTTTTCTATACAGGCAGGGATTTTACCACCGGATGTGGCTTCTGTCAATTGCACAACGCTCACAGATGCTACACAGATCTACTCCAGGGTATGAACTTTTTTTCCTTTGTGCTTGGACGATGGAATGCTCGTTTGTTTCGCAGATTTATCACTCCTTACAACCAGGCGCTGACGATGATCGAAGCGTCGGGTACCAACAACTTAAGAAGTTACTATCGTTCAACAGGGGTGCGAAGAAAATGCAGTATGTTTTTGTTTTCCTTGCCACTTTTTGGAATCGCTAAGCTTTTCTTGCCAGGCTTTTAATCATCGATGAAATGGACTATCTCATAACCAGAGAACAAACTGTGTTGTATGAGCTGTTCCAATTATCCGTTTTGAAAGACAGCAGCTGCATTCTAATAGGTGAGCTGTTTTCTACGCGTTCTTGTGTGCTGATGCTCTTTTCTTGTCAAAGGAATTGCTAACGCCATCGATTTAACTGAAAGATTTCTACCAAGGCTGAGAACTTTCAGCTGTAAGGCTTGCGCTGATGTTTATTCTGTTTGTATCTTATTGTCGATCGTATTGCAGGTAACCCGGAGGTCATCACATTTCCTGCGTATACCAAAGACCAAATTTTCGCTGTCTTGCTTCAAAGATTATCGGTAGAAGACGGCAACACATCTTGTCTTTGAGTATTAACATTGCCTTTTCCAGTCTCTATCGGTGGCTACGTTTCATCCTGCAGCCTTGGAGCTGTGCGCCAGAGTAAGTTATTGCAACCACCTTAGCTGATGTTCTAATCTTTCAATGGAACAGAGGGTATCTGCTGCATCCGGGGACATGAGAAAAGCCTTGTACGCTTGCAGGTTGGTAATTCCCTGTGACTTCTTATGATTCTTAACTTTGGTGCGTTGCAGGACTGCTCTTGATCTTTTTGAAGCCGAGAACAAAAGCAAATCTACAGAGCCTGAAGCGACGTGCTTGCAAAGGGATCAGTTTGTGCAAGTTGATCACATGGCAAGGGCGTTGGCCAAAGTTTTCCGTTCTCCTGTCATTGAAACTATTCAAGCTTTGCCAAAACATTCGCAGGTAATACCAGTGTTTGTCATGCGTTATCTGCTCATTTCGTTATCGATGTACAGATGGTCTTATGTAGTGCCGCTAATCTCTTCCGGAAGAGAAAGAGGGACGCGCCATTAGGCGAGGTAGGCGTTCTTCAAGTGTCAAAATTGATGAGTGGACTTACGGGAAGCTTTGCAGCTGAATAAGCAGTACCTGGGGTTTTGTAAAACAACTGGTATGCGCCCTGTATCTTCTCAAGAATTCTCTGGAATTTGTCAACTAATTGCCGACCAGGTATAAGCTATGTGGCAAGACAAACTAGTGTTTAATCTTCGACATTTCAGGGTCTTCTTGGCCTCGGTACAGCTCGCGAAGATCGTCTCAGAAAGACAAAGTTGCAAGTAGACCATGATGACGTCGTATTTGCACTACAGGTTCGTCTCGCACTGTTTAAACACCACATTCGATATTTACGTTCTTCAAGCAGGGAGTTCGCTTCTTCCGAAACAGCCTGTTGTAAATCTACAAAGGAGACAACAGCTAACTTCAACGATCCACCGGTGCGAGCGTCTCAACTATTGTGAGCACCACACTCGGACATTGCTGCCAGCAGCACGTATGTTCCGTCGTCCTGCGGATTCAACTCTAGAGCTTGCTTTGCTGCTCGGCTTCCACTTCGACCATCACTGTAACTCTTACAAGCGCTCAGGAGCGATTGCCAGTCGACGTCTCCCGGCTTAAACGGCATGCTGGCGATGACTTCCTCGGCTTCCTTCAGATATCCCGCCCGACCAAGCAGATCAATCAGGCTTCCATACAGCTGCTTCGTCGGATCAATGCCAAAGTCGACAGCCATGGACGCGAAGCAGCTCAAAGCGGTGCGGACGCTACCGCCATGGTTGAATCCGACCAGTATCGACACAAAGCAGACATCATCCGGAAGAACTCCTTGAAGCAGCATCCTTTGGAAGTGATCCAGCGAAGTTTTGTACGACATAGTTGGGGTAATCGAGTTCAAGGCCCCAGTCCAAGATACAACGTCACACTCGGGCATGGTCTGGAAGAAGCTGTGAGCTCGAGCGTACAGACCATTGTGGACAAATCCGCCGAGCAGCGCGTTCCATGACACAAGAGTCCTCTCCGGCATCGAATCGAACAGAGCTTTTGCTTCGTCGATATAACCACTCCTTGCATAGGCCGAGAGCATTGCAGTGAAGGAAACCACGTCCCTGTGAGGCATTCTTGCGTGGAACAAGCTGGTGGCTTTGTCGAGATGCCCGCTCTGGGCATAGCCATACAGCACTGCGTTCCATGACTTCACATCAACAGGCATAGATAAGGCTTCCATAGCCAACAGCGCCTCGTCCAGATGCCCAGAAAGGGCATTCACCGCAAGCATCGAATTCCAGGCCACAAGATCCAGTTCGGGTAATCTCACTAGTAACTTCTGTGCTCGATCAAACTCCTTCTCTTGCGCGCAAGCGGCGAGAAGAGAATTCCAGCCAGCCAGGCTCCACACCGGCATTATTTCTAAGAACTCTAGCGCCTTTACAAGATGCCCATTTTGGGCAAGTGCCGCAAGCATAGCGTTCCATGCAACGACGTCCCTCTCCGGCATGCCATCAAAACGTTCTCTCGAGTCCTCGATCTTCCCTGCCTGCGCAGATCCAGCAATCATCGTCGTCCACGAAGCCAGATCCCTTTCCGGCATCGCTTCGAAAAGATACGCTGCTTCGTCCATATGCCCCGAGAGGGCATATGCAGATAGCAGCGCGTTCCACGAGATGATGTTGCGCTCTTCCATCCGCTCAAACACATCCCAGGCGCCCTCCACCTGGTGGCATTGCGATTGCGCGCACAGCATCGCGTTCCATGACACAAGGTTCCACTCGGGCATGGCGTCAATGAGGCGGCGCGCGTGGGCAAGATCTCCGGCCAGTGCAAACGCCGACAGGAGCGACGTCCAGGCGATCACGTCGTGCTGCGGCGACGAATCGAAGATCTCCAGCGCGCGATCGAGGTCCCCGGTGGCAGCGTACGCGGCGAGCATTGCGTTCCAGGCGACGCGGTTGCGCGAGGGCATGGACTCGAAGATGCCGCGGGCCTGGGTAAGATGCCCGGCTCGGGCATATGCTACGAGCATGAGAACCCAGGTGAAGGAATCTCTGCAAGAGGGCGGGCAGAGGTTGTCGAAGACGTGGCGGGCGAGAGAGATGCTCCCGCATTTTGAGTGCATCTCCAGCAGCAGATTGCACACAAAGGTGGTGAGGTTTTGGTGGGTGCAAAGGATTTGGTTGTGGATCACCTTTGCATTGCTCGCAGTCTTGCATGACTTGATGAGCCTCTCCAAAGACTCGCTGCATGATGAGAGCATCTATTTAATTCTGGCCGTCCTGCCCGGGCACAACATCGTCTCCACTCCAGTGAGCTGGGCTATGGTGGGAATGGAGTGGAGCTGGGCTATGGTGGGAAGCATCGCGCTTCGGTCCTCATCCATCTCAGGATCCATATCCTATGCCAAGACCCGATGCATGGCTCTCGAGCCAACAGTTATTCGAAGAGGCTGAAACACCGCAGCATTGAACTCTTGAAAGACAAGCAGACGATGGAGATCATCCTGCCAAGGTAAACAAGATTATCTCCATTGAGCTATTTGGGTCCAATCAAGATATCCTTGATCCTCGGCTTTTGAGAGAATGGCAGGCCATGGAAGCTCCAATCACAGACTAGTTTATGATGATATTGCCCTTCAAATTGCAATGAGAAGTTGAGGAGTTAGAATGCCTGTGGGCAAGCATGCAACCAAGTGAAAAGAGTTTAATATTGCACTAAGCCAATTTATAGAATCAGCACGTGGAGACTGCTAGAATGAGATTCTCAACATTTCAACCCGTGTTTAATTCTATGCTATGGAGGTTTATGGCTTTGACATGTATAGAGATGCTAAATGTCTTCACCATGTATCTTAAATTCTTCATGTGAGAAACTTGTACCAATGAGTTTGTATTACAATCAGTTTTATCAAAAGTAGAGGTAGTTATCAATGTTTATCTAAGGTTAACAATAGTCATCTAAGGCTAAAGTTTATGCCAGTGGAAGAGAATAAAAATAAGTTATAGTTATTTGAGATCAAATGTTTAGTATCTGGATTCTAGCAACACTGGTGTGACATATAGTTATTCTAGTTAATTTTTAAACTTGTTAAATTGTGATATTTATCCTAAAAATGAGAATTATAAATTATATAGTTGCCTGGGTTGAAAGTCTGTTACAATAGTTTAAAAATAGGGTGAACTATCAATTTTTTAAAAAACTTATCTAATTAACTAAAAATTGAAAAAGAATAATTAATAAATAGCAAACTATATGGATTTGTGAGTGCTTGGAATATGGAAAGGGAATACAGAAAATGTGCATATCAATTAGCCCAAAAACCCTAGCTTATATATAGGAGCGAGTGGTCCGGATTGAAACCAATCCAATGGCTACCAAAATCCCACTACACTAATATTAGTATACGGCATCATAACCATACATTTAGCCCTCACATCATCCCCTCCTCTCGGAATAATAGAAGGCCGTCAAGGTTTTCTTGTAGACAGGCTGGAATCTAGAGGAATGTTAGGAGGAGGCATCGGTGGATCTGTAGATGGTATTAATTGCTCCTGATCCCTTTGTATAAAACATTTCAACCACTGCACATGCACAATTTCTGGAGGATTGGCCTGTTGGACGTCATGCCGAACTTCATAAACTTGCGGTTCAACTTGCCGCAACACGCGATACGGTCCTTTCCACTCTGCAAGGAGCCCCTTAGATAAACCACATATTGTAAGATGGGGAAAACAGACTAACACCAAATCATCCATTTTGTACTCCGTAGGTGGACGATGATGGGAGTTATAGTGCTATTGTTGTCCAACTTGTACACAGCCTAAGTGTTCGGCAGCAGTCGAACGGCTCATTAGGACATTCAAAGGGATGATTGCGAAGTATGTAAACTTTCAGCATTTGGATTGGGATGGTTATTTGCCGTCTCTTCAGTATGCCTATGTCACAGGGGTGTAGAGTTGTGGATGATAAGCACTCGTGAAAAGTGTGGCGTATCCCTAACCGAGATGTCAAAACATGAAATGCCTCAGCCATAAAAGCAGGACCATTATTTGAAAGAATCCGTTCTGGACAAGAATGCTAGAACACCACTCGATTGAGGAAGAAGTATCCAACAGCAGTTGTAAAGGCACTAACAAGAGCACTAACTTCCACTCAATGAGTCAAGTAGTCAGAAGCAATAATAACCTACTCATTGCCAACAGTCGACTGTGGAAAAGGTCCTATAAGATTAAACACTAACAACTCCAATGGACGGGAAATTGCAATTGACTCTAACTGTCCTTCCGTAGCACAAGGGGGAGTATTACGAGCTTGGCACCAAATGCAGCTACGCACATACCGGATAACATCACGTCGCATCTCCGGCTAATAGAAAGACCTGCGCAGTTTCTCGGTCACACGATGATGTCCCATATGCCCACCTAAAACAAGAGAATCATGGTAAGTATGGGGAAACCGCGGAATAAAGACAGAAGGCACCACCAGCCGTAAATGATCATCAGGATCCGTCCCCACAAAATAAAGAAGGCCATCTTCAAGGCGATATTGAGAATGTAAATGCTGGAAAGGCAAGCCATCAGTAAGTGATATAGGATTTTCAAACGCATTTCGAAGCCTTCGAATCCATAGCTCAATCTTTTGAGCCTCGCGAACTTCATCAAGAGAAGGTAAACCTTGCTCTGCGCCTTGTGGACACTGAACGTTAAGTACAGCAACTGTCGATGGCATAGAATCCTCGTCTAGAAAATTCACAGATGCTAGAACAACAAACTCATCAGAAACATGAGAAGAGAGTGGAGAAGGAAGAGAAGCTTGAGAAAGGGCATTAGCATCAGCCATAGAACTCCTTGGGTGATGAACAACATCAAAATCATATATCTGAAGCTTCAAAACCCACTGAGCAGTATGACCAACCAGGTTCTTTCGCTTCAATAATGAAGTAACGGCAGCATGGTCACCTTCAAGTAATATTTGAGAACCATGTAGATATGCATGAAGTTTCTCGAAACTCTAAACTGCCACTAAACACTTCTTCTTTGTCATGGAGTAGTTCACCTCTGCTGGTTGTAACGTACGGCTTATATATGCAATGGGATGATGCTGACCAGGCACACTCGGGCTCTCTTGCATTAACACACCTCCAAGACCAATGTCAGAAGCATCTACGCGCAAAATAAAAGGTCTAGTGTAGTCAAGATATGCCAAAACTGAAGGAGTCTTTGAGATCCACAAACACTCGCTCACAATCTCAAGACCAAATGAAAGATGATGTTGATGACTTCAGTAACGCTCGCAATGGTGCAATGCGATCAAAAAGATGATCCACAAAACGACCGAGATACTGCACCTTGCCCAAGAAGCACTACACATCATTCACACACTTCGGAGTAGGGAACTTTAGAACGGCTACAAGTTTGTCAGGATCAAATTGCAAACCTTCACAAGGACACTCAAACATTCTAAAACACCAAGAAGTGGTATTTGGTGTTATGAGGGTATTAAATAAGGCCCAAAGGACTAAGTCTCTAACGAATAATTCCCAATGATGGTTTTCTTCAATGAGCATTCCTTTTATAATATTGATTTACTATATCGCAACATAAATAATTTATCCCCCATTAGGGTACAATGCGTACAATGAGATACACATTGTTCTCATACTTGGATTTTATGATCCTCTTTATCCTTCATAGAGCACAACACACTTCTATCCAAATGCTTCTACCAATCCCTTAAGACCATTCCCGAACTTTACTTGAGTCATCCAACTTTTTGGACTTTACTAATTTGATAACCCATGAGGTCCTACTATTGAAGTGTCAATTCACTAAAATACATCTTCTTGTATTCATGTCTTACTCACAAGGACTATTTTTAGAAATGTTGCTCTGACATTTGATTATTTCCCATTTTCTATGGGTTACCTTTGCCCCTTAGGACTATTCGTCCATATGATGAGAATATCGACTCATCTTTTGAGCATACCCCCAATTCCTTGGGTTTGTTCCAACATTTATAAAATGTAGCTCCGGTTACCATTTCAAGGACTTGTGTCCTCATTTGTATTTGATTCCTACGGTTGTCAATTCTAGTCTCAAATTCATGAGCACCGAGATGGAGTCTGAGATGAACCCGAGATGGAATCTGAGATGGAGTCCGAGAAGGACCCAAAATGGAGTCTGAGGTCGAGACTGCAACCAAGACTGAAACCGGGACCAGGACCAAGACCGAGGCCGAGGCTGAGACTGAGACCAAGATTGAATCCAAGTTTGAGTTTGAGTCCAAGTCCAAGTCTGAGTCTGAGTCCGAGTCCAAATCTGAGTTCAAGTCAGTACCCAAGATAAGTTGTGTCCTTGGACCCAAACACGCACTTCGACCGTTTCAGCTTTAAACCAACATTCCATAGCTAATCCAACACTTTACACATATCACGAATGTGCTCCTCCCACGTCCCCTCTGAATGAATCAAGACATCATCAATGAAGTCAGCAGTCACCTCTGGTATATCACAAAGAACCTTATCCAGCATCCACTGAAAAGTTGTTGGAGCATTGTTCAAACCAAATGGCATCACCAAGAATTCATACAAACCAAACGGTGTATGAAAAGCAGTCTTAGGAATATCTTCCTCGGCCATCGGTACTTGCCAGTACCTAGAAGCAAGATCTAGTTTGGTGAACCAACAACTTCACCCCAGATAATCCAAGAGATCAGCAGTGTGGGGAAGAGGGTACACATCTGGAATCGTCACTTCATTTAACGGATGATAGTCGATGCAGAAAC